ACTCATTCTCCAAGGCTGCGCCGGTGTCACCGGACAGGGAAAGCTCATCGATGGTGAGCGTAAGCGTGCCAGCTGGGTCCAGAATACGGCACGGCCTTGCTCCACCAGTTCCATAGCAGTTGTCAGTGCACCATGACGAACACTGCACGAGAAAGCATCCATGGCAAGTGAAGCTGTGGCAATCCTGACGACATCGAATATATATGGAGAAGACGGCAGCATAGTAACATGCTGATCTAGGAATTTCAACGCAGTTTGATAGGCAAGTAATGCAGAGTCATGCTTCGTCTCTTCGGCAGAGTGGCCCATGACTTGGCAGCAGTAAGATCCATACGGGAGACTGCATGAGATAAGTAGGAGAGTTGCACATACAGCCTAAATGCTTCATCACGGTCAGACGGGATGCCCCGCTGCTCGAATCTGATATGAAGGCTCAGGGCAAGATGATTGAGAGTCATCGATCGATCAATATGACCGCGATCGGAATGACCGGGGGACGAAGGAGTAGTGCAGCCCGGTTGAGCTCGATGGCGTCATCAAGGTCAGACGGGACGCCCCGCTGCTGAAATCTATTTCGAAGGTTGTTGGCAAATTATTGAGAGTTATCGATCGATCAAAATGACCGGGGGGATGAAGGAGTAGTGCAGCCCGGTTGAGCTCTATGGCCTCATCAAGGTCAGACGGGACGCCCGCTGCTCGAATCTGTTTATAAGGCCAGTGGCAAGACCGCCGAGAGACGCTGATCGATCAGGATGTCCAGAGGGACGAAGGAGTAGTGCAGCCCGATAGAGCTCAATGGCCTCATCAAGGTCAGACGGGACGCCCCGCTGCTCGAATCTGTTTTGAAGGCTGATGGCAAGATTATTGAGAGACCCTGATCGATTGGAATGACCGGGGGGACGAAGGAGTAGTGCAGCCCGAAGGAGCTCTATGGCCTCATCAAGGTCAGACGGGACGCCCAGATGCTCGAATCTGTTTTGAAGGCCGATGGCAAGATTGTTGAGAGACGTTGATCGATCAGAATGACTGGAGGGACAAAGGAGTAGTGCAGCCCGATGGAGCTCGATGGCGTCATCAAGGTCAGACGGGACGCCCCGCTGCTTAAATCTATTTGAAGGCCGTTGGCAAGATTATTGAGAGACCCTGATCGATCAGAATGACCGGGGGGACAAAGGAGTAGTGCAGCCCGGTTGAGCTCTATGGCCTCATCAAGGTCAGACAGGACGCCCCGCTGCTCGAACCTGTTTTGAAGGCTGATGGCAAGATTGTTGAGATATACTGCTCCATCAGAATGACCGGGGGGACAAAGGAGTAGTGCAGCCCGGTTGAGCTCTATGGCCTCATCAAGGTCAGACAGGACGCCCCGCTGCTCGAACCTGTTTTGAAGGCTGATGGCAAGATTGTTGAGATATACTGCTCCATCAGAATGACCGGGGGGACGAGGAGTAGTGCAGCCCGATGGAGCTCGATGGCGTCATCAAGGTCAGACGGGACGCCCCGCTGCTGAAATCTATTTCCAAGGCTGCTGGCAAGATTGTTGAGAGACGCTGATCGATTAGGATGACCGGGGGGACGAAGGAGTAGTGCAGCCCGGTTGAGCTCTATGGCCTCATCAAGGTCAGACGGGACGCCCCACTGCTCGAACCTGTTTTGAAGGCTGATGGCAAGATTATTGAGAGACCCTGATCGATTGGAATGACCGGGGGGACAGCTCTGCAAGGCCGCTCGACACTTTTGCACCCTGTCTGTTATGCTATCGACTGACATTGGTCAAGAACACAGGGAGGATGAAGCCGAAGAGCGCCGTGGCAATTGGGCGAAGACGACCCTGTGCCTTTCATGAGTACAAAATCTAGTGCAATACGCACGGACATAGAAATTCGAGTACTGACACCCGGAGAAGAAATGGTATAGTGAGCGCTGAACTTGTATATGTGGTAAGAACTAGTAGCAGTACTGAGGGCCTGAGGCCCAGTGAGAATTGGCTGTGCCCGGATAGGGCCGAATATGTTGAGATGAGAATTACCATTTTAGTACTATGTCGAGTTATGCTTCTTTCGGTTGAAATCGATACTCGTCAATTTTACACATTGTAACTGCACCAACGACGCATAGCGCACTGCGCATCACGTCACTCGCGGTATCGATCGCAACGTGCAACGTCTCGTATCACGTCACTCGCAGTAACGATCGCAACGTGCAACGTCTTGTATCACACAGCGTCGCATATTGCACTAGGTATGCTTAGTACTTCTGTTATTTGTTAAATCCTAGGCTAATCTATTACAGATGCTACCAATTTCGAACAAATTCGTGTGCGTATGCGAGAAGTATGGGTTGGGAAGACCCCACTCGATATCAAAGTCGACATGGTATGAACACCTCCAGCAGGCTAGTACGGAGGAGGAGAAGGCGAGAATACGTGCTGCTGAAGCACTACATACATATGGTATTTGTTAGTTTCAATTTTGCCTCGTATACTCACTAGGATCTTATCATAGACAACACTATGCAGGATCACTCACTTCCAGAACAGCCGCAAGACGATCAAAGTGTAGCTTCTGGCTCCTCTCTGCCTCCCAGTTCTCGTCGCGCAGCCGCAATACAAACCCTTGCCAAACGAGCGCGCGAGAACCAAGACACGAGACGTGTTGGACGCCGAAATGTGCTCAAAGTACCTCGATTGACCAGTCGGATATCACAATGCGTGATGATGATGACAATCTGGTACGTATGTCTAGCGAACATGTCGAACTATGCACTGATAATTATCAGACAGATGATGTACCTGTGCCTCTCGCTGATCCGGATGAGCATCCTGGCAATTTCGCTGATCAGCACGAAGTTCCCGTCCCCAACAATAACCCACCCATAACTCCTGGCGATGTCGCCGATCAGCACGAAGTTCCCGTCCCCAATAATGCTCCACCCATAACTCCTGGCGATGTGCCAATCAGCACGAAGTTCCCGTCCCAACAATAACCCACCCATACCTCCTGACGATGTTGCCGATCAGCACGAGCCTCCCGTCCCCAACAATAACCCACCCATACCTCCTGGCGATATCGCCGATCAGAACGAAGTTCCCATCCCCGACATAACCCACCCATACCTCCTGGCGATGTCGCCAATCAGCACGGGCCTCCCGTCCCCAACAATGCTCCCGAGGGTGATGGACACCAACAGGAGTATCAGTTTGTCCTGCAACGCCAACCACGACCAAATATTGATGTGGAGGCGCTTGCCCAGATGGCAGTGCTTCCAAAGATGAAGGAGACGATGGAATACATACTCGCACTTAGAAATGCATCCCTGGAAGATCCCGATAGCGAAATTGGATGACGCAGCTCTTGAGAGACTTCGCAATCCACCTCGAGAGCCTGTCGTCATAGATAGTCCGAGTATCTGGCACAGCATATCCTCGTACCTCGCATTAGAACATGCATCGCAGGAGGCCTATAATCGGATCCAGAGATCTACCAAGCTCAATTTTGCAGGAGCTGCTGGTGTCGATGAGATCCTTAAGTTTCTACAGTGTCGAGAAGATTATTGCGCAATATACCGGTGTTGAATCAATCAAGCACGACATGTGTCCCCAAGTCGTGCTTAGCGTTTACGGGTCCTTTTGCAGCTCTCGAATCCTGTCCAATGTGCGATACATCCCGGTGGGATCAAGCAAGACTGCGTGCAACTAACGGACGTACAAAAGTCGCTGCTCAAACATTCACAACCTTACCGCTAGGGCCACAATTACAGGCCCTTTATCGACACCCTGACAGCGCACAAAATATGCGCTACTTCTACAATCGAGTTCGGGAAGTTCTCGCAGGCCTCACGCAAACTGGAGAGATTCCGGTTTTCGACGATATCGCAATGGGACATGACGCTATTGGTGCGGTGCTTGATGGAGATATAAAGGAGAACGATATTGTTCTGATGGTGTCCCTAGATGGTGCCCAGCTGTACGAAAGCAAACAATCCGACTGCTGGATGTACATATGGGTCGTCGTCAACCTTTCCCCCGACAAGCGATACCGTAAAGCTCACGTCCGCCCTGGCTGGTTTCATTCCTGGGCCTAATAAGCCGAAAAATTTAGATTCTTTCCTCGTCGTAGGCCTACATCATCTTGCGGCTCTCCAGAATGAGGGCCTCGTCATATGGGACTCATCTCGTGATGTAACATTCACATCCGACCTTTACCTCATCTTCACGACCGCGGATGGGCCTGGGCTAGTCTACTGGGACGGGCATGGTGGGGCCATAGCGGGAAAAACGGTTGTCGAGTTTATTGCGGTGTCCTCGGCAGACGCAAACCAGGAGGAACACACTATTATCCTGCTTTGCTGAAGCCACTGGGTGCGTGTGCCCCTGGCAGTGACCACGCTGATATTAGTGTTTTTCGGCTTCCCCCCGGTGGTTCTGAAGAATACGCTCACAACTTACGGCGCCTCATAACTTCCCCGAGTCAACGACAATTGGACATTCGTAAGACCGAGACTGGGATCACAAGACCGCCTCTTATTCTGGGCCTCAAGCCTTCACGCTGCCTCGGTATTCCCCACTGTATGACTACTGATATAATGCATCTCGCAGGTAATCTCAGCGACTTACTTGTTGCTCTCTGGCGCGGGACAATAGATTGTGGCGTCACGGATGACGTGGCCACATGGGATTGGGCCGTACTCCAGGACGCGGATACTTGGAGTGCACATGGAGAGTCGGTTGCAGCGACAGGACCATTTCTACCTAGCTCGTTTGATCGCAAACCACGGAACATCGCCGAAAAAATCAACACGGGGTATAAGACATGGGAATTCCAACTCCATACCTTTCGGTCTCGGGCCCGCGCTGCTTTATAACTGTCCTCCCAGAGCCATACTGGATGAATTACTGCAAGCTCGTGCGGGGCTTTCAGTTGAATGTGCCAGCATAGTATTACCGTGCAGCATATCCGAGAAGCCCAAGAACTCTTGTGTACCTGGGAGTACTGAATTCGAGCACTTGTATTACAGACGCCGGCAAGATCGCATTCACTTTATCCGCCCCTGCATCCACCAAACCAACCATCTCGTTGCTGAAACCGTGCAGAAAGGTCCTCCTATCTGTTACGCGCAATGGACCATGGAGCGGACCATTGGCAACCTCGGGCAAGAGATACGTCAACCAGCTCGCCCCTTATGCTAATCTATCCCAAGAGGGTGTTCGACGCTGTCAGGTCAACACCCTTTTATCCATCATGCCAGAGCTTGACGAGCCAGCAAAACTTCTGCCGGTGGGCAGTAGATCTAGGAGACGGGTTCGCATTATTGCGAAAACGAGACAAGTATACCTTCAGCCCAGTCGGAGGTGCTGCACAAGCCATACTCGATTACCTAGGAGATGGACGCCCGCTTCCTCGTATCAAACGTTGGGCACGACTTCTCCTGCCTAATGGCCAAATCGCACGATCCTTATGGAGAGAGATGTTCAAACCACTCGACCAAACGCGCATGTCACGAAATGTGAAAGTGAGTATCACAGAACATAATATTTGCACATTACTAACACGACATAGCTACAGTACCGTGAACAGGTGCGGTTTGGTGAAGTTTTATACTTTACCAGGCTGTCGGTTCAAGCAGACTTCGACGACGAGCATGACTGGCGCTGGCAGGATGTCGCGGTGGTCCAGTTATTTTCCCTTCCAGACGCAGATCTCCTTCGGCTCTCCTCGCACACCGTTATTTCTTGCTCCAAACTCGAAGAAATCTGCGTAATTGATGCGAAGCAGGTTCTGAGTGTGGTTGCGATGATTCCGCACAATCCAAGGCTACCTGCAGGACTTATGGAGGAGGGAGAACGTTTCTTCATGCTTGAGAAGCCCGGTTTAGATCTTTCGAATGTTGGGATCACGAACAACATTCTTGATGACGACGATGACGGTGCAGATGTAGAATAATGTATTATAACGGTTAACTGTTCCCTAGAATACACTGTATACAAAAAATAAAGTGCTGCTGCGTCGTGGTGCGTCTTCACAATCTATCGCAGCTTCTCTAAGATTGAGTGTGAAGAAACATAACGACGAAAACACTCCCTTGCCGGGCGTCATCACATCAATTTCGACTTCTCGAAAATTGAATGCGAGGACGCTCGTCAAGGGAGGTTAACAATGGAGGGATTGCAGAGAGCAGGAGAGTATACGACCAGAAGCTTTATGCGTTTGCGATTGAATAGAAACTTAAAAAGGACGAGTGACAGAGACCATTCAATTGAATGAATTGCGTGCTTCAGAACACGATAACAATAGAATCTACTACGGTGCGTAAGTTGCTTCGTGATAACAATAAGATCTTCTACGGTGAATAAGCGCACAGAATCCTGATCATCGGATTGGAGTCTGCGGTAGATTGGTAGCCCATCCGACAAGACATGTTGCTGCGCGGCCATATGTGTATCATCTGCACCCAACGCGGCGAGATCCCATGATACTTTGTTGTAAACTGGAGGATACAGTGCAGCAGAAGAGGTACGCGATGTAAACCATTCGCCCTGTGAGAGCCGCTTTAAAGCGAGTGCAATTGTGGGTATGCTGTGAATGGCATTGAGGCGTAGTTGAACGTCTTCCGAGCGCAGCTCGTCCATTAGAACGGCAATAGGTGCAATCTGCCTTGGTCGTCAATACGACGAGCGAATGTACCATGTACATGTAACGTACCGTTTGACCAATCCAGAAGTGCCCCGCCATTAACTTCGTTGTGATCTGAAAAGAAAATCCGACCATCGTGTGTTTCAGGGCGCAATCTATTCAATTGAATTACAACCGCTTAAATACTCACCTTGTAGTCCACAAATCACAATACTTTCTTCGTACTCACTTGTCTAGTTTCCTTACATTCTCTTGTGGGGAATCCACATTAGAGTGTGAGAAGACAGGCCATCTAACTCCGCCGGAATTTGCCGTAGACTCGACTGGCAAAATTTCGTTAAGTCCAGCCCACCTGTTGCAACAACTGATTCGGCTAGCATTATGTCCTCATCTCATCAACTAGTGCCTGCCGAAAGTTCACCTGCTCAAACTGCGCTTGATCTTATCGACCAACTGGCCAATGTAACATTACACGACAATGTTATTATCTTGGAAGTTGAAAATCTGCTCGACGGTTGGCCTACCTACGAGATCAATTTCACACCGAAAAAACCGGGACCGCTGGTAAATAATTTCAACTACTCCTAGTTCTACTAATACTTGTATGCTAACATTGCCTCTGCAGAAACTCGTCATTCGCCTTCTCGATACCGTGAAACTTGTTAAACTAGAAGACTGTCCAGACAGCGAAGCCGAGGGTTTGTTGCCCGGAAAGCCAAAAGGGCGGGAGAGGTGAGTGTTTTTTATTCCTCCTTCGAGCCTATGTTCACGCACCTTCTCGTAGTACATGTCCTCGATCAGAAACTCAAGGCCAGAGGGACTTGGGAGATCCAGATATTACAATGGTAGACTTGGCGACTTACTCCAGGTAAGTGTTCTGATCATTCTCTCGGCTACTCGACAGCTCGTAACATATTTGTATTCAGCGGTCATGTCAACGCAAAGCCCATTCAGCTCCTGGGACTTCGAGTCTCAAAGAGCCTCCCATGCGCAAAGTCCCTGTCTCCTCCAGACGTCCATTCCACGATACAGATTGGCCACCTCGCCGGCCTCGCAAATTGAGACCCATTTCTCCTGATGAGCCCATAACTGAGCTTCACACCTTCAGAACCTTCTCTGCCGCTGTTGGTCCATTGCCTCAGACGGAGCATACCATGTAACCCTTGCATCCCATTGTCTCTTTCATTCGTTGTCGCACAATCACGATACCGTCTCTTGCACCGTCTCTTGCACCGTCGCACTTTTGCACCCATCACTCGCTCCATGTTGTTGTACCCTTTGTGTCCTGTTCTCGCATCGCATCTTGCTCACATTCCCCATAGAATTATTGTACCTGTTCTCGTATCGCATCTTGCTGGTTATCGCATGTATTGCCCTAAATTTGCACAATAAAATTGCCTCGCTCGCACTCGTTTATCGGAAGCTGTTTCCAGCGGAGTTTAGATCTCACGACATCTGGCTTGTAGTATGTGCGTATTGCTCTGGCTCTTACTTATATCATGTACTCTTCTGCTAGTGGAAGCACCATGGATTTCACTGGGGGGTCTTTATTTCATCCTACGCATAACTCACAATGTCCTCCGCAAAATTTCAATATGCCGCGTTGGGGCCAGGAACTTACACCTTCCCCCCTATCTCCCGGTTCTATGCCATTACCGCCTGACGGAGATCTCTTTACAGATAGTTCTAGAGCGCCGCAACCTCATTTTCAACAGGTATGTTGGCTTGCCGTGATTTTGGTGCTGATAAAAACATTTTAGGGTGCATATATGCACGAAATTCAGCAGTTCCAGGCCTTGCATGAAAAGTATAGGGCCTTGGAGCTGCAAATTGCAAAGGTTACGGCAGAACGCGACACCATCTCGTATGTACATTCATTATTCGTACTATTTTAACTAACTTACGCTTGATAGGGCTGCATATCAATATCTTGCCAGCGCTGTTCGTTTACCGCTCAATGACCCACTCCAATTTGACCCTGCGTCCATCTCAACACCAGCAAGCACTACGCAACGTCCAAAACCAGACACCCACCCCAATATCCGGTTCTGGAACAAGGCCGACTACTTCGAGTGGTTAGAATCGGCTGAAGCGGACAATGCTGTTGGCCGCGGTAAGCTTGCATTCCTGGAGGACGAGAACGGTGATCCGATCTCAGAAACTACGATTGACGCCATTCGAAAGGCCCTACGTGCAGCATGGTCCGAACTTCTCAGTCGCAAGCTCGCACCTTTGACTTGGGGAAAGCTGACTGCGTCAGGTGGCCAGTTGGTGAATACCTTGATGGAAAATGCCTTCCCTTTGTTCAAGTTTGCCAATAATGGGTGGAAGCTCGACTATCTCGCTACAATGTCTTATTCGTCTTGGCGCAGGCATCACATGGACGACCATGGCAATCCGCTATCTGCTGGCGACACCGGTGATGATGGCGACAACACTTCAAAAGGCAAGAAAAGAAAGCAGCGCATGAAATCTGAAGCCTTCGAAGTCCTTGAAAAGAAAATCAAAGGTTCGTCTTACTTTATAGATTGACTGATACTGATGTTACCTTGTTTTAGTTGATCATGATGTGCGGGAGAGTATTGTACTGCCGCTGACTCCACCACCATCTTCTACTTCATCCCCACCTCTGCTCCCAGTTCAGCCGTTCTCTCCGACTGGTGCTCCACTGTCTACTCTGCAAACCCAAGATCCAATCGCCGTAACGGATCAGGAACCTCTCGACGACATCCCGAACATACTACCCGAGCCTCTCTCCGCACCAAAACCCGTCAAAATTATGATTGTCAATCCGCTGTGAGTTACACACCATACTGCTTGCGCTCTCACTACTAACCATGCTAAACAGATCTACGCTCGCACTAGCTGCATCCAATATTGTAATACCACCTACTACAGCTCTCTCGAGTATCCCACTGTCCCTACTAGATCCAGGAACCGAACTCGAACCAACGGATGCAGGGAGCATTCCTGCTCCCTCCGAGTCTACTAGGAAAACCCCAAAGACCGGTAGCAAGGCAAAAATGCGCCCAGGCAACGCGAAAAACGGACGGTGAGTGCGAATGCATCAATCTTTCTTCGCTTATTATTTGCTCATACTATCGTGCAACAGGAACTTATGTGCGCTACGTTGGCTCAAGCAGACCAAGCGCAATGGGACAACGGACGAGTTTAATGCCTTCTACGGGACATTGACATCAGATCAGCTTGGAGTAAGTCGGCTACTCCGAGTCTTGTACGTGCTAACTAACTCTTATTTGCTCGATTTTTAGAAATACAACGAGGAAGCCAAGAATTTGGTATATTGTGTTTACTCGGTTGTCTATGGTACTAATCAATGTTTTTGCAGGTGTCCAACGACGCGTGGAATAAGAATGTCAACGAGGGCCAAATCTACTAGCCTTTCACTCCATTCTGCTACCAGCGTCTGCCACACCTTCGTTGCTGTGTTATCCACTTCCTATTTTCGATCCCGCTGCCTGGTCTCGACATGTTTTCGATCTGCTCTGCCGTCTGCGTCCTTTCTACTTGGCTCTCGATGTTTGCGATCCGCTCTGCTGTTTACATCCTTTCTGCTCGGCTCTCGACGTGTTCTCAAGGTATACTCCACCTGTTTCGCACCAGTTTCCAGCTGCTTTCGTATACCGATTGTATTCTGCATAATACCTAGCATTCAATCAAAGCATATTTGACACTATTTAAGCACATTCTGGGAGGACAGCGCAAGTGTGCGTGGATATGCCTACTCAAACAATATGAGCATATTGGCTACTTTTTGAGCACATTCTGGGAGGACAGCACGATTGTGCGTGGATATGCCTAGATATGCGCAGTGTAAAAAGAAGCACAAGAGAGCACACGAGGCACTGCCCCGTCTTATAGAAAATATGCTGTGAGTCCGGATATCGGGCGAGATGCGCAAGTATGTGCTCTGTCTCTCAAACGCGCATCTCGACATATTCGGCCCTATCCGGGCACAGCCAATTCTCACTGGGGTTCAACTCTCCATCTCGCAATTCCTGCGCTGGAGACACTTTACAAATCTTGGTCTTCGCGAGCAGAAAGGCCCAAGTATGCTCGGTTCGCTGATTCACTGAAGGCCGCCGCAGCAAAAATAGATGAATACTACGAGAAGACTACAGATTGCCCAGCCTACGTTATCGCTATGTGTTCGTTCTCTTCTGTTTAAGCTAGCTGAGTTTGACGGTGTGCCGTTGTAGTACTTGATCCGACGTCAAAACTGGCATACTTCAAAAAGCACTGGCCATCCCACTTGCTCGATGATGTGCTTGCTTGTGCTGAGAATGTGTTCAAAGCACACTTTTACAAGCTTAATCAAACTCTGTCGTCGTCGCAGCCTACAACCACGAAAAGCAAGGCCGCTGGCCTCAAAAAACTTATTCGAGAGGTTCAAAGTGACTCCGATAACGATTCTGAGGCAGACCCAGGTGCCACGTCCATTGGCGACCCAGCAACACCATGGAGGGCCGAGTTCGCGAGCTATATCGAAACTATCGAGGCAGCTCCCTCAGCAGGTATGAGTACTATCCAGTGGTGGGGTGTAAGTGACTTTCATTTCCTCTGACTCGAGGCTGATCACTGTGTCCATTTAGATTAATGCCTTGAGGTATCCTGTGTGGGCTTCGCTGGCAAGAGACTTTCTATCCATTATGGTAGCGTCTGTCTCGAGCGAGCGAGCTTTCTCGCAAGGAGGGATCACATCACCAAAACTTCAAAACCTAGAGATGGGAAGATAAGGTCACATCGAGACTAAGCATGTGTTGGCAGATGGAACAGGCCCGGAAGGTACGAGCAGCTCCGAAGCACCGAGATATTACCTTATTTAGGAACTCGTTTTTGAGCAATGATCGAGCATATGATGAACGATCGATCATGATGATGATTTTTCGTCATATGCTCGATCATCTGATGGATTGAATGGATGACCTTGGCACTTGCTGGTACTTGCTGGCACCTTACGATACATTATCAGGCTGTTCAAGTTGTAGAAGCACATATAATCATTATAATACAATACAAGCATTCAGACATAGACTATACACATAAACTGAGCGCGAAGGAAGCGCGAGACGCAAATACAGCTATGCGTGACAGCAACAAGAAAACGGTATGCGCAATTGCGAGAGTCGTGCGATGATATCGAAAGATGCAGGGTCCATTTGAAGAACGATAAAATGTGATGCGCAGTGAACTAGTATACCATATAGTCAGTCAAATATACCTAAGGAACATGGGAATACGTACTAGAGAAAGGGTCACTTTCTGACCTTGCGTTTCTTCTTGGTGGTGGTGGCGGCCTTGCTTTTTTTGGTGCGCTTTGATGGAGCAGGCGTGTCCATTTCCTCCGATTCTGTCAGCGAGCTCTCATCACTGGATTCCACCACATTGGCCCTGGCACGCTTCTTGGACTGTTCGAGTGCCAGTGTCTGAACCAGATGGGATGGAAGCCAATGCAAGTGAGAGAGCTAACGGTTCCGCGTCCACAGTTGGAGTCGGCGCATGCTGGTGTGGAGTTGGATTGATAGGGCGAGGCTTAGGGATGGCCTTTGCTGGGACAGGCGCAGGGTCGTCAATGGGAGGCGGTGTAGTGGCAGGAGTCGATGTTGTGCCGTTCAGAGACTCGTCAGGATCGGAAGGTGGAGTATTAGCTTTGGGAAGCTGCGCATCTACAGATTCAGACTAAATAGACATTAGCATAATATTATCAAGTGAAAAAAAATAAACCTTGAGTCGTGCTGCTGCAGCGCGACTTGCAAATTGTTTTCGCATGCTAATTAAATCATCCTCTTCCTCATCGTCGTCATCGCTGAGGTTGAATACAGGTATGCCCTCCTTGTCACCAAATACAGACCTTTGCGAACAGTCAGCAACACGCGAAGGATTAGAACAGATACTACAAACATATTCCACCACTCGAGTAAGGAATCGGCCCACGCCTGGTCGAAAGGCTCTCGGATAGCTCGGATGATCCGGTAGTAGGCGTCGTGATAGTTGTATGTACCGTCAGTAGCCTGCCATTTGTCACGAGACGAAATACTAAAACGGCACTGTAGATTGAGTTGTAAGATATGTTCATAGAGAGGTGTAAAATACGTACTTGGACAAATGTATAAGCCACATGTTCGGCATCCACCTTCAGCATGTTGTGGAGCTTCGCGTTCCCAGATCGAGTGGTAACGGCCTCTCCGTCCTTGACAAGCGCAGAGGAAGGGCCTTTGAATATATGACGAAAAACCTAAGATAGAGTCAAGATAGCGTCAACACAACAAAAAAAGAGTCGCATACCCGTCTCATAAGATAACCTTTGAAAAGGCCATCCTGCATGTTGAGCGGATCGAAATCTTGTCCAGGTAAGTCGCCCTCGTATGCGAATGCGGGCCATGCAGCTGCATGCATCTTGACCTGACCATTTTGTAGCTGTTCTTGGACTCTGTGCAAAGTGAGGCAGGCGAACAGCATAAAAAATACACGTACTTCTTGGGATTCTCGCGGTAGGCTGCAAGGTGTTTGATGGGGCAGAGCATCGCAGCGAGTTGGGGGTGGTTCACACCCATCTTAGCACGCGACTTCTGATTGTCAGAGTAGATTGGAGGATTCAGCGGCTCGCTTTCGGCGTCTAGGGCTGCATAACGTCCTATATAAGGCTTGAGTTTACTTGCGTCTTCAGAGCGGATCTGGCCGATAACATCCTGCATCTTCTTAAGGAGTCAGCGCTGATAAGTATGTATGCTACTTGGATTAGTTTACGCACCTCAGATAATATACGTGCTAGCTCCTTTCGATGTTTCTTTTTGTTACCCTTGATGAGAGTGCGGAGGTAGGGTGCGCTCATGAGGACCCAATTGTAGGTCCTCAAGTAACGCTCTTGTACGTCTTGTTTCCTGTAGGAGTGTTATCTATTAAGTAAGAAAGTAAACACAAGACTTACACGTGTTGAAGGATTTCCTGGTGTTCCTTCTTGGCGGCATCGTCCTCGATCAGAGTGCTGTCCTTGGCGGCATCTTCTTGCTCAAGGAGCATGCCGATTCTGAATGCGTCCTTGAGGACGACGTACATGTCGATTGCGCGTGGAATCCAGCGTGCAACATGCAGACATTGGTCCCTATGTCATTGAAATAAGTTCTCTCACATATAACCGATCACAAATGAAAATGACATACCTGTGATCAGAATCACTCTTATTGGGTTTTCTGTGGATATATGCGCTATTAGTAGCGATGATTCGATCAGTCGAGGCTTGAAACTTACTTTGCAAGCTTCTTCGCGGGCTTTTTGCCCTTATCAGACCCCTTTTGCAACTTACTTTTGTTGATAGTGGGTGTCGGAGATGAACGCGATGAAGTTCTAGATATAGAAGATTCGGAGCCAGAATCACTGACACTGCCCTCAGATGAACTGGTCGATGCTGCACGTCGTTTCCGGGCCATTGAATAGTACTTGTTGAATGTTGATACGGTGAATGTTGATACGGCGATAGGTGATGGTATCGGAGAGTGAGATCAATTTGGATATTAATGATCATACTTGAAATCTCCCTAAGTCCATTGTTGTGGTTTGTTATTTTCACACGCGTTGTGTTTGCTGAATTTGATATTCCCAGACGAGTCTCGATCATGATATCACCTTACTTTCGATCATATCACCTTACTTTCGCATATACTCTACCACATATCCCACTCAAATGTCTATGTAAGTCGCCAATCCTTCACACATATCCCACTCACATGTCTAATACAAGTAGGTCAATTGTCCATATCCTGCGCCCACCATGTAAGTAACAAAACTCTTCAACGTCTAACACCTTCCTAGTGCAAACCTCTTCTACAAATGTGGTAGCACGCAGAAGCTTGAGGATCTGGAGGAGGATCAGGAGTCGCGGGAATCTGGGAGAAGCTGGTGGACGCACAAGTGAGTCCCTCCTTTTCTTATTTGTCAACAGACTAACTTATTTGTGCTACCCTTCGTAGATTTGTATTATAATATTCCTCACATGTACATAGAAATTGTGATATAAAGTATGTTTCAACATCTCACCCTTGGAATCACTCTCGATGCCGGACTTGACTTGTCTGGGCTGTGGTAAGCCCTTTCCTACCCAGAAACAACTCTCTGCGCACTCCTCGCGATGCTCAAAAAACAACGCCCTCAGCCTCACGAGTTCCGCTTTTGACAAGAAACGCCGCAAGTCAAACAAGGCTGGCAAGAGGTCCAAGCGGACACGCATTGAGCGGGAGGAATTAGTTGAACAAGGTTTAGAAGCGGGCCTCGATTATGAAGCCCAGATGGAATCTGCTGATGGTACCATGTTTGAGCAGGTAATTTTAACGATATATTCACATGTGTTTTACTAATATTACAAGCACGAAAATGATGCAGGACCATCGAACATCCCGCGCTCACCCTCACCACCTCCCCCAGTCACTTCCAAGCGCTCTGGACGCACAGTACGCATGCCCAGTCGCTTTGTCGACTATCTTCCTGGATCAGCAACACACCTCGCACACATGCCTCCCACTAACCGGCAGCAATGAGGTCGTGCCCTTCACGAAGCAGATCGATCTGATCATGATCGAATACCATCTCCGTCTCCGGCCCCTTCTTCTGATCCAGAAGATCTACACCCTGTACTCGTCCCATTCCAGACGGAACCCGATACAATGGGACTCTACCGTGTGTATCCAACACGTCCCACTCTAGCTCCTGAGGGTAATTTGACCTTGGAGAGAGTGACAGATGCTCCGACTCTGGCCAGTGACGAGGGGGTGGCTGGTAGAGTCCACTCTGGTCTCTCAACACCTGAGATCACTGCCGATCAGTTATTTGACGCGTTCACAAACCACACCTCCGGTGTTTTGATGGCTTGGCACTATACTGGGACCAATAGCAACTCAGGGGCTAACGTCAATCGCCTTGCGGAATATCTTAGTTCGGACCCCCTTTGCTGCCTCGCAGACCTAAGTGGATTTAATTTCACGCGCAAATGAAGCTGTTGGATAAGTACATTGAAGATAAGTCCAACCCCTTTCGAGAAGAATATGGATGGCGCCAATCTACCGTCAAGATTCGATTGCCGATGGAGAAGACGAAATTCTTATCCGAAGCTGATGCCCCAGAACTCGACATCCCAGGCGTGTTTCACCGTTCCTTAACCGACATCATCACCCACGTTTTTGAGAATGAAATCTCACAGACATTCAATATGACGCCATTCAATCAGTACTGGAATACGCCTGATCATCGGACCGTAAAAGTGTTCGGGGAAGCATATGCCTCCCCTGTATTGATGGAAGCTTACGAGGAAATTAACGCACTTCCACGTGACCCCGGAGATGACTTTGAGCGTGTTGTCGCATCGATCATGGTCTGGTCAGATGCTACACATCTGGCTAGCTTCGGGGATGCATCCCTCTGGCCATTCTATGTCTTTTTTGGAAATCAGTCCAAGTATACACGAGGCAGGCCTACAGCGCGTGCTTCCCATCATTTGGCATATATTCCGACGGTATGTACATTCATTTTTCATTAATTCCGGTATCTGATCACATTTCCCTCAGCTTCCCAACAATTTACAGGAAATTTATGTCGATATATTTGGACAGGCTATGTCTAGTGATGTACATACACATCTGAAACGCGAGCTTATGCAAGCCATATGGAGATTAATTCTCGATGGTAAGTTTATGGAAGCTTACGAACACGGAATCGTGATCCGGTGTTCTGATGGGATCACGCGAAGAGTATTTCCGCGCTTCTTTTCATATTCGGCGGACTATCCCGAGAAGTAAGTAGTACGCATTTCATTTTACGTGTCAGACATGAGGTATTGACATGTTTACACTGCGCAGGGTTCTATTAGCGACTATAAAATTTCTGGGAGGGTGTCCTTGTCCACGCTGCCTGGTCAAGAAGGCGGACGTCCACAAGATGGGCATGAAACGCGACATGAAGAGTCGTCTGACCAAGCGGCGTATCGATGACTTCCGACGACAGCGAAGTGTTGAAGAAGCTCGCAATTTGATTTTCCAGCTCGGAGTCCCTGTGGGCGGGAGCCGCGTCAAAGCGATACTTGATGAAGCTTCCTATGTTCCAATTCGTGTAAGTAATGCTACATACTCATGATTTATTTGACTGATATATACTATGGGTCAGAACGCCTTTTCAGAAAGACTTGCAAAATTCGGATTCAATATGTTCGAAATGTTCGTTGTCGATCAGCTTCACGAGTTCGAGATCGGTGCCTGGAAGGCTAAGTTTACCCATTTGATGCGGATACTTCATGCAGCCGGAGGGAATTCTATTGCGGATCTCAACAAACGGTAATTTTTTTCATATTATTTATCTTACTCAGTACAGGCTCAATGTCTCCCATCAGATACCGAAAAGTACCGACTTTTGGCAGGGGGACTATACGGCGCTTCCACAACAACACTTCCGCCATGAAAAAACTCGCAGCTCGTGACTTTGAGGACTTACTACAGGTATGTTGATTTGATTGATTGATTGTAGTCTATGTTTAATTATTGCAGTGCGCTATGCCCGTCTTCGAGAAGCTACTGCCAGATGACCACGATAAGATCGTGCTGGATCTTCTATTTGATCTCGCTGTTTGGCACTCATTTGCAAAGCTTCGTATGCACACGGACGACACTCTCATATTATTCGATACCGCAACCACGGTCTTGGGCCAATCTGTCCGAAAATTCTTCAAAACTACATGTAAGTACTATCACACAACAGAACTCCCCCATGAGCACGCAGCACGAGGACGTCGAGAAGCTGCATTAGCAGCTAAGCAGCCTCCATCATCAGGGAAAGGGAAGGAGAGGTCCGGTCCCAAGTTCAAGGCCCTCAATCTGTCGACTTACAAGTTCCACGCTCTCGGACATTATCCTAACACAATCCGACGTTTTGGTACCACGGACAGCTTTTCCACCCAGTCGGTAAGTTTAATTCAAATCGATCCATTGAATATCTAATGTACTATTTTTAGGGAGAACTCGAACACCGACGAGCCAAACGCTGGTACCCAAGGACAGCCAAAAATCACAAGACCATGATCGCTACCATGACTCACCTCGAAGCCCGCGAACGTGTCATTGCACGGATCAACCAACGACATGAAGAGTTATTAAAGCCACACCGACGCCAGCCACGCGAACGATCATCACCCGCTGCCCATTATCATATTTCCAAATTTCCTAAAGCATCCTATGACATGACCGCATGGCTCGGCGAACTCGAAGGCGACCCGGCGATCAAGGTAAGTAGTTCTTTTTATTTTTATATCGATCAATTAATATGGTGTCATAGGATTTCGTACCGAGATTGAAGAACCATCTATTGGCAAGATTGCGTGGTCTCGAGTACTCCGGAGACGAAGACGAATTCTCGGACGAGGACCGTAGCCAGGTCATTCTCGCCAACAACCAACTCTATGAACACACCATCCTGCGCATCAACTACACTACATACGACCTTCGCCGAGAACAAGATTCAATTAACCCAAGAACTCACGCCGACATCATGATGTTGTCACACGAGGATGACGAGGACCGACACCCCTATTGGTATGCCCGGATCATCAAAGTATTACACGTCAATGTGTGGTACTATGGTCCGGGCATTTCTCAAGCCGTACCTACTCTCATGCATGTTTTGTTCGTGCGCTGGTTCGGACGTGATGTTGCGTTCAATGCTGGGTGGTCTGCCAAACGACTACATCGCATTGGATTCATCAAACAAGATGATCCTGACTGCTTTGGCTTCGTTGACCCCGATCAAGTGATCCGAGGGGTCCACTTAATTCCCGGATTTCAGCATAAACGGACTGACACTCGGCTTGGACCTTCATTTGTCCGTCCGCCCGAAGACAAAGATACAGACTGGTTATATTTTTATGTCAATCAGTATGTGTTTTTCATTGTCTATACTACTAGAATCTAATCTACGTATTTAGCTTTGTAGATCGCGACATGTTCATGCGCTTCCGAGGAGGTGGAGTCGGGCATAAGATGCCGCAAGATCTATTCGAGCTTCTGCGGAGTGATGGTGCCGATGTTGTGGAGAATGCGGCCGAGATTGAATTGGATTTAGGAAGCTTGGAAGACGAAGACGACGACGACGCCGATGAGGATGATGAGGAAATGAGTTGCGAGGATGAGGATAGTGAGGATGAAGGCAGCGCAGATGCCAATGATGACAAGGAAGACGTGATTGTAGCTGACGAGGGGGAGGAGCTCGATGATGAATATCTTGCGCAGGAAGGGTATGGCGCCTTATGATTTTCATGTATAGCTCATTGAATATAATCTAATATCATTCTGACATACTACTAGTACATGAATATCATACTGGCGGGAGTATCTACACAATACTTGCAACGATCGAGAATTGATAGCGAAGTGATCGAGACGTTTAAAAAATTTCCTTTTTGGTCAGGGCTTCGTGGCTGCATCATGTTTTTTTAATTCAACATACCGGGAAATTTTGAATGATGCTGGCAGGTAATATCACGCGGTATTCAGACTGAGAAGGGTATCTCACAATATACTCATATCGACAGTACATTATAATATTGGTAGTAGGTACCTACAACGATGGTGTACTACTTCTCTAGTCTACGTCATCATGATTCTTCACGATCGCGTGCTTACATTCATATCGCAACGGCATCACCCGGGATCCAACATGATTCGTCAGCATCATCCTAATCAGGGAATTTCTAGATTTTGAAGTTTTTGTGATGCACGATCAGCAAGCGGCGTAATCGGCTGAAAGGAGATATCGTTGAGGCTCTACAATGTGTTAAGTGCTCCCTTCGTCATGAACTTATATTCCGCGAGGCCGGTCCTTCATCTCTTGTGGAGGAAGAAGCTGATGATTCTGAAAATGAGGCTGAGGCTGGTGAGCACGAAGTATCCAAAGACGAACCAGCAGATGACGAGGGGTGGGATGTGCTGATCTTGGAGGATGATGATGACGACAATATGTCAGAGTTTGATTCATTAGGTGACGAATAAGCGCTGTACAATTGTTGATATATTATAGACCGTTTTTCAAGATATTTCAATGTTCAAAGCCGTGAACAAGCCCAAGCCAAGCCGCGGCTTAGGCCTGGCTTTGGCTCGTGGCCCGGCCTGAGGTTTTTCAAAGCCCAAGCCTCCCCAAGCCAGGCCTAAGCCGCGGCTTTCAGGCCGAGCCGGGCCCGCACAACACTAGACAAGGGTAGAGACCGCTTAGATAGATGTCTACCTCATTCTGAACTGTAAAGGAACCACCGCGAGACATGGTCAAAGCTGCAATAAGGGCGGACTTCGATGGCGAGACTGGGACTGATGTAGGAATGGTAGTGCCGGATGCTACACATTGCACAAGTTCATTCGCATCGTACAAAGAATTGCATGCCTCTCAATGATCATAGCGCATCGAGCAGCAGTAATAAATGTCAACTACGACAATCAAATGATATCATTTTATGCATCACACGGTTATCGACAAAGTTGCTAACAGCTCAGGCCGCTACTTCTGGAAATGCAAGCACTGTGGTCACCTCGACAATTCCCTTGGTACCAAAATCCAAGGTCGTGACAATAGTCTGCCTACATCTGGGAGGAAATAACAAATGCGAAGCACTGATTCAAAGCAATACAAACAGCATATCAAATGAGCCGTCAACGGCAGCGTATTCGTCCATACCACCAGCGGAATGGCGTAATTCTCCCCCTAGACTTGCAGCTCCCCTACGCGCGGCTGCCCGAGTACTCTGGTTTTCGATGCAAATAAGATTGACAGGGGCACGTGCCTGTGACAATGCCCGCTATACCTTGGGCTCAGAGCTCGGCGGGTTCTGACCGGCAACAGTATGTGAATCACTATCTTTGCCGACAACACTGATAGCATTCAAATTAATTTCTGGCTGGTAATTGACATAGGAGCACGCACTCCTTTAAATGATCGCTGAATACATATGTTGCGAGTATGGCGAGGACAATCAGTGTTAAATAGGTCACTGCAGTGAGGATTTTCACGAAGAGCTTGTCGGATGTGAAGCCAGCTATAAAGAAGGCTTGAAATCCTTTGAGATTAACGACTCGAAATCGAAAGGCGTGCACAAACCTGTCATCAAAGTTAATGTCGAGACTGCCAGAGCGAAGGACGGATACGCCATCAGCATAAGGCAGCATATGCGACGCGGGCGAGATCGCATTAACGACTAGGAATTGCTATTACCCAAGTCTGAAGGAGGTGTGAAGGCAGGCAAATGACGCACTTTCAATAACTGATCATTTGTATAGCAAGTATCATAGATGATGAGGACAGAAGTACCAGTCATCAAACTGATCAATGCGGCGACAAAAGCGGACATTTGAAGAATATACGACCCTAAGCACACGAACGTTCACATACTAACGAAGTCTCAAGAGGAGAAAATGTACCGTGCTTGAAGAACTTATTAGTTTCCAAACGCCGGCGGGAGATAGAACGAAAAGTGCTTACGCTGGCGTAAGGCATAAGAGGCTGATATGCTAAGAATTATTGACAGATTAGGTTTGTCGTAGTCTTCCTACAAGACAAAAATGACTTGCGAGGATTAGTGGATAAAAAAACAGCACTTGTCGTCAAAACCTATTCAATGAAGTCAGTCACATTCCTCGAGCAGTTTTTCGTAATTTTACCAGACCGGCCTGCAAATAAGTTTCAATAACCGAAAGGAGCAGACCGCCGATACATACCGTGACGTTCATGTTTTCAAACCGATTTACCACCATTTGCTTGTGTTCTACCCATTCCTGCTTTATCGGACGCTCTATGAGGTGACGCCAGTGTTCGACCGATGACTTCGACACAGCGATCATGCACAAAGCCTTATAGCAGAGACGCAAAACAATATTTTTTGGTAGAACATCATGCCATGATTCGCCATTGTTCCAGTTCCAGTCTGTTGGGATGCGCGGAAGTGACGCATGACAAGATTCTTCGGGTGGAGCACCAGATGGGTTTGTCGTAGACATGGGCAGAATGGATGAGACTAGTGTACCAGTGTTGAATGTATATATACTTCAGCGGCATGTGGGATGGTTATACCAGGGTCTGATGCAGTTTCGGATGGAAGTAAGCCGCTAGCAGAACAACCGCAAGGAGAACGCAAGGACTGTGGGCAATCTTCATTGACGGCCTCGGTCGCTGGAATGTCAATCTTCTATAAAATGGAAGCTTGCACATGTGGATGCGAGGTGTATGATAGTCAATGCCAATCAATGATTTATTCTTATAAGACAGGTAAACTCACAGTCACAACCACAGTATCCACACACCGGTACTCAGGTCGCTCGAGACTAGGCTTAGTACAGCTGAAGGTCTGACGTTTAACTATGGGCTTCTCCGCTGCGCAGAGGCCGCAGCCAATATTTGCACTCAAAACATGCTGCTGATAACAAGTCAGGGTTGCAATAGAATTCTGCTCAGCGAGGCTGCCACAACATGCACACAAGTAGCATGGACCACACAGGGGATTCTTGCTGGCGCTTGTGTAAAAATACAAGAGGCAATAAGCGTTCGATCAAGCGTTCAATAAAACCTTTGCAGCACCAGAAACTGAGCATTTATGATGGCTTGTGTTGGGCCGGCTGGAAAAAGAGACATAACAGAGTGGTTGAGGAAGATGCGGCTGCGGCAATTTGCTGTCACGACTCACCAGTGACACCCATTCCGAATTCGGACAGATTGAAAGTTGCTTCAAATTATTACTCAACGCTGACTTCGGCTTGAGCGTGTACCATGCACTTACGTGGAGCACCGTCGCAGAGTATGGCAGTCCATGTCAACCCTGGAAAGCATCTAGGTATCGTATGATAGTGTGCGTTTCGAGATTGAGCTCACAGTCACTGGCACTTGCTAGCCGGCCTTTCGGTGCCACTTAAGGCTTGCCAGGACTGTAGTATACCCAGCTAAAAACTTATTCAGATGAAATATCCTAGCGCCGAGCGATGGAGCATAATAGATCCAACAACGATTTACCAATCGTTACTCCGAAATAACTGCGCGGGCCCAACACAGCGAGGATGGAGATGGATCTTTAAACCCGTGAGCAAAGCTCATCATGTTACTATCTTACCTGATTCGCAGCAAGTTTGATTTCCGCAGACGCCAGTAGAATTTTTAAACGTTTTCCCATCTATGCCCACACTGTTGGGATGTCTAGTACCGCGAGGCGTTGTGTAGGTCCACGTGGGGCCCACGGGCACCTAGGCTGACCTATCGCGGTGAGTCACTCACGTTGTTGACAAGGCCGTTTCTGATCGCAGTAGGGATGTCGCACCCATCGAAGAGCAATACCCACCTCACCCCTCATTTCCGTGCCCTTGAACGATGTCTACCGTACGAGGTCCTTAGTCCTCGGGGCTTCATACAATCGCGATGCTAATTGCAGAGGCCCAGCCTTCACCATGTGGGAAAAAGAAGATATTCATAGATAAAAGTGAGGGTGATCTTACACAGTGTTTTCGAGCGCACAGCCTATATGACGGTCAATCGTTTATCTCCAGCACCTCTGCAACGTTCCTACGCTTGTTTGAACCTTTGAAATAGCTGCAGGCAACCAAGATCACGATTCCAAACAAAACGCCCAGCCCGAGTTTACGCAGCCCGCGTCTGACCATGATTCTCTTCTCTCCGATAGCGCCAGCAGTGTCAATTGCTTTGATGTCCTCTGCCGATAGTTCTGTTGTGATGCATCAGACCCTCAACTTGGTCTATCGCAATAAGGCAACTCACCAAGATCTCCAGCGGAAAGGTAACTTAGAAGACGCGCTTTTTTGGAGCTGGTGCTGGCGAGTTATGATCTCAACAACGTCACCCCTCAACCAAACAATAAAGACACACGTTACCACAACAGCACCTTTTGCCTTGACCCATGCAAGGAGGACTTGGTCAGTAGTAGCTCCAAGCCTCGCGGCGATTGCATTCAAAGGAGCGTCCACTGGACCTCCTGGCTCTCCCGTGATAGGCCTGCGAAATCATGATTAGCCTTTCAAATCAATTCAGAAATCATCGCACGTCAAAGCACTGTATGCCTCGATTACGATGTCGTATTTGGCGGCGAACTCTAGAGTCGGAGACTGTTGATGGTAGTTATAGGGCTGCAGGTAAATCTATGATAGTGGAGCGGCCACGCTTTGAATTTAATTGACTGCCGATAGTAGTTTCATTCACTCACTTGATTAGCAGCTGGCTTGATCTTTGCGGACGATAGCAGAATCTCTAGCTGCTTCTCATTGAAGTTGCTCACGCCAATGCTCCTGCAATCGGTGTCAACTTCCGGATTCAATAAATCACAAGCATTGATAGCAACCTGGCGAGACCTTCTTCTTGGACTTTCTCCATCTGAGCCCAAACAGTTGGTATGTCTGGCACAGCTATATCCGGATTATGAATGAGGTACAGATCGACATAAGACGTGTTCAACTGCAGTTGTTAAATCGACGTCTACTCGCGTATGCTGACTGCTACGCACATATTCCAAACTATTTCGAATGGAAGTCGGGATATCGAGTCCGTTGAAGCCAGAAAATTTCGTTGTGATGAATACATCGGAACGCTCTAGCCCAAGTTGGCCGATGGTAATGCCAACCTCGGCCTCGTTCCTGTAAAGCTGAGCGGTATCTGCTTGTTGTTGATAGAGGTGCGACAGTCAGTCTCAATTGTGCTCACCGATATGATAGAATCCTGTATCGAAGGCTTGTGTGAGCTGATCTATTGGCCACTGTCCACTCCCCAGAGTTCCAGTTCCATACGCGAGGCCCGGAATGCTATAGCCTGTTCAAAGGCTGAGCAATATCAGATTGTCTATCTATGCATAAGAACGCACCGGAGTTTAAGGGGATCAAATCCCAAGGCATTATTGATGTGATCTCGGCTCGAAAAACCTTGCAAGATATAACTTACTTGTCCGTAGTCGTTTGTGAGAGGGTACTGGGACAAGCCTTGTCCCCGTTGACGAAAACGCAACAGACTCATCACTCACACGACCTATTCTCATTTAAGAAGTGGAGTTGCTGAAATGTTAATTACAGCCCAACTAGTACTGTCACTCATTCGTCACCATTATCACGTGATGCATCGCGTCCTTCATGTCAGAATCATGACCCTCGAACGTTTGAACTCTCGAAGAGGTGTGGTGTTTGGAATGACCTTCGACATTCTACTGGAGGTTGGTAGTGTTGAGCACGGTCGTTTGTCGGTTTTGCATGTCTTCTGCCTTAGCTCCACACAAGAGATGCACCTGAGAAATAGTTATATTTGTGTCGTTCAGCAGCATGGAACGTTTGTGCTGAATTAGCGGCACAAGGTGAGCCGTTACTGGTGACATTTGAGCACTTCCGAGTCAGGTACCAAGGAAGTTGTATGTTCCAAACACTGCAGGACAACCCTAGAATCTCAGCATATTCTTCACTTTTCCTCGCCCAAAGCGCCCGCATCGTCAATGGCTGCAATATCTTCTGGAGACAAAGCTAAAGCAATCATTCAGAACCACTTCAAACAGTTGATCCAATGAAACCCACTTATATCACCTGCCGCGATGTAACCTTCCAAGCGCGCCTTCTTCGAGCTTGTGCTAGACGGGATTCTGTCAATGGGAAACTGCTACATTTACAAATAGACTCACGTGACGACGACGGCACCTTTGGCTTTGGTCCACGCCATAAGAATTTGCTCGGGTGTTACACCGAACTTCGCGGCGATTTCGTTCAATGGTTTGTCCAAAGGACCGCCGGGTGCCGTTGTGATGGGACTAGGGATAACAATCAGCACGAACGTATGTGTCAGAAAGTCAGAAGCTGACTAACATTAGCGCGCTGTAGGCCTCGATGATGATTCCATTCTTCGCGGCATAATCAAGGATAGGTTTCTGTCGCCGATAGACATATGGATGAAGGAGGATCTAGGCCAGATTGTCACTAAAGTCAATTTTAGCTTTGGACCATTTCGATACTACATACCTGATTGACCGTGGGCTTAATTTGCGCAGATACCATCAAAGTCTCCATGTCTTGGACGCCAAAGTTACTGATACCAATGCTCCTACGGTTTCAAGTCAGATTGCTCGACTGCGGAACCACTCGCGTAAATCATTTACTTAGCCAATCCGTCGTTCTGGACCTTTTCCATTTGCGCCCAACATGTGGGGATGTCAGGTACTGCCAGGCGCGGGGCGTGAACCAGATAAAGGTCAACATACGATACCCCAAGCTATGTAGTGGCAAATGTCATGAGAGTACTGACTCCAAGCCAAAACAGAACACACATTGTTCAAACTGTTCTGGATGGACGTCGGAATGTCAAGACTGTTTGTACCAGAGTACTTGGTTGTCACAAAGACGTCTGCGCGAGAAAGTCCGCTTTCTTTAATAGCAGCGCCGGTTTCTTCTTCATTCCTGTAGGCCTGCGCCGTGTCTGCGATGGGAATAGTGTTGTCAAAAGCTGTCGCTGTGAGATGCATAGGTGACAAGACTCGCCGATGTGGTTGTATCCATTATCCAGAGCTTGTTTAACCTGGTCGATAGGTCCTCGGCCATTACCTGTCTTCCAAGTACCGAATCCAATGCTTGGAATGTAGTGTCCTGACATATGGGTGCCCTTGTCAGCACCGGTTCTGAGGCGACGAAACAAATACTAACCAGAATTCTGTTTGATTGGTTCCCAAGGCATGACGACGAATGAAAGAGGGTCACTTTAAAGAGGGCTGCAGAAAGGACGGGTTTATGTAGTCATTAATGAACAGTTGACTATCCAACTTGACGTCCCATGTGGACATGTCAATCGTGCACATGAGGCCTAGTTATATGAATAGACCAACTTGCTTTGACATGAATTGGATCATGAGACTCATCTATCTAGAGTAAACAATCGTGAACAAGTGCGGTTCAGGAGTAAGGATGGGAAACTTCTGGGAAATGGTTGTATTTGAGTAGTTACACAGCATGGAACAACATTTGTGCTGGATTGGCGGAATGATGAACCAGTACTAGAGACATTTGAGCATTTGTCAAAGGCTAACGATCACTTTACATCATGCTGATGCCGAGGAAGTTGCATGCACCAAAGACTGCGGTACAAGCGATTGCACCTACGACAACCCTTTTCATCATAGTCTTCATGTTTGCTTTCTTCTCGCCCAAAGCGCCCGCAGCGTCAATGGCAGCGATGTCCTCTGGAGACAAAGCTAAAGCATATTGTTGAGAACGACTTCAAAAAAAAAAAGATCCAGTGGAACTGACCTATATCACCTGCCGCGATATAGCCTTGCAGGCGCGTCCTTTTTGAGCTTGTGCTAGATAGGACCATCTGTCAGTGGGAAATTGCAGTGTGCACGATAACACAGATAGACTCACGTGACTACGACGGCCCCCTTGGCTTTGGTCCAAGCCAGAAGGATTTGCTCAGTTGTCGCACCAAACTTTGCGGCGATATCGTTCAAAGGTTTGTCCAAAGGTCCGCCGGGTAACTTTGTGATGGGGCTAGGATGACATTAAGCACGAACACATTTGTCAGCGAGTTTGAACTAACATCAACGCGCTGTAGGCCTCGATAATGATTCCATTCGCTGCGGCATAATCAAGGATAGGTTTTTGTTGTCGGTAGACATATGGGTGAAGGAGAATCTATGCCAGGTCGTGAAAAAAGTCTGGGACCATATAATGCTACACACCTGGTTGACCGCAGGCTTAACTTTCGCAGATGCCATCAAAATCTCCATGTCCTGGACGCCAAAGTTGCTGATACCGATGCTCCTGCAGTCTCAAGTCAGATTGTCCCACAGCACCATCTCGCAAATCATTCACTTAGCAAGCCCATCTTCCTTGACCTTCTCCATTTGCGCCCAACATGTGGGGATGTCAGGTACTGCTAGGCGAGGGGAGTGGACCAGATAAAGGTCGACATATGATACCCCAAGCTATTTAGCAGTGAGCATCATGAGAGCACTGGACTCAAGCTAGGACAGGACATACACTGTTCAAGCTGTTCTTGATAGAAGTCGGGATGTCAAGACTGTTTGTACCAGAGTATTTGGTTGTCACAAAGACATCTGCGCGAGAAAGTCCACTTTCTTTTAAAGCAGCGCCGGTTTCTCCTTCGTTCCTGTAGGACTGCGCAGTGTCTATTCGAATAGACTTGTGTCATCATCAAGTTGCCGCTGCGAGGTGTCTGGACTCACCGATATGGTTGTATCCATTTTCCAGAGCTTGTTCAACCTGGTCGATAGGTCCTTGGCCATTACCCAGCGTCCAAGTACCGAATCCGATACTTGGAATGTAATATCCTGACATATGCCAGTCCCCCTTGTCAGCGTTGGTACTAAGGCGACGAAACAAACACCAACCAGAATTCAGCTTGATCGACTCCCAAGGCATTGCGATGAATAATTGAGAGTTACTTTAGACGGCTGGAAAAGAGTGGATTTATGTGGTGAATGGACGGCTGGCCATTCAATTTGACGTCCCATGGCCACACGTCTATCTTGCACATGAGGCCTAGCGATATGAATAGCAGGAATTGGTGGCATCATGTGGTCCAGATTGGGTCCAGATTTTTCAGAAGGAACGATGGGAAACTTCTGAGCAGTTGACAAGTTGAAGAGTTGAACGTTGAACTTGTGTGACGACGGTCCGGCCGCCGTGCGGCCCGGGCCACTATTAGGTGCCAGCTAGATAAGTAGAGTGCTTCCGGTAACCTCACTGGCAGAGTTCACTCTAGTAGCAGTACTCATACTTGTGTGCTTACTATGTTAAAGGTAGTCCCAAGTCTGCCCTCAGCAGAGCAGCAGTCAAAGGAAGGCTATTTCTTGTAGTCTTCACGTTACCATTGCAGCTAACCGCTCACGAACCTCATATACATTTTCGTTTTTCAGAATAGTTTGTCACGAGTAGTAGTTGATGTGTGTTCCACTAATGTGAACCTGAAGCACATGTGGCACTATACGCACGCCATGAGAATCTACATTTCCTCAAAGTCAAGAATCTCTCTCGACCAATGCACACCTTCTCTCCACCAACGACATCCTCCCGCCTCGACCTCCCGCAGACTCGGATACCTCCTATGCAAACAACAGATGAGCTCCCGTTGTTTGGTATCTTCAACACACTGCATGTCCTCGTTTCCCGTCGAACTATGCGATAGCCGAAGTGTCTCCAGCTTGGGCGGAAGTGGGGCACGACCCTCTGCCAGCCAACTCAGAAGACCCTGAAAAAGAATTCCGTGAGGGCAGGGCCATCGTTGCGATTCAACGTACCTCCACGGTATCCACAGTATCAAGCGGGTCACTAGCATAGTTGAAGTCGAAGCCAGAACTTGACTCGGAAAGGGCGATAACTTCTTCCTGTGGAGATAGAGAAGCATTAACGAATCTACACAGTACGCAGGCAAGTATAGATAGCACTGACAGGTGTTAGCGGTGGGGGCCCTGATATAAGACCCAAGTCCAGGCGATGGAGATCTGGAAGTTCTTTTGCGATGACGGCGAGGTTATCTAAAGTAGGCAGAAAATATTCGATTGCTAGCTTCCTGACTGGAACTGTGGAACGTGAGATGTTCCGCATGGTCGAGACCAGCTCGGTATGGATAGCATAATCTGGCTGATCGTCATCTGTAGTGACCATCATAAGGACAAGACAAATGCAATCAACTGATCGTCCAGGCACGATGTGCGAAAGCAGGTTAGGGTAGCCGTCGTAGGACCGAAGGGAAGACAGGGCCGGCAACGGGTGTGGCGGCGTGATGTTTGCAGACCAGGGGAATATCCTCAGTGTTGACAGGGCGGGTATCGCTGCAAGAAAACTGAAGAAATGGTCGGCACTCGGGGATGTGACAAATATGCTTAGATATGTGAGGTGAGGGAAGGGCGCCATAGACGAGAGGGCAGCTAGTACAGTGTGGGTGACAAGAAAGTCGATAAGGGTGAGTTTTTCGAGATAGGCAGGGTTACAGAGCACAGAAACCAAGCGTTCTTCGATTGAACGGGGACCGAAGCTGTCTCCAGCAATCGCAAGTTCCTTTAGCTTCAGTGGGCGCTCCAAATGAGATGAAGGCGGGAAGAAGCATGAGATGAGCCTGAGAGTCTCTAGTGCAGGTAAGCTTTCGATGATGATCCATTGTTGTCTCCCAAGATTCACGCGGACAAGTTCAAGAGAGCGAATATTACGACTGCACGACAGAAACGGAAAGACGGTATCGATCGATCTCAGCACTAGGCCCTTCTCCTGCGAGCGAGTAAAGCAGAACATGTTGCTCCTGATCCCTGGTGCAGTTGCAACCGTCCAGTCTTGAACCATGTCCCAGAGTTCACCAGCACTTGGATCTGAATAGAAACTTGTGAGTCGGGTAGCAGCATGCTCAAGCATCTTAGGAGCCCTGTTTGTTGAACGGCGGACCAGATTTTGGTTCAAGGGAAGAATTTCCGGGGATGGCAGGGTGATAGTGAGTGACTGGAATATCCTAGATCTTGAGGTGTACCAGAATATGCGAGATACGCCGGACACTTGAAAAAGGTCCTGTCGCCTCAGATAACCCCAGCAATGGTCAAGAACTTCAAGAGGTAGCTTCAGAATCGGTGGGCTGTTCTCCAGGTTGGAGTTAGGTTTGGAGAGCTCCGTATCGTTCGACATCGACCAGCGATGGTAAAATATGGCTATACCACGAAAGGGAGCGGCGGACTAGTTTGATGTAGGCAATGGATGCGAGCGAACAGCCCGTATGTCCTGCCAATGGGCGGTTGGCAGATAATATTGTTGTAGTCTGTATGTACGCTTGGTGGCATCGTTGGAATTCAGTCGCGCCGTAAGGAATGGTGAACGTAATGAAAGAGACATTAAACCTTCAAGTTGGTCACCACATACAAACCATGTGCAGTTTGTATATGCCCCTAGGATCTGGGGTAACAAGAGAACAAGACAGTGTCAGCCTGAATTTTGAAAGTACTGAGTAGTAAGTACCGAAACTTCAAGTTGAAGACGAACTTGAGACTCTTCAGATTTGCAAGATCTATTAGTCTTTAAAAGTCACCAATAACCAGTTACTAGTCAACATTTCAAAGAAGCATCATTGTACACTTCAACGTTGATAGTCTCCAGTTGCAAGCTCGGAGGTGGTCACTGCACTGGTCGTGGAGGTCTAGTACATCCCCGACTCCCACGTTAGTGGGGGGAGGGCTCTGTCGAACGCAAACGGATTCCCATCTATCAAAACGTATTCTATCTCCGCGAGAAACATCTGTAGCACAACTTTGAATCTCCATCCGAATGATCGTAGAATCTCTTCACTCCTGTCTCTCAATAATCGATAGCTGACTCTGCTATTATTTATGTTTCACCTTGCCGTTTCAAAGCCGTTTAGCGAGCATGTATGTACTCGCTCGCCACTCGTCATGAACACTTTGCCATCTCCTGACACTTCTCGCCACGTCGACAATAACGTTACTGGCCTGGCGGTGTTTGACCAATCTGGTGCAGATTGCGGATACGACCGTGAACTTGGGGAGCGCGTGGACGAGGTACGAAACTTGATGCACTAAGTCTAGGTATATGTGCGACCACTGACATTCGCAGTTAGATCACACAGCTTCTCGTCACAGTCAATGCCGTGAACCTATTTCGCCTAGTGGTCAATCCTCATGACTTCGGGCAATCAGTCGAGAATCTGTTTCACCTGTCATTTCTCGTCCAGGATGGTACATGTGCTCTACACATTAGAGATGACGGAGAGCCTCTCATATGCATATGTGAGTTTCAATATGAGCTGCTAAGGGCCCACCCGCACTCACGGCTCAACCTGGACACCTTTCGAAACGATGTTTCGGGTCGAAAAACCCTTCGGATTTTCAGCCCAAATAGCTTCTTTCTGTATGGTAGCTACCGCTTGTAGATCCATCGTTGTCAATCAATTTCAGTTGATTTCATTATCCTCACACGAAAACTAACAGCTACGCATAGACTTATTTCCAGATGTCTTCGCATTCAACTGCGCTTCATTTCTCTCTTTCACTGTACATTGTTGCCATGTATAAGTATATGACGATGTGTGTATGTATTGTAAACAGAATATTCGTCCTGGGATTGGAGGCTTGCAATTGACGCCTGGCGCAAATATTGACTTGAATATCATGCTGCTGAAAGCGTGGGGAATTGGAGTCGGGGACTTGGTGCGCCAGCACCGTTACGATTGTATTATGTAAGTAATGATTCGCTGAGCTAGACCACTCAGTAGTACTAACCAATACTTCAAGAGCCAGGTTCAGTTTCAAGCAAATCGGGTGCAAACCTGAACGTTCGAACGTTGAACTACGCTGGAATAGATAGAGGCCCTCGCGACATTCGACCAGCTCAACACGACTTTCATCTTCAAATTCTGGAGACATGTCCGAATCCTTATATTCGTCTTGTGCTGAAGTCCTCTCGGTATGCCAGGCTGCAAAAGATGATCTGGCTGCTCTCCTCGATCCAGACACGGGATTCGCACCTAGGCTACGACAGTTGTGTCGCGACCAGTGTGTATCAAATAACATTTTCTCAAGAGAACGCACCTCACATTTCCCAGAATAACAGAGGCAGAGAATAGCGCGTCTTCGGATGTCTCCCAGGAGGAACTCGACGTTTTACGGATGGAGGCCAATACATGGGGCCTTCTGCAGGCTGTAATTCCGTGAGTGAACGCGTCTTGCTGCCGGTTTTTTAACTCAAGCGACTGCAGTGCACGCAAAACCGAACCAGAACTACACGTCCATCCCCGCACATTACTCGCAAAAAATCCCTACACACCTACGTCAACATTAGCACAAGCAATCATGCATTCGTCAGTGCTCCTCACAGAACTCGTGGTAGTACGAGAGTGGCTTCATGAAACAGCCCCACAACCGCAACATCCAGAAGCCACCACTGGATACTGGAGGTTTACGAAACATAATGTCATGCAGGCTCTACGCACAGGCTCAGGAATAAGAGAAGGTCTGGTGAAGGAGCTAGATCCTGATGCCATGAACAGAGGTGATGGTCGATCATTAGCAGCTGATGACGCCGTGAGCCAAATAATAGGCTGTCGAAGCACTGACTGAAACGCAATCCTTCACAGGGATTTGAGAAAAGCCTAGCACAAGGACTCTATTCATTTGTTCGTGCTGGTAGATTGGATGAGGCAGTCGAATTATGCAGAAAAGCACATCAGCCATGGAGGGCTGCAAGTATCCGTGGTTCGCTACTGTTTCAGTGGCGAGCTATTGGTAAGTCAAACTTTCCATGTAATTTATGCGTCTCTAATTTGCCAACAGCAAATGAACAACGAGATGACGACGGCATTGATGACTCTGAGGATGCCGAAGGATGGCAGGGAAACCCACGTCGAAAATTGTGGAAATCAACATGCGCAAGAGCAGCCCTGAATGTGCGCCATTCAATCGTTTGTGTACCATCTTGTTAACGTGTCCTTCAAGCCCCACCTTCCTGATCCAGAGCGCATTCTCTATGCAGCTCTTGCGCCCTGTCCACAAACATTCAGTGTCCTGAAGTCTGCATGTCGGACGTGGGAAGACCACCTGTGGGCGCAGATCAGTATCCTATGCGAGGAGAAACAGACCGCAGACATGATCAAACTGGGTGGTGGCTTCTGGGATGGAGGCCTGGCAGTATTAGAAAATATGCCTTCGCCACCATCTCAAGAGGAAGATGCAGCTGAGGAAGAAGAGTGGGAGAGGGAAGCAACATCTACGTTGGAAACACTAGGCAGCGTTCACGTGGAGGACGGGTACGGTGTACATACATGCATCTATTTTCCGTGTACTGACCGTCAGCCAGTCCCACCGCAGACCACGCGTTCCATGTCTCTCAGCTGGCGATTATCCTCGATCGGACAAGTTCGTTGCTAGAAACATTTGCAGCTGGACTAAGGGATGGAAACTTCGATCCCGAATCATCAGAGTAAGTCGAATAACGTGCGTTTTTTTTGACATTCTCTAACAACGCAGCAGGTATCCTACAATGACGCGTTTCTTCGCCCACCTCTGCCTTTATTTGCAGATGATTGACATTCCAGTGCCGCCGCTCGCGACCCAAGTCATTCTTGAGGCTTACCTGCAAGTATTGGAAGTGAGAGTTTGTCCTTGGTCGTTTTGTTCCGCATTAATTTCCTTGTCAGGCTGCAGGTCAACGAGAGTTGATTGCAATGTATGCTGGCGCACTAGGAGACAACGCAGTCGAGCGATATGCGATGTTCTTGACTTCGCTCGAACTTACCACGGACATCAACGAACGTCGATTAGCATTGACTCGTGCGCGAGAGCATGGTCTAGACGTTCACAAGGTAGCAGTCGTCACTGCCGAGCGAACAATTGATAGAGCATTCGAGGTCGGTGGGACGTGCATCTCACAAAACTCATGCGCTGAACTCTACTTGCCAGCTTCTACCCCAAATGAAGGGACCGCTCCCTTCTGTCATTGCGTTGCAGGCCACTCCCTCAGACATTGAGCTCCTGCTGCTTCGTTCCATAGAGTGGACCACATTCGAAGATGGAACGCATGATACTGCGCTGGAACAGGCGACCGTCATTTTACGGTACTTCCTAGGTAAGCTTGTTGTCGAGGTTCTACCGTCATGGCTTAATGCGTGACTTCAGGTGCGGGGAGGGTTTTGCTTGCAAAGAACCTTGTGGAGATGCTTCCGCGTGAACTCGCCTCCATCGACCAGCCTGAGGAACGAGCCACAGAATACCTTCACTACAGGCAGTTCTTCACGATCTGGGACAGTCTTGACCGTGTTGTGGAGTGCCAGAGTCTAGAGGTGTCGATAATGAACCGGGACACTAGGGCCGCTTGGTTAAGCGACTACAAGGGACTTATCGACCAGGCTTACGATGCGGTCGTGAAACTGCTCACTTCGGATTGGATGATGCCAGACGAGACAGGAGACCGTCGTTCCCGCGAGCTAACTCGCATTCGGCAGATATACATCCCCGAGCTTATACTGCGGCTGCATGTCATGCTCTACGCATCTCGAGAGCATATCCCAGAGTAAGCATGACTTTGGATGCAGTACCTGCAGGTCTAACACATCTTGGACAGGAATCTGAAGCGCGCACTGGAGCTTGCCAATATTGTTGCGGATTCGAGGTACAAGCTGTATGATGATTTCTTACATATCGATGGCCGGAGGCTTGGGGAGTATCTTGACGCAGTGCGCCGGGCGACAATAGCTGGCTTGGAAGGGGGTGGATCGGATCCTTTCAAGATTATTCTGTCGTAATTGTATGATATTTGTTCACTATCGATATCATTATGCGGTGGGCTGTGAGGTCGTGGCTCGTCCTCTTCTATGTGGAAAGGATATTTAGTTGGAGGATGTAGCATGATCTATCTCTGCATCCCGTACCCTTCTGTACCACGCAAAGTCTTAGGAACCGCAGAGAGATATTATCAAGGAAAAATTACGCACCCCATCGCACAAAGTTCTTGTATAAATAGCCAGCTTATTTGTATGTTCGACAACGCGATGTATAATCATTCAATATTCAATGGAACGGTGCTCGTAGTACTAGTACACAAAACAAAAACAAAAGCATCATGCAGACATAATGTGAATAACCGAGATATAGGTGGGATAACGGGGGAATGAAAGCAACCAGGGTATATAACATAAAATGCAATAATACGACGAATCAATCAAACTAGACACCTATGTGAACGAACACGATCTGCTGTTCTAGTGTAATTTTCTTGCGCAGCGATTTCAAAGCCTTGTGCAACGCCACCGCAGCCCGTGTGCACTCCAATCTCACTGATCCATCCACCAGGTTCCGGTAAAAAGCGGACACAACCTGTCGTGCAACCTCATCGTCGACAGACCACATGGAACCTATGACACTGCGAAATCCGGAGAATTGCATGGCCGCAGCGAGATGGATCGACTCGTCGGGATTCTTCTCATCGCCCACAGTAGTGTGGCAGGCCGATAGGAAGGCAAACTCAGGGTTCTGCCAGTCAGATCGGATGACATCCTTGATCATTAAAGGCCCGTCGCGCATGGCAAAGGAAGACTCAAATGGTTGTTGTCGATTCGGCATTCCGTGGCATGCCAGATGGAGCCACTGATTATTATTTAGTGCATCGAGTGCACCTTGAACTGTCGCATCGCCGTCCGCGAGCGACGTGACCGAGACGACGGGCGCGAGATGCTGAGCGACTACGGCTAGCTCGGGAGCGACATATTCGAGTGCCTTCGCCCCTGTTGGTTTTGCTTGACCAATGGCAACAAAATGTTGCGGGGACGCATCTCCAGAAACCTGCTGTCTTGCACGAACAAGTGTCGCCAAAGTGGGGGTGTAAGAGGAGATGTAGATGTCAGATAAATTGTCTTTCTTCTTCTCGTAGGGTCCTGCTGCATGTAGAGGAAGCAGCGTAAACTCCGCAGTGGGACACCACCAAATACGCGAGCCATGCGGAACTTTAGACTCTTTAAGAGCTTGGACCACGGAGTCAACGACCTCATGCCAAAGCTTCCGGAGGATGTTGACAAGTTTTTGTAGATGATTAGAATAACCAAATTGTTCTGAAAGGGACTGGAACTCGGAAGACAATTCGGATACTTCGGTCCGCGCAATATGAAGTGGAACGTGGACAGGGTCTTGGCTACTCAAGATAATCAAGGCGTCACAGCTGTACCGACTAGCATTGACGATGATGACTGGGCCTTCTTCAGCGGATTTCTGGAGGTCAGAAAACAGCGGGGGCAGGAGAAATCGAGGAAAGTCAGGCAGCATGCGGATGCGTGAGATGACGTCTTCCCATTGCTTGGTCAATTGCCGGATTTGCGGAGACGGATCTTCAGTAGACCGGTCAAACGCGACACGAAGGCGAGAACTGAGCTGCTTGAACTCTTCCGCCAAGGCTGCACCAGTGTCACCAGACATAGAAAGTTCATCGAGGGGTGTGCGGAAGCGTGCCAAATGAGTCCAGAATACTGCACGACCTTGCTCCATCATTTCCACGGCAGTTGTGAGCGCGCCATGACGAACACTGCACGAGAAAGCGTCCATTGCAAGCGAAACAGTGGCCACCCTAACGATATGGAAATAGCGAAGAGAAGATGACAACATAGTAACATGCTGATCTAGGAATTTAAGTGCAGTTTGATAGGCAACCATCACAGAGTCATGGTTCGTCTCCTCAGCAGAGATGGCCCATGACCTGGCAGCAGTAAGATCCATACGAGAGACTGCATGGGGTATATGAGAGAGTTGAGCATACAGCCTAAATGCCTCATCAAGGTCAGATGAGGCACCCCGCTGCTCGAATCTGTCTCGAAGGTAGAGGGCAAGACCGTCGAGTGACAATGATCGAGCAGAATGACCGTGTGGATAAAGGAGTAGCGCAGCCCGATGGAGCTCGATGGCCTCGTCAAGGTCAGACGGGACGCTCTGCTGCATGGATCTGTCATAAAGGCTCGCGCCAATATTGATAAGAGCCCTTGGTCGAGAAAAATGACTGGGGGGGCAGATGAGTAGTGTGGCCCGTTGGAGCTCGATGGCCTCGTCAAGGTCAGACGGGACGCCCCGCTGCTTGAATCTCTCACAAAGGCTGACGCCAAGGTTGGTGAGAAACGTTGGTTGACCAGAATGACCAGGAGTGCAGATGAGGAGTATGGCCCGCTGGAGCTCGATGGCCTCGTCGAGGTCAGATGGGACGCCACGCTGCTTGAATCTCTCATGAAGGCTGATGCCGAGATTGTTGAGAGACGTTGGTCGATCAGAATGACCGGGGGGGCAGATGAGGAGTGTAGCTCGTTGGAGTTCAACGGCCTCGTCAAGGTCAGATGGGATGCCCCGCTGCTTGAATCTCTCATAAAGGCCCGTGCCAAGATTGTTGAGAAATATCTGTCGAAGAGAATGACCGGGGGGGCAAATGAGTAGTGCAGCCCGTTGGAGCTCAATGAACTCGTTGATGTCAGATGGGACGCCCTGCTGCTTGAATCTGTCATATAGGCCCATGCCAAGACAGTTGAGAGACGTTATTCGAAGAGGATCACCAGAGGGGCAGATGAGTAGTGCAGCCCGTTGGAACTCGATGGCCTCGTCAAGGACAAGTTAGAATTGAAGTGGATGTCGGGGAATCTTATATGGTCGGATCGTCTGAAAACCGCGGTAACGGCAGGGATACCGTTGCACGCCGATCGTGATGCGGCGGTTTCGGAAGAGGCTGGAAAGTACTTGCATGAAGAAACGTGACCGGGTCTATTCCATTATACTTGCAGGACAGCACCTCGAGGTCAGACGGGACGCCCCGCTGCGTAAATCTGTCATAAAGGCTGAGGCCGAGGTTGTTGAGAATCATTGGTCGAAGAGGATGACCGAGTGGAAAGATAGCAAAACCGCTCGACAAGCTTCCACTCCCAGTGGCCTATCCGCCATGCTATCGTAATCGAGTTACACGATGATTATCAATAACACAGGGAGGATGAAGCCGAAGAGCGACACTGCCTTTCATGAGTACAGAATCCCGGTAGATATGTTTGAATTGCGCACGTACATAGAAATTCGACCACTGAAACCTGGAGAGGTGAGCCGCTCACCGTGGGCGCTGAACTTGTGTACAGCCGAAGGTGGTTAACATGTCACCTACGCTGACGGTTACTGAGTCGGGTCTACTGTACAGTACAGCCTTGGACTGTCACGAAAGATCGGCTCGTAGAGTCATGGCGAGCTCTGCGCTATACGTAGCATCAGTATCTGAGGTTGTGTCTGTATGTGTGATTCACAATATCGTTTCCCTGTCAAGAATTATCTCTGTAGATCTGCATGTCAAAGTGTCAGGCTGACTCGGAATGGTTTGAAATTTGAATCCAAATACTCACTTCCTAGTCACAGGCGGAAATTAACGTTCAGGCCTCAGCTGCAGCCTCAGGTCCAGTCTGTCTACAACGAACATGTACAGCAGACTAACCTCGTACTGACTCTCACGCAGATCCTAGTCTTCCTCGCTGTGCATTTGTACTTGTTTTCGACATTCAATGCGTCACAACGTTTCGAATTCGTGAAGTTGCAAATGTTCGAAAATCGACATCAGATATTTTCGAAGATGTGACCTGCTTCGTCTCTCTCTAATGATTTTGCGAATAACAATGCTATGGTTGACGGTGATAACTCACCACTTGGGTACACAATTAGACCTCGTCAGGAAGGAGTTGAACTAGTTTGGTTGGCCAAGAAGAAGTCCTAGGTGCGTCGTTCATCAGGATCTTGGGTGGATTTCCGCTCACTCATTACTCAAATAGACCAAGTAGTGCTCCGCTCTATTGTGGGTGTACCTGTATCCGCGAAGTGCATGAAATATGTTGCAATACAAGGGTTCAAGTTCTTATGTTGATACTGTCACGCCTTGTAGTTCTCCTCCTCCAAAGCCGCACTAACCATCAGCGAGCCGCTATCTCCCAATGGGTTTCTTATCCCATCAGCATTGGTCAGTTTGAATGCATCCTGCCAGCTCGTCGAAGATAAATCGGGAGCTGCTGCATCACACGCATTTACCATCCTTCGTTCCTCTGCTCCTCTGCTTGTTTTAAGTTACCGTATTTGCACCAATAGAATATTGGAGGATGCTCGAATTGATGTTTCAACTCAAGGCCCTAGGAGCTTTAGTCGCTCTTGTATTGGCAGGCAATTTCCTCCGCGCTAAATTACGATCAAGGTCACGCCTGCCTCTTCCTCCAGGACCTCCAGGACATTGGCTGTTCGGAAACCCTCTACCAAGAGTCAAGTGAGTAAAATAGACTACTCTCTGTGTCTACGTAGACATTGACAGTAAATGTATTACAGCCAATCTCAGCAGTTTGCTGAATGGATCAATACTTATGGTCCCATCATATCCCTTCGGTTGGGACCTAGCAGGGTCATGGTCATCATCGGCAGATATCAGGTAAGACGATCCAAATACTGCTCACTGTGCACCTTCATACTTACCCGCACAGGAATCTGACGACATAATGGAGAAAGAGGGTGGTATGCTAGTGGACCGCCCTCGCGCAGTTGCAGCAGGAGAGATCTTGTCTCGCGGACTACGTATGCTTCTTGCACCCGCAGGAGAGCAGTTCCGGAGACTTCGCAAGTTGTGTTGATATTTTCTCTTGCTGAACTATTTTGCTGAAGTTGTTTCATGCAGGGCAGCACACACTCATCTTCAAGCAAAAGCTGCAGACTCCTATGCACCCATCCAGATGAACGCCGCCCGTGACGTTATCCTTGACATCCTTGATAACCCTAAAGGACACCAAGCAGCTGTGAATCGGTGTGTTGCACTTCGAAGTTTATTCTACAATCGCTTACGCATTCAACGCAAGCTACGCCGCCTCAGTCATGTTGCGTATCATGTATGGGAAGTCCACGCCCACCGCCACGAATGCACCTGAGATCATCGTGATGCATAAAATGCTCAAGCGCTTCCTGATGGTCATGCGACCTGGTGCGTTCCTGGTAGATCGCTACCCAATCCTCAAGTACGTCCCAGGATACACGACCGAGTTGGAGGAATGGAGAAGAGAAGAGAGTCAGGTCTTCCATGACCAACTCGATCGTGTTTCGAGAGAGTTGGTTGGTTCCTTCGACGTCTTTCCTAAACACCAACTCACCAGTTCTTCGCAGGCGACCGGGAAGGCCGGCCCCTCATTTGCTCGGTACCTTCTTGAGAACCAGTCCTCACACAAGCTTTCGGACGACGAAATGGTCTATCTTGCTGGATCGCTCTTTGGTGTCGGTTTAGATACGACTGCTGTGGCGATCATGTCTGTCGTCATGGCTTCCGCATGTTATCCCAAGGCGCAGGAGAAGGTGCAAGAACAACTGGACATCGTCGTTGGTCGTGACAGAGGTATGCCGAAGCTCATCTGTGTGAACGATTCTCAAGCTAGTCTTTACAGCTCCTACTTTCGACGACTATAATTCCCTTCCGCAGATCGAGGCGTTCATGCTAGAGTGTCTTCGCTGGAGGCCCGTGACACCCCTTGGATTTGCTCACCTTGCCTCGGCTGATATAGTCTACGTACATTTCCAATGCTCTGGCGTGATTTTCTGATTCTTATTGCTGCCTGAGCAGAAAGGCATGTGTATCCCAGAGGGTGCTGCAGTATTTGGGAACCATTGGTACCGAATGCTCTTCATTTTATTCAGATGTATGTACTAATCACCCTCTAACAGGGCAATCTCGCGCGACCCGAGCGTATATCCCGACCCTGAGCAGTTCGATCCTGAGAGATGGCTCAACAGCGAGGGCAAAATCCGGGACGACCTCAAGTTCCCTTCATTCGGCTTTGGACGCAGGTACGCCCTTTTCCTGATATTTAACCAAGTTGAACCCTGCTGAAGAACAATCTGCAGAATCTGCCCCGGGCGGCACATAGCGAATCGCTCTGTCTTCATCAATGCCGCGCTACTCTTGTGGTCGTTCAAGATCACGCAGGACCCGGAGAATCCGATTGATCAGATGGGCTTCGCGGATGGGGTGGTTGCACACCCCAAACCGTTCTCTGCGCGCTTCCAGCCGCGTTTTGGGGATGAGGGATCATTGAGGAACGTGATGGCTAAGTACGGTGAGGGGTTGTAGGATACTATTTAGCCTGAATCGGTGACTGATGTATGAGCTTGGGACGTGCTGAGGTTTTTACCTTTTAGCGAGAAGTATTAGGCTGCTTTTGGAGTATTGAACATGACTGTCCAGATCCCACATGACCAGCAGCACCTGTAGCTGCACCGACACCATCATGGCCGCTCTCCACGGACGTTCGGAATATTAATGATGTCCGGTAGGCTCGTCTAAATTTCGACTTCGTAGTGGACCCGATCTATCGCCACAAGCTGATGAGTCTTGCACATCTGCTAGTAGCGGGACAATGAGACGTTGAACGTGCCCTCAGTCTCGGTGGAACGGACTGAGGGAAGAGGTGATACACAAAAAAACAACTACATATGCTAGTCACTAGGGCACGTCGGTTGCACCCACCTTTGCGCAGTAGCGCCACAGCGGTATTCTCCGACTAAAGTCAGGCACATTAAAATGCAGGAGCATTATATAAATGCCTTGGAGGGCTGCTCAATTCTGTGAATGTCGACTTGAAGCTTACGGTCACCTCACGTAAATTTCCTACGTCCATGGTACTAGCTAGACAGACTTTGATTTAGGGAAATACTACATGTATTTAGCAATATCTGTTACTACTCCATTGAAAGATTGAGGTCTCTATACAGCGAGGATCAGGACGAGGTACGACAAGGTGCACGTGGACAAATTAGGAAAGGATTAGGGTACGCGTAGCCTATAGGTAATTTACGTAAGGTGACCGAGCTTCAAGTCCGAATCATGATATCATTGACAACAACTTTTTAGAATTGAGCGCAGCCCTGGAGCCAGCCGTAAAAGATCATAGAATCTTTTGCAAATATCTTCCAAAGTCCGTTATAATCTACTCCGAGTCTGCAGTATTTTGCCTACTGATAGTCACCTCAGATACCATGCACATGGACGACCTCACCCCTCCTCACCCTTGGTGAAGAAGGAGCGACTGTTCATCCTCTATCAAGGCCATTACGGGAGACTATACCTCACCTGTCTCAGGTGTGGGATACTGATGTATATCACCTCCCCACAGCCGCTGTCTCCCAATATCTTTCTTATCCCGCAGCAGCATTGGCCAGTTTAAACCGCATTCTGTCAGCTCCGGAGTCCAAGATAAAACAGGAGCTTCTGTACGCACACATTCGCCATCCTTCCTCCGCTCCCCCCTTGTACCAAGTTGCCGTTTTTGCATTAATAAACGATCGGAGAAGACTATTCCAGGATGCTCGAATTGACATTTCAACTCAAGGCCCTAGGAGCATTCATCGCTCTCGTTCTGGCAGGCAATGTCCTCCGTGCTAAATTACGATCGAGGTCACGCCTGCCTCTTCCTCCAGGACCCCCAGGACATTGGCTGTTCGGAAACCATATACCAAGTGCCAAGTGAGCACATAAAATAGACTTCTCTCTGTGTCTACGTAGACACTGACGGTAAACGCATTGCAGCCAATCTCAACAGTTTGCTGAATGGATCAATACCTATGGTCCCATCATATCCCTTCGGTTGGGACCTAGCAAGGTCATGGTCATCATTGGTAGACATCAGGTAAATGACTCTAATACTGCTCACCGTGCACCTTCATACTCACTTGCGAAGGAATCTAACGATATAATGGAGAAGGAGGGTGGTGTACTAGCGGACCGCCCTCGTGCAGTTGCAGCAGGAGAGATCTTGTCTCGCGGACTATTAATCGTCCTTGCACCCGCAGGAGAGCAGTTGCGGAGACTTCGCAAGTTGTGTTGACATTTTTTTTACTGAACTGGTTTTCTGAAGCTGTTTCATCTAGGGCAGCACACACTCCTCTTCAGGCGAAGGCTGCAGACTCCTATGCACCCGTCCAGATGGACGCCGCCCGTGATGTTATCCTTGACATCCTTGATAACCCTAAGGGACACCAAGCAGCCGCGAATCGGTTTGTTGCACTTCGTAGTTTATTCTATAACCGCTTACTCATTCAACGCAAGCTACGCAGCGACAGTCATGTTGCGTATCATGTATGGGAAGTCCACGCCCACCGCCGCGAATGCACCCGATATCATCGTCATCCATAAAATGCTCAAGCGCTTCCAGATGCTCATGCGGCCTGGCGCGTTACTGATAGAGCGCTTCCCAATTTTAAAGTACGTCCCAGGATACACGACCGAGTTGGAGGAATGGAGAAGAGAAGAGAGTCAGGTCTACCATGACAAACTCAATCGTGTTTCGAGAGAATTTGTTGGTTTCTTCGACGTCTTTCCTAAACACCACCTCACCAGTTCTTCGTAGGCAACCGGCAAGGCCGGCCCTTCATTTGCTCGGTATCTTCTTGAGAACCAGTCTTCACACAAGCTTTCGGACGACGAAATGGCCTATCTTGCTGGATCGCTGTTTGGCGCCGGTTCAGACACGACTGCTGTGGCGATCATGTATGTCGTCATGGCTTCCGCGTGTTATCCCAAGGCGCAGGAGAAGGTGCAAGAGCAGCTGGATATCGTCGTTGGTCGTGACAGAGGTATGTAGAAGTTCATCTGTGTGAACGATTCTCAATCCAGTCGTTACAGCTCCTACTTTCGACGACTACAATTCACTTCCGCAGATCGAGGCATTCACACTGGAGTGCCTCCGCTGGAGACCCGTGACAACCCTTGGATTTGCTCACCGTGCCTCGGCTGATATAGTCTACGTACGTTTCCAGTGGTCTGGCGTGATTTTCTGATTCTTATTGCTGCTCGAGCAGAAAGGCATGCTTATCCCAGAGGGCGCTATAGTATTTGGGAACCACTGGTACCGAATGCTATTCATTCTATTCAGATGTATATACTGATCACCCTCTGACAGGGCAATCTCGCGCGACCCGAACGTCTATCCCAACCCTGATCAGTTCGATCCTGAGAGATGGCTCAACAGCGAGGGCAAAATCCGGGACGACATCAAGTTCCCTTCATTCGGCTTTGGACGCAGGTACGCCCTTTTCCTGATATTCAACCAAATTGAACTCTGCTGAAGAAGAATTTGCAGAATTTGCCCCGGGCGACACGTAGCGAATCGCTCTGTCTTCATCAACGCTGCGCTACTCTTGTGGTCGTTCAAGATCACGCAGGACCCGGAGAATCCGATTGATCAGATGGGCTTCGCAGATGGGGTGGTTGCACACCCCAAACCGTTCTCTGCACGCTTCCAGCCGCGGTTTGGGGATGAGGGATCATTGAGGAACGTGATGACTATGTACGGTGAGGGGTTGTAGGATATTGAGCATGAAGTAGTGACTGATGTAGATATGAGCTTGGGACGTGCTGAGGTTTGTACCATTAGAGAAAAGTATCAGGCTGCTTCATAATGTTATGCAGGCTCTACGCACCTTATGAGAAGGTCTGGTGAAAGAGCCAGATTCTGATGCCATGAGCTGAGGTGATGGTCGATCATCAGCAGCTGATGACGCCGTGAGCCTGTCGTAGCACTGACTGAAACGCAATCCTTTACAGGGATTTGGGAAAAGCCTAGCACAGGCGCTCTATTCATTTATTCGTGCAGTTAGATTGGATGATGCAGTCGAATTATGCAGAAAAACACATCATCCATGGAGGGCTGCTACTGTTTCAGTGGCGAGCTATTGGTAAGTCAAGCTCCACGTATCATATGTGCTCCAATCTGCCAACGGCAAACGAGCAACGAGATGACGACGGCACCCACGACGCCGAGGATGGCAGGGAAACCCACATCGAAAATTGTGGAAATCGACATGTGCAAGAGCAGCCATAAATACGCACCATTCAACCGTTTGTGTATATCGTTTGTCAATACCACTCAGATTCTTAAGGTCGCAGGTATCGAGAAGGATAGGCGCACTAAGATCCCCGAGAAGCATATCCTGCCAGGTAAGCCATCGTATTAATGTGTCCTTCAAGCCCCACCTCCCCGATCTAGAGCACATTTTCTATGCAGGCATAATGTAGCTCTTGCGCCCTGCCCGCAAACATTCAGCGTCCTGAAGTCTGCAAGTCGGACATGGTAAGACCACCTGTGAGCGCAGATCAGTATCCTATGCGAGGAGAAACAGACCGCAGACATGATGAAACTTGGTGGCGGCTTCTGGGATGGAGGCCCGGCAGTATTAGAAAATATGCCTTCGCCACCATCTCAAGAAGATGTAGGTGGGAGAGGGAAGCAACATCTACGTTGGAAACACTAGGTAGCATTCACGTGGAGGACGGGTCCGGTGTACATACACGCTTCTATTTTCCGTGTACTGACCGTCAGCTAGTCCCACCGCAGACCACGCATTCCATGTCTCTCAGCTGGCGATTATCCTCGATCGGACAAGTTCACGAATCATCAGAGTGACTCGAATAACGTGCGTTTGACATTCTCCGACAAAGCAGCAGGCATCCTATAATGACGTGTTTCTTCGCCCACCTCTGCCTTTATTTGCAGATGATTGACGACACGTTTCCGTCCGTCATGCTATCGTAATGGAGTTACAGGTCAATAACACAGGGAGGATGAATCCGAAGGACGAGACTGCCTTTCATGAGTACAAAATCCAGGTAGATATATTTCAATTGCGTACGCACATAGAAATTCGAGCACTGAAAGTACTGAACCCTGGAGAGGAAAAGATATGGTGAGCCGCTCGCCGTGAGTGCTGAACTTGGGCGGCCTGTGTACAGCCGAAGGTGGTTCATGTGTCCACGCTGACGGGTACTGATCTACTTGTACAGCCTTGGACCGTCACGGCATATTGGCTCGAAATGTCGTGGCGAGCTCTCGCACGTACCTCTGGTTTGTTGTTCCGTTCTCTCGCAATTCTCTCTTGAATGAGATACTTATTGCCAATCGATTGCATGACAAAGCATCTATACATGGTATAATTAACGTGACCATCACGCTGTCACGGTGGGGCCCAAAGTCTTATGTAATATATTCCCGAAATTAGAATTTTCCGACAATCGTATCCCTTCTGCTTTGAGCGCGCAGAATCAACGCGGAATGATCAAGGCTGAATGGTTTGAATTCAAATACCCGCTAGCAGAGGATTCAGGCCGTTCAGGCCTCACTGAGGTCCGGTGCGTGAATCCTATTCGACCCCCTTTGATGATTTTTCAGATAACAACATAGTATTCAAACCTTCGTTCGCTCGGGCTGAAGCTGAAGTGCTATGGCGGGCGGGCGGTGATAGCTCGCCACTTGGGGACATGATTAGACCTCAGGCCAAGAAAAAGTTGAACTAGTTGCGTTAGTCAAGGTGCGTTCATCGGGATCACTCAAATAGACCAACTTCAGTAGTGCATTCTTTGTCGTAGATCTGTCTGTTTCCACTGAGTTCGTGGATTTGTTATTCAAGTCTGCCAGATATCATGCACGCGGACAACCTTACCATGGGTGAAGAAGGAGCGACTGTTAACTTCTATTAAGGTCGCTACTACAGGAGACTAGACCTCACCCTTGTCTCATAGTATCAGGTAATTGCGAGGCTCGGTGTCACGCCTTGATACTGATGAGTAGATCTCCTCATCCTCAAAGCCGCTATCTCCCAATATATTTTTTATCCCATCAGCATTGGTCAGTCTAAACTGCCGCTTCTGTCAGCTCCTCCGAAATAAAATGGGAACTTCGCGCACATTCGCCATCCTTCCTCCGCTCCCTCCCTTGTATCAAGTTGTCGTGTTTGCACTAATAGACTATTGGAGGATGCTCGAATTGACGTTTCAACTCAAGGCCCTAGGAGCATTCGTCGCGCTTGTTTTGGCAGGCAATGTCCTCCGCGGTAAATTACGATCGAGGTCACGCCTGCCTCTTCCTCCAGGACCTCCAGGACATTGGCTTTTCGGAAACCCACTACCAAGAGTCAAGTGAGTAAAATAAACTACTCTCTAGGTCTACGTAGATACCGACGGTCAACGCATTACAGCCAAACTCAGCAGTTTGCTGAATGGATTAATACTTATGGTCCCATCATTTCCCTTCGGGTCGGGCCCGGCACGGTCATGGTCATCATTGGTAGGCATCAGGTAAATGACTTCAATACTGCTCACCGTGCATCTTCATACTCACTTGCGCAGGAATCTAATGACTTAATGGAGAAAGAGGGTGGTGTGCTAGCGGACCGCCCTCGTGCAGTTGCAGCAGGAGAGATCTTGTCTCGCGGATTATACATGATCCTCGCACCCGCAGGAGAGCAGTTTCGGAGACTTCGCAAGTTGTGTTAATATCTTCTCTTGCTGAACTATTTTTCTGAGGTTGTTTCATCCAGGGCAGCACACACTCATCTTCAAGCGAAAGCTGCAGACTCCTATGCACCCATACAAATGGACACCGCCCGTGATGTTATCCTTGACATCCTTGACAACCCTAAAGGACACCAAGCAGCTGCGAGACGGTGTGTTGCACTTCGTAGTCTATTCTACAACCGCTTACGCATTCAACGCAAGCTACGCCGCCTCAGTCATGTTGCGTATCATGTATGGGAAGTCCACGCCAACCACCACGAATGCACCTGAGATCATCGTGATGCATAAAATGCTCAAGCGCTTCCTGATGGTCATGCAACCTGGCGCGTTCCTGGTAGATCGCTACCCAATCCTCAAGTACGTCCCGGGATACACGACCGAGTTGGAAGAATGGAGAAGAGAGGAGAGTCAGGTCTTCCATGACCATGTCGATCGTGTTTCGAGAGAATTGGTTGGTTCCTTCGACGTCTTTCCAGAACACACCTCACCAGTTCTTCGCAGGCGACCGGGAAGGCCAGCCCTTCATTTGCTCGGCATCTCCTTGAGAACCAGTCATCACACAAGCTTTCGGACGACGAAATGGCCTATCTTGCTGGATCGCTCTTTGGCGCCGGTTTAGACACGACTGCTGTGGCGATCATGTCTGTCGTCATGGCATCCGCATGTTATCCCAAGGCGCAGGAGAAAGTGCAAGAACAGCTGGATATCGTCGTTGGTCGTGATAGAGGTATGTCGAAGCTCATCTGTGTGAACGATTCTCAAGCCAGTCGTTACAGCTCCTACTTTCGATGACTATAATTCCCTTCCGCAGATCGAGGCATTCATACTGGAGTGCCTTCGCTGGAGGCCCGTGACACCCCTTGGATTTGCCCACCGTGCTTCGGCTGATATCGTCTATGTACGTTCTCAGTGCTCTGATATGATTTTCTGATTCTTATTGCTACCTGAGCAGAAAGGCATGCTTATCCCAGAGGGCGCTATAGTATTTGGGAACCATTGGTATCGAGTGCTGTTCATTCTATTCAGATGTATGTGCTGATCACCCTCTGACAGGGCAATCTCGCGCGACCCGAGCGTCTATCCCAACCCTGAGCAGTTTGATCCTGAGAGATGGCTCAACAGCGAGGGCAAAATCCGGGACGACATCAAGTTCCCTTCATTTGGCTTTGGACGCAGGTACGCACTTTGCCTAATATTCAACCAAGTTGAACTCTGCTGAAGAAGAATCTGCAGAGTCTGCCCCGGCCAGCATATAGCGAATCGATCAGTTTTCATCACCGCTGCGCTCCTCTTGTGGTCGTTCAAGATCACGCAGGACCCGGAGAATCCGATTGATGAGATGGGTTTCGTGGATGGGATGATTGCACACCCCAAACCGTTCTCTGTGCGCTTCCAGCCACGGTTTGGGGATGAGGCGTCGTTGAGGAACGTGATGGCTAAGTACGGAGAGGGGTTGTAGGCTATTGAGCATGAAGTGGTAGCTCGTGCATGAGCTTGTGATGTGCTGAGGTTTACACCGTTGAAGAGAAGCATCAGGTTGCTTTTAGTCATTCATTGTAGTCTGCATTTACAAGCATCCATGGCCATGTACTAACGACTCAAATTTCTCGCATTACTCGAATTTCTTTGTGCGTGCGCACTGCAATTTAAATATGTCTACCTGGATTTTGTACTCATGAAACGCACTAGCTAGTGTTATGACTCGTCTTCGCCCAAACATGACAAAATTTGGGACGTTCTGGAAATTCCGTTGTCGAACTCAAAGACGTTGAACGCACTCTCCTTGAACGGTTGAACGAAGTTTCAGAAGTATGGCCCTAGTGTTGTGGGCGGAACTGGTTGTGCCTGGCAGATGGCAGAACCTGGCAGAACTCAGGGTTGGCAGAGCACTAGTCTATAATAATATGTACACTATGTGTAACTTTTAAAATGTCATAGATGCTCTTGGCTGGTCCTTCGTCCCGGAATATGGTCCATGCTGGTGGCCACCCAGTGCCATCCCTAATCAATGACAACTTTGAGCGTCTCGAAAAAGTTGTTTCCAATCTCGGCACCACGCAATCTGCAAGGCGCTGTAGTCTTTCAGTCGAAACATTTGAAACACTTGGGAAGATTCGCGCAAACCTTCGTTATCAGCAAGCCAAAAGAGCAGAGGACAACCTGCACGTCATCGGCATATGCATGTGTACTCGCGAGGAGGTTGGAATCAATGTTGACGTCGCCCAGGATCTGGAAGCCAATTTCGCATGGCGCCTCCCCTCGCAGCAGAACCACAAGATGTAGACGACCTCCTTGCAGGTCCCGAGACCATATCAGCTGACGAAATTGCTGAAGCATTTGATGCTCTTGGAGTACAGGAGAATCTAGAAGAATTTGTGAGTATCGACAACGCAGAGGTCCTTGGAGGGAAGGCATTTGATTTTGTCGAATTGGAGCGGGTTGACCAAGGGTTAGTACCACAAGCTGCTGTAGATGAGTGTCGTGGATCATGATGGTGAGGATGATGGATGGGACGAGGCGTCGTTGATGTCTTCAGTAGGACTGTCATTGATGTCGTAGATAGAAAATTTTCACCGCTAGAGTTAAGCCACCCGGCACTACTAATCTCAAGTAGTTCTGCCCACAACACTAATACGGTATGGGGAAGGTAACTACGGAAGGCTGGTACATAAGGTACCCACCCACTTTTTAATGGCCGGGGCAGCTGGATTAGGTAACTAGAAGCACCCCCGCTGGCCCCGGCGCTGGGCAATAGTGACTAACGCTAATCCATCACATGCATCACAGGTTTATATAGAGTGCTACTGATGCCATTGCAAGGATCCTCGAAGATTCGCCAAGGTTTCCCGTTGAGCAGCAGTAATTGTCCATCCATTACAAGTGTCTTACAGCTGCGATCACTTAAATTGACTTAATGCATCAAAACGACACTATGGGCTGTCCTCTGAAACACGAAGGCTCTTCATCGACGGAAACGCGTAGTGGAGATTCTTCACGACAACGCGCAAGCTGCGGAACGCGCAAATATGAAATGTGCAGATATAACGCCATCATGATAGTCGCGAGGCTCGGTGTCACGCCTTGATACTGATGTTGATCTCCTCCTGCCCCAAGCCGCGCTAACCACGAGCCGCTATCTCTTAATATATTTCTTATTGGCCAGTTTAAACCGCTTAACCGCCTTCTATCAGCTCCTAGATAAGATGGGGGCTTCTGTACGCGCACATTCCCTATCCTTCGCTCCTTTCCTTGTACTAAGCTGTTGTGTTTGCACTAATAGACTATTCGAGGATGCTTGACTTCACATATCAACTCAAGGCCATAGGAGCATTCGTTACTCTCGTTCTGGCAGGCAATGTCCTCCGCGCTAAATTACGATCAAGGTCACGCCTGCCTCTTCCTCCAGGACCTCCAGGACATTGGCTTTTCGGAACCCCACTACCAAAAGTCAAGTGAGTAAAATAGACTACTCTCTGGGTCTACGTAGACACTGACAGCAAACGTATTACAGCCAATCTCAGCAGTTTGCTGAATGGATCAATACCTATGGTCCCATCATCTCCCTTCGAGTCGGGCCTGGCAGGGTCATGGTCATCATTGGTAGACATCAGGTAAGACGACTCCAATACTGCTCACCGTGCACCTTCATACTCACTTGCACAGGAATCTAACGATTTAATGGAGAAAGAGGGTGGTGTGCTAGCGGACCGCCCTCGTGTGGTTGCAGCAGGAGAGATATTGTCTCGCGGACTATACCTTGTCCTTGCACCTGTAGGAGACCGGTTTCGGAGACTTCGCAAGTTGTGTTAATATCTTCTCTTGCTGAACTGTTTTGCTGAAGTTGTTTCATGCAGGGCAGCACATACTCATCTTCAAGCGAAAGCTGCAGACTCCTATGCACCCGTCCAGATGAACGCCGTCCGTGATGTTATCCTTGACATCCTTGATAACCCTAAAGGACACCAAGCAGCTGTGAAGCGGTGCGTTACATTTCGTACCTTATTCTACAACCGCTTACGCATTCAACGCAAGCTACGCCGCCTCAGTCTTGTTGCGTGTCATGTATGGGAAGTCCACGCCCACTGCCACGAATGCACCCGAAATCATCGTGATGCATAAATTTCTCAAGCGCTTCCTGATAGTCATGCGACCTGGTGCGTTCCTGGTAGATCGCTACCCAATCCTCAAGTATGTCCCGGGATACACAACCGAGTTGGAGCAATGGAGAAGAGAAGAGAGTAAGCTCTTGCATGACAATCTCGATCGTGTTTCGAGAGAATTGGTTGGTTCCTTCAATGTCTTTCCTAAACACCACCTCACCATTTCTTCGTAGGCGACCGGCATGGCCGGCCCCTCATTTTCTCGGTACCTTCTGGAGAACCAGTCTTCACACCAGCTTTCGGACGACGAAATGGCCTATCTTGTTGGATCGCTCTTTGGCGCCGGTTTAGACACGACTTCTGTGGCGATCATGTATGTCGTCATGGCTTCTGCATGTTATCTCAAGGCGCAGGAGAAAGTCCAAGAACAGCTGGATATCGTCGTTGGTCGTGACAGAGGTATGCCGAAGCTCATCTGTGTGAACGATTCTCAATCCAGTCGTTACAGCTCCAACTTTCGACGACTACAATTCCCTTCCGCAGCTCGAGGCATTCATACTGGAGTGCCTTCGCTGGAGGCCCGTGACACCCCTTGGATTTGCTCACCGTGCCTCGGCTGATATCGTCTACGTACGTTCCCAGTGCTCTGGCGTGATTTTCTGATTCTTATTGCTGCTCGAGCAGAAAGGGATGCTTATCCCAGAGGGCGCTATAGTACTTGGGAACCATTGGTACCGAATGCTGTTCTTTTTGATCAAATGTACGTGTTGATAATCCTCTGACAGGGCAATCTCGCGCGACCCTAGCGTCTATCCCAACCCTGAGCAGTTTGATCCTGAGAGATGGCTCAACAGCGAGGGCAAAATCCGGGACGACATCAAGTTCCCTTCATTCGGCTTTGGACGCAGGTATGCATTTTGCCTGATTTTTAACCAAGTTGAACCCTGCTGAAGAAGAATCTGCAGAGCCTGCCCCGGGCTGCATATAGCGAATCGATCAATCTTCATCAACGCTGCGCTCCTCTTGTGGTCGTTCAAGATCACGCAGGACCCGGAGAATCCGATTGATATGTGCTTCGTAGATGACGTGATTGCATGCCCCAAACCGTTCGCTGCGCGCTTCCAGCCGCGGTTTGGGGATGAGGCATCGTTGAGGAACGTGATGGCTAAGTACGGAGAGGGGTTATAGGATATTGAGCACGAATTCGAAAACTGACTTCGAACCTTCGAACCTTCTTGCTTTCCTTCCTCAGTACTTCACGCGCAACACAACTTCCCCAGCACAGTTGCACAAGTGGGACCGACTTGGTAAATTCTTAGGTAGAAATTACATGTTGTCAAGTCCCCTACACGGACCTTCCCCCGCCCAATTTATCCACATCTGCATCCAACATCGGCTAAACCTTCGTATGTGAGAAAACCTAAACCTCGTCGCAGAGTATCATCGTCCTGAATCCTCGTTGTAAAACTTTGGCGAGGACCTAACCGATTCCTTCAGTGCTAATGAGACATATAAAATATCTTATTTAGGAAGATAATATGAAAAGGATTTACATGAAATGCAGTAGCACGAAAATCAAATAATTTACATAGTCTCCTGGCGTGCAGGTTTGCTCCACGTGCCGCTCCGTTCGTTGTGCGTTTTGGGCGAACCAGATGTAGGCCCTAGGGTGAACGGCAGGAGACTCATCGCAGGAGGCCCCCGTAGATATATTTAGAGTAGATGAAGATCACTTCATCCTAACCTATGGCATATATCCTTGCTGGTCGTGGTCATTGGTCACGGTGGAACTGTTCTTCAAATTCAGCGCTCAGCTGTCGCTGTTGCCGAACGGGAGTGAACCAGTCACCTGCTCAACGGCCCGATTTTTATACTATCATTATCTGAACTTTAGACTCTTTAGTTGAAGCTCGATGGCCTCATCAAGGTCAGACGGGACACCTCGCTGCTCGAATCTACATCGGAGACTGATGGCAAGATTGTTGAGAGGAGTTGGTCGATCAGGATGATCGGGGGGACAGATGAGTAGTGCAGCCCGGTGGAGCTCGATGGCCTCATCAAGGTCAGATGGAACGCCCCGCTGTTTGAACATGTTATAAAGGCTGAGGGTAAGATTGCTGAGAGACGTTGATCGTTCATAATGACCGGGAGGACTCCACACCGTCTGCCATGCGCAATTAAGTTACACGAGGACCGTCAAGAACGCACAGAGGGTGAAGCCGGAGAGCGCAATTGACGACACTGTGCCTTTCGTCAGTCCAACATCCAGATAGATATATTTTAATTGAGATGCGCACGCACATAGAAATTTAAGCACTGCAGCTGGAATGGTAGAAACCTGGAGAGGAAATGATATGGCGGCGCCGCGCTGAAAGGCCCCCGCGGGACTTCAAAACCGGATCCAGTGCACTGCACAGTCTGCACCGGGTACCTATTCGAAGCCCGCCACTCACACTCGCATTAGTACTTGCTTTTATACTACATGTAGTGATGGCCGCTGCAGCTGGCAACATTTGAAGTACCACTGCCAACACAAGGAGGTACGTTAGCGTATATGTCATATGGTATACAGTACCATTTCAATGTGATGATGTCTAATACATGTCTTTCAGGATTTCTGGGTATCTTGTTTCTGACACAAACTTCCTGTTGGGCGTGAATTCGTATGTGCCGATTGCATTATGCTGTGAGGGTGGAAATGAGTGGCACGTTGCTGCGAGCTGGGCTGACGACGTCGCTTCATCGGTGCGTATGTTTTAACGTGGAATCATCGCACAATGATGCTTAGACCTTGAACTGTGCAGGTATCAGGCAGGAGTGGGTAGAAGCATTCTCGACAATTGATCGACCAGCTCGATTATTTTATACCTTTGCAGAAACGTCCGAATCTCTGTGCCCGTCGCATGCCAGACTGGAAAATGTAACCTTGCCACTCGCTCCTCGATTCCAGCACAGTATTCGCGTTCAATTTACGCTAATTGTTGCGACCAGCCAGTATCAAATGTTGCACCCTATCAGTCACCAGAATAACAGGGGTAGAGGGCGGCACGTCTTCCGACATCTCCCAGGAGGAATTTGATGCCTTGTGGATGGAGGCGAATACGTGGGGCCTTCTGAAGGATGTAATGCCGTGAGTGACTCTGAACGCGTCTAACTGCTGGATCTTTTCTGAAGGTCGTTGAAAAGCAAACCGAATCACATCCATCACCGCAAATTACCTCGTACACACCCACTTCAACACCTAGTAGCATAAGTAATCCTGCGTTCATCTATACTCCTCACAGAACACGCAGCAGTACGAGAGCGACTGCATGAAAGTGCCTCTCTCCCAAAATGTAACATCCAGACGATGCCTGTGACAGGCAGTCTGAGGCAGACGATTACTATACCGTTATGAAAGAGCTGGATGTCATGAACGGAGGCCGTGATCAGTCAATGATTAGCAGTTGATGACGCAGTGAGTCCGATATTATCCTGTGGAAGCATTCACTGAAATTTGCCGGTGAGTAGATTGAATGAAGTGGAATTATGCAGAAAAGCGATGGGCTATTAGGTAAGTCGAGTCCCGGGTACCATCCACGCATCTCCTAGCTGCGGAAACGAAATGACGACGGCATCGACCTGGGGATGTCAAAGGATTGACAAGGAAACCCACGCCGAAACCTGTGAAAATCGACATGCGCGCGATTTGGTTTGAATTGGCCCTGGATGTCATCATATAACATTACGTGGGACTGCTCCCTCCCGTCATCGCATTCTCCCTAAGCTCCTACTCACTGCTGGAGGAGACAGAAGACTGTTGTGAGCTAACGTGCATTCGGCAGATATACATCTCCGAGCTTATGGTCCGGCTACATGTCCTCCGTGCGAATCGGAGCTTGCTAGAATATAGCACTGTCACGGATTCGAGGTATAAGCTGTATGATATTTCCTTGCATGTCTGACATAGCCGGAGGTTTGCGAAGTACCTTAATCAATGCTGTGTGCTTAGGGACGATAGTTGGCTTGGAAGGGGGGAATCGGACCCTTTTAACGTTGCTCCATCATAACCCTGCCTTCACGAACTTCATCAGCGCGCTTGCTTCTTTTGCTTCCCTTAGCATCTTCCTCTTGGTCTATGCCAGTGACAGCGGAGGAAATGCATCTACTCCACGCGCCCGTCTCTTTCGGGTTTCAGATTGATAGACCGGTTATGCCGAAAGGGAAGGATCAAGGATGCGCGAAGCTTTTCCTGTTCGATGGCAAGTCAGACAGATAACTGCGCTGTTCACCGCTTGTGGTATTTAAATCTGCCAACTTGGTTGTGTGACTTGAATCCCCGTTCCTCTGCCGAGTCTGCCCAGCGCCGCGCGCAGTAAATGTTCGCACGGTGGCCATATATAAGGTTGGCTTCAAACTATCTGATAGCAAAAGGGGTTTGGGTGGTTGCGACAATTTATCAGGTTCACAGAAACTCACTACCTCGAACTTGGACAGTTTCTACCATGTCTTTCTTTGATAAGGTCTTAAATTACGCAGAGCGGCTCCCAGAGGGCATTGAAAGGACAAGAGATCAGATCATCGGTGCGTTGCAAGTTACTCCCGAGGACCTGGGACGCGACTCTCATGACCATTTACTCCCCCAGGAATCATCAATCCTGATAGTGAGCACAATAAGCGCCACGTTTAACCCTATCTTATTTGGCTGGCCAGGACGTCATGATAACCCAGAGGAGAAACTGGACGATGAGATTCGAGCGCAGATCAATGCAAGTCACCGTTTCGATAGCTTCGCGGATCAGAGATTGGAGAATGCTATTAAATGGTACGTTTTCGCCCATATGGACAATTCGGCAGTTCAAATACCCTTCAGGCACATTGATGGTCATGACTATATGTATGCATTGTCTGAGATACTTGACGGTGCAAAGGAGTGTATCTTTATACTAGTATGTAGCTTCGAGATTATTGTCAGCTCGAGACCCATGCATTGTTACAGGACTGGTGGCTCACTCCTGAGTTATACCTTCGGTCAGTGTTTGAACGACGATTGCTGCACTTCAATAGCTGATGTATTTCGTGCTCAGACGACCACCTGCAGATCATCCGGAATGGAGACTGGACCGACTGCTTCAACGCAAGGCTCGACAAGGAGTGAGAATATATGTCATCGTCTATAAAGAGGTACCATTTTATCGTCGAAGGGCCATTCAACCCCTATTAAGCGCTTGGGCACGATTCAGGTCACTCAAACCATGTCGATGAACTCAAAACACACGAAGGTCGGTGCCTCTAGCTTCCTGTTTGGTCTCAAGTATTGATATCAAATAATGCAGGCCGCATTAGAGGCTTTACATCCGAACATTGCTTGTATGAGGCATCCTGACCACATTGGAAGCAAAGGTGAGAACCAAATAATAATCGACGACAGATTCACATAATCTTGAGTCACAGATACCGTGGAATTCTGGTCTCACCACGAGAAGGTATGCGTATGCCCTTTTGTTTACTGTAACCCCTATACTTATTGCTGACAGCTTGTGGTTGTCGACAACCACCGCGGATGTGTTGGAGGACTTGACATTTGTTTTGGTCGCTGGGATACACACAATCACCCCCTCGCAGATGTCCACCCGACAGATTGGTCACGCACTCTCTTTCCTGGGCAGGATTATAACAATGCACGTGTCCTTGACTTCCAGAATGTCGATAACTATGTCAGCAATGCTGTCTCGATCATGGAAACACCCAGAATGCCATGGCATGATGTAAGTTTCGAGCTGTTCAAACTCTCATACCACATTGTGTAACCCTTGTCGTTAATATTAGGTTCACATGACAATGTGTGGTTCTATTTGTTTGGATCTTTCTCAGCATTTCGTTGAGAGGTGGAACGAGGTGAAACGTAGGAAGGTACGTGATCCGACGGTCTTAGATATGCTGAAAGTCTGATGTTGATACCACGTTGTCAAAGTACCGCAATGACGAGTAAGTTCAACAACTTCAAATGAATATTCAACCTTACCACTCCCTCCACAGTCGATTTGACTGGCTTGCGCTTCCTCACAACGTGGCGCTTTCTCCGAACGAAGCTGTCGTCCGTATGTAGATGGTTTCTAGCAACACTATCTGACACTAATCATTCACAGGCCACCCCCATCGTGAGAAATGGCATCAGATGGGTCGTCGGTTCAAACAGCGCTTCCATCTCGAAGAAGACGACGTAGTCGAGCCGCCTTATACTCCTCCCCCGCACGGCCTTTGCCGCGTGCAGGCTGTGCGGAGCGTTTGCGACTGGAGTCACGGTGTGCTTACTGAACACAGCATTCAAAATGCTTGTACGTCTTCCCCACGCACAAGCCGCATGTTTGCTCTAAAACCTTGGTACAGACATTCAATTGATCAACGAGGCGAATCATTTCATATATATTGGTAAGTTCCGATGCCACTGGATGTTTATTCCAATGAGATATTTACGTTGGTGACTGATCTAAAGAAAACCAATTCTTGTGAGTACGGCAGTAAAGCACACGCCCCCGCGATCTGATCCACTTTGCTATATTTAGCATCTCTAATACACGCGAGGAAGGCCCAGTGAAGAACCAAATAGCAAAGGCGATTGTCGAGCGGATCATTAAAGCCGCCAAGGATGATCGAAAGTTCAAGGTCTGTGATGTCCTTTGTTACTATTCGCCTGACCGTTGAGCGATGAAACTAGGTCATTGTGGTTATCCCTGAACTCCCCGGATTTGCCGGAGATATCAAGAACGACAGCGCTTTGAAGATTATTATGGCAGCGCAGTACCGCACGATTAACCGTGGCGGTCACAGTATATATGAAGAGATCCGGAAAGCTGGTTATGAGCCGTGAGTTATGATTGTTGTGATTGTTGTGTTTTAATTGTACTGAATTCTCGGGTATTAGATTGGACTACATTCGTTTCTACCACTTGCGTTCCTATGACAGGATCAATGCTCCGCAGAGTAAGCCCCTTTAGTAACACTGCAGGTCTGTTCTAAATGTGGCATAACAGAAACGTTGATATCACAAATGGAGGCAAACTCGGGGGTCTCATTTTACGAAGCCCAAATCGCTCTTGCGCGTCAATGGGAAGGTCCCCGCTACGCTGGCGGCGATGCTCCAAAGGAAGTTTTTATCAGAGTGCCCGAGCCTGCAGTAGCAGGCATGCCTTTGAACCAGACCAAGACGAAGCCGGAGAAGGTGTCTCTACCAGCATCATACGATGACGCAGTGGACATTGTTCGGAGGTTCGAGAAAGGCTCAGATGACATCAGAGGCGACGAAGATGTGTCCGATACCATTGCGCAGCACAGACTGCTAGACCAAACACGCTTGAGCGATGAGATTTGGTATGGTTCCGAGGCAGAGGAGCGGGATGCGTATGTTTATTGTTGCATGTCGCTGGTGTCCACAGCTAATTTCATCGGAAAGATACGTGTCAGAGCTTCTCTATATCCACTCGAAGGTTATGATCGTTGACGATAGACGTGTTATCGTGAGTGCTTCCAGACTGACCTGTATCTCTTTCTGATTGGTGACATTGGAACTAGATGGGTTCTGCGAATTTGAATGACAGAAGCCAAAAGGTAGGTCACCTGCCATTAAACAATCATGTGTAATCTCACAACCCTCGCCTTTTAGGGAGATGGCGATTCTGAAATTGCCCTTGTTGTCGAAGACGGTGACATGGTACGTTCGACGATGGACGGGCAGCCATATATGGCCGCACGTTTTGCGACTACTCTGCGTCGCAAGCTCTTCCGGGGTAAGGACAGCGCAAAACTTACTGGAGTGTTAGTTAACCAATATACAGAGCACCTTGGCCTCATTGAGCCTCAGAACGTCTTGCATTCCAAAGAGGCGGTGACCTCCTTCATGCGATGTGCGCCAGAGCCCAACGACGACGAGATCGGGACGCGGGAAGACCGTGCCGTCGCCGATCCCCTTGCAGACAGCACTTTGGAACTATGGAATCGTACAGCAAGAGTAAATCGCGAGATTTTCACGGAAGTCTTCCGCCCTGTGCCCACTAACCTTGTCCGTTCCTGGTCCGCGTACGAGGCAAGCAATAATATTTATGAATTTCCTCGGATCATGTCTGACGGTTACTATGCAGAATTATGTGCCAAAGGTTAAGACTGGTCACGTTGTACCAGAGATTCAGCTGCAGCGTATCAAGGATCGCCTTTCCCAGGTCAGGGGTTCGGTGGTCGAGTGCCCTCTGGTACGTCCCAGATGTTCTATTGCGAGATTGGCGCTCACTTGTCACCCCAGGATTTCTTGATCGATGACAAGGAGTTTGTTGAGGGTGTTGACTGGTTGGGATTGAATCCGACGCTTCCGATTTATATCTGATCAAAGTCGTGGTGGCGTCAAGCTTGGGGGACTTTCATGAATGGACTGGTATAACTATGATTGTGTATGATTATTGCGCTCTTGTCCAAGTTTTATACGAAATCTGAGCTCTGTAGATTCTACAATTTCAAACACCAAAACCGCGGCGAAGAACATTGATTGGCAATATTTAATGCATGCCCTGGTCAGGAGGACATGAGAGGACACGAGGCATTCATTTGTGGGCAAGAATAATACCCGAATCGCCTGAAGAGTTCAAGCTCCACTTGTAAAGCAGGCTAAAGCAGGTCATTCAAAATAAGGGTTGCTGTGGTGTGGCAGAACCCGTAGAACGGACATAATAAGATTACAATTACATAGTCCAAGAAGCGCTTCCGACTCCACTGCGCTTGCGTTTCCCTTCCCAGCTGACCGTATACTCTTCGTCGTTGCTCGTCGCCTCCAACGATGAGCACAATGACTGACTCCCATCGGCAGAGTCTTTCCCATCCATTTCTTTCTCATCTTATTGCCCTGCTATCCGCCTACGAACTATGTCCTATGTCGACACCACCTCCACGATATGATGGGCCTGCAGATTGGCAGACAGACACCATCATTCGCTCTCTCGGCGCCGTTGCACGCAGAATGTACACTGCGGAAGAGACTCTAGCTTCAATCAAAGCCTCGGAGTGTTGGCAAACAAATGGGCCAGAGACAAAGAAAAGACGCAGTGTAGGCGACAATCCCATATCCTCTTCTTCTTCTTCTTCTCCTCCTCCTCAGAAAGAGACCAACCCATCTTCTTCTCTCATGCAGTCAAGCACCAATGTCAATGCTTTCGCTCCGTCTTCCGGTTCACCAGGATCAACTCCTTGTTTTCAGACCAACACTTCAAATCTCGCAACTACTGTAGAATCAATTGATGTCGACATGCAGGACGCCGATAGCGTAAATGGTGTAGCCAGCAACGATAACACACCAAGCAACAAAGTACACTCCGCTCGTCCAACCTCAATGTCCTTATCGCTCGACGGAATTCCCACTCATATGGATGCTGCAACACTCCTTCGGTCATCTAGGAACGGAAGTTCGGCCTCTGCACCCCCAACATCGCACAGCGAACACATGGCGTGCCCAACATGCGGAAGGGCTATCACCGACACTTTGACTATGAGCCGAATTAACAGCAGTTTTGATGACACACCCAACGGATCTCCTCTCGTCGTCCCTCCCGGTCCTCTTGCTGCTGCTGCGTTCGAAAGCGGCATGAGCGCTGTCGAAGAACTGAGGCTGCTCAAGGCTCAGGTCCAAGATGTCGCCCGTGTGTGCAATGCTGTGGCCAGAGGTGACTTGTCTCAGAAAATTACGGTTCCCGTGCAGGGTGTGGTCATGGTTCAATTGAAGGACGTTATAAACACTATGGTATTCTTCCAGAATCTTATCCTAAGGTATCGCTCATGCACATCATTGTCAGGTCGACAAATTGGGACAGTTCGCCAAAGAGGTCACTCGTGTCAGTCAAGAAGTCGGTACAGAAGGGTAAAGTGGCTACTAACCAAGTTCTTATATGATTTGCTCAGTCTTCTGCAGTAAACTCGGTGGACAGGCTCTCGTATTGGATGTCGAAGGTACTTGGCGGGAATTGACTGGCGTCGTCAATAAATTAGCTGCCAATTTGACCAATCAAGTCCGAAGTATCGCCAAGGTCACTAAAGCTGTCGCTCTGGGAGATTTGTCGAAACAGATCGATGTCGATGCTCGTGGCGAAATCCTTGATTTGAAAAATACCGTAAACGGAATGGTTATTCGGCTTCGTGCGTTAGCCGCCGAAGTCACTCGTGTCACATTGGAAGTCGGATCTCAAGGCAAGTTGGGTGGTCAAGCGCATGTACCAGATGTCGAAGGTGTTTGGTTCGAGTTGGTTCGCAATGTATGCCCATTACTTGTCTTATTTGCATAGGGGTCTAATTTGCGTCTCAAGGTCAATCGGATGTGTTCAAGCTTGACGGATCAAGTGCGGTCTATTGCCAAAGTCACAACGGCCGTTGCCAAGGGTGACTTGACGCAGAAGATTGAGATCCAGGTCGAAGGCGAAATGTCAACTTTGAAGGGTACTGTCAATTCCATGGTGGACCAGTTGAGCGCCTTCGCATCAGAAGTCACTCGTGTCGCGCTTGAAGTCGGAACGCAAGGTATATTGGGTGGTCAGGCTCGCGTAGAAGGTGTCCAGGGTACCTGGGCTGACTTGACACGCAACGTGAACGTAAGTTACATAATATGTGTTCTCGTCAAGTGTCGCTGATAAGCCGTCGGACAGAAAATGGCTAGCAATTTGACTGACCAAGTACGATCGATCTCAGAGGTCACAAAGGCTGTCGCCTTGGGCGATCTAAACAAAGTCGTCAACGTCGATGTGCAGGGAGAAATGCTGGATTTGAAAATGACTGTCAATTCTATGGTTGCCCAATTGTCTACGCTCGCCAACGAAGTTACTCGTGTGTCTTTGGAAGTCGGTACGGAAGGTATTTTGGGCGGTCAAGCATATGTCCCCGATGTGCAGGGCATGTGGAAGGTAGGGCGCAGAGACGACAAATTATACCGTTTCTGACGTTTACTACAGGTTCTTACAGATAATGTCAACCTCATGGCTATGAATTTGACCAACCAGGTGCGATCGATTGCAGAAGTGACTAAGGCCGTCGCTGGTGGCGACTTGACGAAAAAGATTGAAGTCGACGTGCGCGGCGAAATCAAGGAGTTGAAGGAGACTGTCAATGGCATGACCGAGAGCTTGAGTCTCTTCGCCGATGAAGTCACTCGTGTCGCAAGGGAGGTCGGCACAGAAGGACGCTTGGGAGGTCAGGCTCGCGTAACTAACGTTGGTGGTACATGGAAGGTGAGTACGATGCACAGGCTGTGGATTAACGCTCATCTCCAGTAGGACTTGACGGACAATGTGAACGTCATGGCTGCTAACGTAGGTCAATTTCATCTTATATGGGGCTAATGTTGATTTCCCGCCGTCGTAGTTGACCTTACAAGTCCGAACCATTGCTGTCGCAACCGTGAGTATTTCTTGCCGCGACACAGTTCTTCTGTTGAGTTTATCATCAGACTGCTGTCGCCCGCGGAGACTTGACTCAACAAATCACTGGTGTCTCTGTGTCCGGAGAGATGTTAAGCTTGGTCAACACTATCAACGACATGATTGCTCAATTGGCAATCTTCGCCAAGGAAGTCAAGAAGGTCGCATTCGAAGTCGGTACAGAGGGTAAATTGGGTGTCCAGGCTGAGGTGGGCAACGTCCAGGGTATCTGGCAGGAAATCACGTAAGTAATGGACACGATTCAAGGATATGGGTGTTGACATCGCTATAGAATGTCCGTCAACACTATGGCCGGCAACTTGACCACGCAAGTGCGTGGGTTTGCCCAGATCTCGGCAGCTGCTATGGACGGAGACTTCACTCGTTTCATCACTGTTGAGGCCAGCGGAGAGATGGACTCTTTGAAAACACAGATCAATCAGATGGTATTCAATTTGCGTGACAGTATCCAGAAGAACACCGCTGCGAGGGAGGCAGCTGAGCTGGCGAACAGGAGTAAATCTGAATTCCTAGCGAACATGTCGCATGAAATCAGGTAACGTTGTTGTTCCTTCGTCTCAACATCATGTGCTCAATGTCCCATAGGACACCCATGAACGGAATTATTGGCATGACGGAGCTAACTCTCGACTCTGATTTGAACCGATCGCAACGAGAAAGTTTGCTCTTAGTGCACTCATTGGCTCGCTCGCTCCTCCTCATCATTGATGATATTTTGGATATCTCAAAGAGTAAGATTCTATTCTCAATGTTAATGCATTAATCTGATGCACATGTTCTGCAGTTGAGGCCGGTCGAATGACTATGGAGGCCGTCTCGTACTCCCTCCGTCAAACAGTATTCGGCATACTGAAAACCCTTGTCGTCCGCGCCTCCCAAAACAACCTGGATCTCACATATGACGTGGACCCAGACATACCTGATCAACTTATCGGTGATTCGCTACGTCTTCGTCAGGTCATCACGAACTTGGTTGGTAACGCTATCAAGTTCACGCCGTCCAAGGTCTCCCGCAAAGGCCACGTTGCACTTAGCACGAGGCTGTTGGCGCTTGATGACTCGAGTGTGACCCTAGAGTTCTGTGTCACCGATACGGGGATCGGTATTGCCAAAGACAAACTGAACCTCATTTTCGACACCTTCTGTCAGGCAGATGGTTCGACGACGAGAGTACGTCCATGTCGCAATTTATCGCAAGGCTAGTAGCTGATCGTCGCATAGGAATACGGCGGAACCGGTCTGGGCCTTTCCATCTCCAAACGCCTTGTCAACCTCATGCAAGGCAACATGTGGGTCGAGAGCGAGGTTACGAAGGGAAGCAAGTTTTTCTTCACGATCACATCGCAGATCTCCCAAAGCACGCTGGACACCACACTGCAAAAGATGCAACCATTCCAGAAGCGTGCTATTTTGTTCGTTGACACCCTCAACGACACGACTGGGGTTGTCCAAAGGATCCAAGAGCTTGGACTGAGACCATATGTCATCCACGATGTCAGCGAGGTAGCTGACAAGGAGCGCTGTCCGCATATCGACACTATCGTCGTGGACTCGTTGAGCATGGTACGTCATGTAGGTGTCATATAAGTTCATGCTTGCCTCATGTCTTCTTCATAGACCGAGAGTATTAGGGAATATGAGCACTTGCGCTACATTCCCATCGTATTACTGGCGCCCTCGATGCCACGTCTGAATCGTGAGTATGCGAGGATGTGCTCTGGTGATATGGGGTTGACAGTCGTAGTTAAATGGTGCTTGGACAACAGCATCAGCTCGCAGGTTACGACCCCAGTCACAGCTCAAGACCTTGCTTCCGCACTCATTTCTGCCCTGGAGTCAAATACTGTCTCACCTGTCTCGGCGCCGAATGACATTGTCTTTGACATCCTGCTTGCCGAAGATAACATGGTTAACCAAAAACTAGCAGTCAAGATTCTGGAGAAGTATGGCCACACAGTCGAGATCGCAGAGAATGGAAGTCTAGCTGTCGATGCGTTCAAGGCACGGATACAAGTGAACAAGCCATTCGACATCATTTTGGTGAGTCTTCCTTTCCGCGCTCAATGGTCCACAGCAGTAATATCTCCACAAGATGGATGTATCGATGCCTTTCATGGGAGGAATGGAGGCAACTGAGCTCATCCGAGCGTATGAAATGCACAAAGGACTCCTACGGATTCCCATCATTGCCCTCACCGCTCACGCCAGTACGTTACAATCTCGAGGCTTAGGGACGGTAACTAATTTACTTTCTCAGTGATTGGCGATCGCGAGCGATGCCTGCAGGCAGGCATGGACGATCACATCACTAGTATGTACCCCGTTAATTCATGCAATCTCCGAGTTTCATGGATACTTATTTTTCAGAACCCCTTCGTCGTGGAGATCTCTTGAATTCGATCAACAAGCTCGCAGGCGAGCGGGCACAGCTAGCCAAGCAGCATCACCTCCTCCACAGGCCACCTGCTCTCATGGCACCATGAGTCCGTGACCGATACTTTTTTGCATGATTCCATTGTCTCAGGTTTTGTATACCCTTGTATGATGTCGATTCTAGTTTGTCGATGCTTCTACTGACGTTTACGGCTTTCCAACGCTACCCCTGTCAGATTAATCTGTACGATAGCATGTTCATGTTTTCTGTAACACTGTCTCAGATCCGTCGTGTAATCTCATATTTCGAACCCCATGTATGTCGACGTATGATGTTGGACTTTCGTTCATTTTATGGAACTGTCTTCCTCTAGTTGGTCTGCCTAGTACTGGAGACTAGGTTCATGATGGTCTTTGGTCCTTATTGGTGTCCTGTCGATAATCAATTGAAGCTGATTGACAAAACGTTGTGAAGGTGTCCCCCGGATCTTCATTGTCGAGAAACAATTTTAAACGCGAACAGCACCCTGGCAGCTGACAGCTGACAACTATAAACCTATTTTAAAACTTTCAAGTTCCAGGCAGCGCTTTAGGAATACATCTATGTCCTTCTAAATCACGCATCTGCCAGATCATGACATTTGACACAGAGATGATGGAAATCAAAGAACGAACTGATACCTCGTGACATCTTGTATTCAATTGTCCCACTTCGGATGATCCTAAGACTTCCACGAGTCTTCTAGGGTTATTATTTCTGTTTCAGTGACAACATATCAAATCAACGAGCACGGTGCCATAGCGGCGGATGATTTTACCAATTGATATGTTCCGTAAAAGGAGGTATATATGGTGTTATATGATGTTAAGAAGGGAGGGTATAGTTATGCTGATGCGTCAGGGAAAAAAGGTGGCTCCGACCAATCCTAGTTAGATATTGAAAGAGATGCGAATAATGTTGGCACTCATATTCAAAGGATGATAATACCGCAAGCAATGGCAACGACTAGGCCAAATGCCACAGTAGCTGCCTTCATGTTTACAGCGCCACCAGTCTTGTTAATGAAAGGGTTGCTGCTACTACTGCTAGCAGTACTGGTAGAGCTACTAGCGGTAGCCGTCGAACTGGAAGTGCTTCCGCTGGTAAGCTGTAAATGTAATGCACTGTCAGACCACCACAAGCGAACCCCGTAAATTATCTACGAACAGAGAGAGATCCACCGCAGGCTTCGTTCCAGCTCTCAATTGCGGAATTAGCGTCTATCGAGACAGTTGGGTCAGCCGCAACGAGGCAATTCATGCATGTTTGAAGCTGGGTTCCGATGGACGATACACAAATGCAAGATAGAGTGCTGCCACAGTCCTGGGGGGGACATCTAAGTAATGTTAGAAGCTTGAGTTGTCAGGCGTACTCACACTTATAGTATTGATGACTTGGCACGTGGTTTGGCATTGGGAAGGAAGGTCGGTGGTATTGACCTGGCGGACAGCAAGGGTATTGGAAGAAATGTAGGGCACGATAGGAGGAGCTAGACGCGGAGGGGACATGTCAGTTAACTAATAGTTACTAGTGCATCAAAATTTACCTTGCGCGACAACAGCAAGAGCTTGGAGGAAAGGGGTTGTCTGGACCATTGCAAGTTGCGATTTTGATTGTCTCGGAGCTGAGTAAAAGATGGAACAGCAAACAGAATGTGGGTTGTTCTTTAACTTATAAGAAATTTTGGGAGCCGAGGTGAATGAATGTCAACTCGCGAGCAATATGCCAGAAGGCACTAGGATAAGGGTGCGAGGTACGGGTCGCCCTGAGGAAGATCACGATGTTACGACCGACGCACTGCCAATACTAAGGATCGGCAATAGAACAGTGGTGGTCCCTGAAGTAAATTTGGGCCCGTTTGTGCCTTAAATCAGCGGGGTTGCTTGTGTTTGCAGCCTGCCAGAAGCCTGCCAGGACAGCTGCGGCAGTGCATGATGCATGATGCACGATTAAAGCCTGTATCTTGAATCGTCGATTTCGGTGGTCGATTTGAGTCGGACGATGTTATCTTGACCTATAAATCATAGGAAGCGGTCGCATATTACGCGTGATCGTCGTAGTACTGGTGCTATCGGCCAACAGTGACCGCGTGAGACGCCGCAAAACACTGTTCATTCTCAACAGCGTTCAGCTGTTGACCATGGTGATTAGAATAACAATGCTTACAGTCTTACACGACCTCCCACAACGCGAATGCTTGCCAGCTGTACATATATGGCCATCAACTTCAAGATGCTTCGAGTTCTAGCAAGTTGTGCACCAATTTTTTGATGGCATGGAAACCGATCGGCGGGACGAAGTCTTTCAAGTCATCACCTCATCGCACTAGAGTCTGGACCACGCTGACCCGGAGCTTCGTGAGTACAAGTCAGATAAACATCCAGGAGCTGCGAAGGCTTGAGGACACCCTACTCAGGCTAGTAATTGTTATCCAAAGCACACGCATCGGGTCTCCGAGAATGATCCGCATTCGTCAGCAATCTCGTTATCACAGCCAGTGTGCAACCACTGCTCCATAACCCAATCATCCATGTCTGCCGGGATTAACGTTCCCGAGGAGCAGCCTTTGCTGTCTAGCTCTAAGCCGCCAAGTTATCACGATAATGATAATCCCCAAGAAAGTTTAAGTGGCCCTCAGGATGAAGAGGCCCTCGTCTTGATAGACGAGGCCGATGACTCCCCGAAAGAGCCGTGGACCAGAAGGCAAATAATCTTCTACAGCGGTCTGACACTGCTTGGATTGTTTATATTGGGCGTCTTCGTCAAAGGCTTCATTGATGCTGATGATGTTAACGTATGTCGTGGTCCGACTCGTGGCTCCATTTTCTTCCTCATATTCAACCTTCTCGTTAGTTTGACCTTGGGAAAGCGTTCAAGAGTGCACTAGGAGGAGGGTTAAGTGGTGCTGCAGGTAATTAAATCTATTTGTCGACATACATCTCTGCCACAATTTTGATGTCCTGGCAGCTATGGTATTGCAGGTCTTGGCGCTCATGGTATGATCCTCCTCATACCGACATGTCTCTGGTTCTCGCTGAAAATAATGCAGCCTCTGCGTACGATCATGAATTACCAATACCGATACGGTGCAACAACGACGCAGGCTACCAAGATCTTATACGCTGATGGCGGATGGACGCGATATTACCAAGGCCTCACCGCAGCCCTGGTTCAAGGGCCAGTATCTCGCTTTGGTGACACCGCTGCTAATGCAGGCATTCTTGCCCTCCTGCAAAGCAATTCATACATGAAGACCTTGCCCACGCCTATAAAGACAGTGTTCGCGAGTGTTGCTGCGGCTTGTTTCCGGATGACGTTGACCCCTGTTGACACGATTAAGACGACCATGCAGACGCAGGGTAAAGAAGGCATCGCATTACTGAGAGCTAGGGTATATCTTCACGCATGTGGCAGTTGCTTGTTCTCATGTTCTGCTAGGTCAAGAAGTATGGCGTTGGCAGCTTGTGGTATGGCGCTCTCGCAACCGCCGCTGCCACATTCGTCGGTCACTACCCAGCAAGTACCTTTTTGATTTATACATTCATTGCTCATTCTTTACCAGTGGTTCGGGACGTACAACTATCTCAACGAGGTCCTCCCACTTCCAGTGACTCTACCGCAGAAACTCCTTCGCTCCGCCGTAATTGGCTTTGCAGCATCCATCGCCTCTGACACCATCTCCAACTCCCTTCGCGTGCTGAAGACCTACCGACAAGTCAATGCTACCCGAATTGGATATACCGATGCTGCCCGCGCCGTTATCGCAGCAGATGGCGTCAAGGGCTTGTTCGGGCGGGGACTCAAAACCCGTATCGTGGCGAACGGCCTCCAGGGAATCATGTTTTCAGTGCTGTGGAAGTTATTTTTGGATATGTGAGTTGTCCCTGCGTAACGTGTGTATTTACGGTCCGGTTCTGAGTTATCTCCCCATTGTCCAGGTGGAATGAGAAGACGAATTAGATATGCAATGCATATCAGGAAGGGCTTGCACATCATGTTACCCTGAATACCAGGTCGCTGAACTCCGTTACCCCGCATGGTTGTCCTTGATCCTGCCGAGAGCTTATACCTTGATATTTCAAACATGCCTGACTCTTGGATTTCAAGGAATGTATGAAATTGGCATTCACGTTGCGCGTTACAAGAGACAGCTTGACTCTAGATTCGAGTAGCACGTTGGTGTAAAGCCAGGGAAAGAGCTCCGTTGTCCACTTAACCTTCCCAAAAGGCAACGGTGGATGATATTGCAGTTCTGCTGTCTGAGTGCTGGTCAATGTATGTACGCGAAGCGACGGCTGATCATCTAGGGGACCAGACAACAGTAGGCTGATAGACAACGAATATCATCATGATCTTCTGTCCATGGCCTGCAGGACCCGTGCACGCTCGCTCTCCCAATCATCCCAGCACAATGCCAACACTACTAGATCCATCCCGATAGTACCAGGACGCGGATCCCCCTCCCTCTCCTTTACTCCATTCGACGCACTTGTCTTCGATCCAACGAAAATTCTCTCCCAGCGCAAGATAGCCTCCAGTTTAAACCCAAATTTCTGCACAGCGCCTATACTCTTAGTATTCTTACTATTTGCCTTCCACTGCACACGACGGAGTCCCAGGCCATGCGGGGGTAAATCGAGAGCATACTGAAGGAGTAGGCCGACTGCATTCGTGGCGACGTGCGTCCGCTGGAACGGCGGTAGAATAATCACATAACCGATATCGATTGATAGGTTTACAAGGGATCCGTTCACGTATCCTATGATGCCTGCGAAGTTGGCTGATGAGGAGGGGCTAGGGCTTGTACGCGTCTTGTCGATAACGGCATAGAGGGCTACCCCGTCAGGACGTACGCGGCCGTCGATAACTTTCTTCACGAAATCTGAAGTGTCGGTAAATGTTTCCCAGGATAAGAACTCGTGGAGATCTGGATGGGCAATCGAGCCTTGGAAGTAGAGATCCGCGTGCAGATCAGGCTATCGGCCGGTTCGTCTTAGCAGATGATGAGAGGGATTTTGTAATGTGACTTACGATGAAAGGTGTGAGTTTGACCCGTTCGCTCTCCAACTCGCGAACGGGGAAGCAGAAATTAGTGTCATATGTAGTTGCAATTGGCTGCCTAGCAGTCGTAATTTCTGGTTGGGACATGTACTATGAAATTATCACAGTCACTGGGGCACGTACGTCGATTGTCGCCTGCCCGGCGATGGTCACTGGCTTGAAGAATTCAGTATTGTGTTGAAGTATTTGACCACTTGCCTTCTTAAGCTTCAAGCGCATTCTTCGTCGTGCATCCCATGCATACATGAACGTTGCAACGTTGAACGTTGAACGTTGAACGTTGAACACTTATGTCGTCGTCAGTCTGCCACCCAGTGGATGATCAAAGAAACACTACTGTGGGAAACAAATTTTGACTTGTCATAATTTGTACACCTACGGTCTCATGCCTTGATCAGCCTCTCCGAGTCGCAGCCAGATCTCGTGGGTGTTCGAGTTTCTACTGCCTGCGTGCGTATTCATTCTCGTATCACTCGATTTTGTACTCACTGCGAGATGCTTCACAGTGGCATGGGGCAGTTGTTATCTTGCGTCAATGACATAGCAGACCTTGACCATGTGGAGGAGTCTCCAGCAGCATTGCAGCAATGTCCCCAGGACGATGTAGAAAAGCGCCGAGCAGCATTGCAGAGGCATCCCCCTGGCCATTATCGTCATTTGACCAGTCTCGTCAACCTTGCCAACAGCCTTGCAGACAGGTTCGAGCGACTGGGTGCCCTGTCCGACCTTGATGAGGCCATCGAACTTCATCGGGCTTCACTACTCCTCCACCCCCTTGGTTATTCTGATCGACCGACGATTCTCAATAATCTTGCCAATGGCCTTCGAGATAGATTCACACAGCGGGGCATCCCGTCTGACATTGACGAGGCCATCGAGCACCATCGGGCTGCACTACTCCTCTGTCCCCCCGGTCATTCTCTTCGATCCAGGTCTCTCAACAATCTTGCAATCAGTCTTCAAGATAGGCCTGGTAAGCAGCGGGACATCCTCTCTGACCTTGATGAGGCCACCGAGCTCCTTCGGGATGCGCTAGTCCTTTGTCCCCCTGGTCATTCTCTTCGATCATCGACTCTCAACAATCTTGCCAACAGCCTTAAAGCCAGATCCAAGCAGCGGGGCATCCCGGCTGACCTTGATGAGGCCATTGAACTTCTTCGAACTGCACTACTCCTCTGTCCCCCCGACCATCCTCTTCGATTAACGTCTCTTAACAATCTTGCCCGCAGCCTTCGAGGCAGATTCCAGCAGCGTGGCGTATCGTCTGACCTTGATGAGGCCATCGAGCTCTATCGGGCTGCACTACTCCTATGTCCCCCCGGTCATTCTCTTCGATCGACATCTCTCAACGATCTTGCCATCAGCCTTCGAGCCAGGTTCGAGCAGCGAGGCGTCGCCTCTGACCTTGATGAGTCCATTGAACTCCTACGGGTCGTACTACTCCTTGGTCCCGTCGGTCATTCTGATCGATCCGGGTTCCTCAACAGTCTTGCCAACAGCCTTTATGACAGATTCAAGCAGCGGGGCATCCTGTCTGACCTTGATGAGGCCATAGAGCTTCATCAGGCTGCACTACTACTCTTTCCCCCCGGCCATCCTGATCGACCAGTGTCTCTCAACAATCTTGGTCTCAGCATTAAAGACAGATTCAAGCAGCGGGGCGTCCCGTCTGACCTTGATGAGGCTATTGAGCTCCATCAGGCTGCACTATTCCTTTGTCCCCATGGTCATTTTAATCGATCAACGTCTCTCAACAATCTTGCCATGAGCCTTCGAGACAGATTCAATCAGCGGGGTATCTCGTCTGACCTCGACAAGGCCATCGAGCTCCATCAGGCTGCACTCCTACATCGTCCCCACGGTCATCCTGATCGATCAGCATCTCTCAACAATCTTGCCATGAGCCTTCGAGACAGATTCAAGCAGCGGGGCACCTTATCTGACCTAGATGAAGCATTTAGGCTGTTCTTGCAACTCTCCCACATATCTCATGCAGTCTCTCGTATGGATCTTACTGCTGCCAAGTCATGGGCTACATCTGCTGAGGAGACGAACCACGACTCTGCATTGCTGGCCTATCAAACCGCATTGAAATTCCTAGATCACCATGTTGCTCTTTTATCGTCTTCTCCACGCTATTTCGATGTTGTCAGGATGGTCACTGCTGTGCTTGGCATGGACGCTTTCTCGTGCGGTGTCCGTCGTGGCACCCTAGCAACTGCTGTGGAATTGGTGGAGCAAGGCCGTGCGGTATTCTGGACCCAGTCGGCACGGTTACGCGCACCACTCGATGAACTTTCCCTGTTAGGTGACACCGGCGCAGCCTTGGAGAAAGAGTTCAAGCAGCTGAGCTTTCGCCTTCGCAGCGTGTTCGATGAGTCTGGTGAAGACCAGTCCCCGGAAATTCGACAACTGACCATGCAGTGGAATGATGTCGTCTCCCGCATTCGCATGCTGCCTGACTTTTCTCGGTTTCTCCTGCCTCCGCTGTTTTCTGACCTCCAGAAAGCCGCTGAAGAAGGTCCGGTCATCATCGTCAATGCTAGTCGGTACAGCTGTGATGCCTTGATTATCTTGAGTAGCCAAGACCCTGTCCACGTTCCACTTGATATCGTGCAGACCGAGGTCTCCGAATTGTCCTCCGAGTTTCAGTCCCTTTCAGAACAATTCGGTTCTTCTAATCATCTACTCAAGCTTGCCAGCATCCTCCGGAAGCTTTGGCGCGAGGTCGTAGACTCCGTGGTTCAAGCTCTTAAAGAGTCTAAAGTTCAGCCTGGCTCGCGTATCTGGTGGTGTCCCACCGCTGAGTTTACGCTGCTTCCTCTACATGCAGCAGGACCTTACGAGAAGAAGAAAGACAATTTGTCTGACATTTACATCTCCTCTTACACCCCCACTTTGGCGACACTTATTCGTGCGAGACAGCAGGTTTCTGGAGATGCGTCCCCGCAACATTTTGTTGCCATTGGTCAAGCAAACCCAAAAGGGGCGAAGGCACTCGAAAATGTCGCTCCCGAGTTAGCCGTAGTCGCTCAGCGTCTCGCCTCTGTCGTCTCGGTCACGTCGCTCGCAGACGGCGATGCGACAGTCCAGGGTGCACTCGATGCACTAAATCATAATCAGTGGCTCCACCTGGCGTGCCACGGAATGCCGAATCGACAACAGCCATTTGAGTCTTCCTTTGCCATGCGCGATGGGTTCTTAATGATCAAGGACATCATCCGATCCAACTGGCAGAACCCGGAATTTGCGTTCTTATCGGCCTGCCACACTACCGTGGGCGATGAGAAGAGTCCCGATGAATCGATCCATCTCGCTGCGGCGATGCAATTCTCCGGATTTCGCAGTGTGATCGGTTCTATGTGGTCTGTGGACGACGATGTCGCACGTCAGGTCGTGTCTACTTTTTATGGCAACTTGGTTGATGGTTCAGAGCGATTGGACTGCACACGAGCCGCGGGAGCATTGCACAAGGCTCTGAAATCTTTGCGCAAGAAGATTTCGCTAGAACAGCAGATTGTATTTGTTCACATAGGTGTGTAGTTGGAGACTCGATTTGCCATATAACTCTTTGCTGTATTTCTAGTTGCTTTCATAATGTCCCTGGTTCGCGTGGTTTTGCGCGTGTGCACCTGATATGCTCATATTATGTTTTGACACTACTCCGGTACTTGTACGTATGGGCCCAAGGCTTGTTAATAAAATGGATCTAATTACAGCTGCTCGATCGAAGAACCTCTCGAACAGTCAACCAGCGGTAACTCTCCCACAGCGAGTTATCCTTGCCAGTCAATTCTGGGTTCCACCAATGAGTCTAAGAAAGAGCTAATGGTAGATGACATTGCGGTTCTGCTATCCGAGTGGTGGTCGATATAACCACAGTATGCGCGCGACACGACGACTGATTATCTTGATAACAATCTGATAGACAACGAATGTCATCATGATCTTCGATCCATGGCCTGCAGGACCCGTACTCGCTCGCTCTCCCAATCATCCCAGCACAATGCCAACAGTACCGAATCCGTTCCGATCGTACCAGGACACGGATCCCCCTCCCTCTCCTTCACTCCATTCGTCACACTTGCCTTCGATCCAACAAAAATTCTATCCCAGCGCAAGATAGCCTCCAGTTTAAATCCCAATTTCTGCACAGCGCCTATACTCTTAGTATTCCGACTATTTGCCATCCACTGCACACGGCGGAGTCCCAGGCCATGCGGGGGCAAATCGAGAGCGTACTGGAGGAGTAGGCCGATTGCATTCGTGGTGACGTGCGTCCGCTGGAACGGCGGTAAAATGAGTGCGTAACCGATCTCGGTCGATAGGTTTGCGGGAGAAGTGTTCATGTATCCTATGATGCCTGCGAAGTTGGCTGATGAGGAGGGGCTAGGGCTTGTACGCGTCTTGTCGATAACGGCATAGAGGGCCACCCCGTCAGGACGTACGCGGCTGTCGATAACTTTCTTCACGAAATCTGAAGCGTCGGTAAAAGTTTCCCAGGGTATGAAGTCGTAGAGATCGGGATAGGCAGCTGAGCCTTGGAAGTAAAGATCCGCGTGCAGATCAGGCTATCGGTTCGTCTTAGCGGATGATGAGAGAAATGTTGTAATGTGACTTACGATGAAAGGTGTGAGTTTGACCCGTTCGCTCTCCAACTCGCGAACAGGGAAGCAGAAATTAGTATGATGGGTAGTTGGCTGCTTAGCAGTCGAAATTTCTGGTTGGGACATGTACTATGAAATTATCACCGTCACTGGGGCACTTCGGTTGTCGCCTGCCGATGGTCACTGACTCGAAGAATTCAGTGTAGTATATGTGTTGCAATCGAAGTATTTGACAACTTGCCTTCTTAAGCTTCAATTCGTTGTGCATCCCATATACATACATGAACACGTTACAGTGTGTTGCAAATGACTTTAGAATGCACGAGAATTTTTTTGCGAGCTCGGTGTTTGTAAAATAGTTCGTAATAGCCAAATGCGGGACTTTCTGTCACATCAACAACTCGAAAATATTGTCTCCTCCACCTCAGGGTGTATCAATTGCACTCTGACACTCGTATCTTCAATCTGAACTTAACGGCACTCCCTCTTTCAATACTGTCAACACTAAATAATTATAATATATGGCCTTGTCCGCAACGATTTTGTGTAACTCTGGCCATACTCGCGTGATTTTGCAAGACATTGAGCTAGTTTTCTAAGAAAATTCCAACAGTTTTCCATTGTTCATATTCTGGCGCATTCTGAATTGAATTCAGGAGTGATCAGAGATGCTAAATATTGAATATTTTAATCTGTTCGCGCATCACAAGAGTTCGCGCATCGGCTCTAGTCTGAATCTACATACTTAGGGAAAATCACACTTTTCTGCGCGGTAACTCTCCGCTGGACTCAACACGTCAATTTTGAAAGAAAAAACCAGCGGGTCTTGTACTTTCAATATCAGGCTATCTATCCGTCAAGAAATTATATTTTTATGTGGATGTGTTGTAGAGATACAGATGTTTTAAAATGTGCAAACTCTAGTTGATCATCAGATAATCTAGCCTGGCTGGCAGTGGCGTGAAAACCGGAATGATTGACCAAGTGTGACACAAGTCACACGTCAAAACAAAGGAACAAACACAATTTTGAAAACGAGATTCTAAAGTCATTTGCAACACACTGTAATGTCGTTGTCAGTCTGCCACTGGATGACCAAAGAAACATTGTGGGAAACAAATTTTAACTTATATTTGTACACTACGGTCTCATGCCTCAGCTACCTAGCTCGCAGCCTCTCGTAGGTGCTCGAGTTTCCGCTACCTCCGTGTGTATTCACTCTCATATCACTCGATGTTGCACTCACTGCGAGATGCTTTACAGTGGGATGGGGCATTTGTTATCTTGCGTCAATGTCATAGCAGATCGTGACCATGTGCAGGAGTGGCATTGCAGCAACCCCAAGACGATGTAGCAAAGTGCCGAGCGGCCTTGCAGAGCCATCCCCCGGGCTATGATCAACATTTGACCAGTCTCGTCAACCTTAACAACAGCCTTGCAGACAGGTTCGAGCGACGGGGTGCCCTGTCTGACCTTGACGGGGCCATCGAACACCATGGGGCTGCACTACTCCTCCACCCGCTGGTTATTCTGATCGACCAACTATTCTCCATGATCTTGCCAATGACTTTCAAGATAGATTCAAACAGCGGGGCATCCTGTTTGACCTTGACGAGGCCATCGAACACTATCGGGCTGCACTACTCCGCTATCCCCTCGGTCATTCTCTTCGATCATCGACTCTCAACAATCTTTCCGACAGCCTTCGAGCTAAATCCAATCAGCGGGGCATCCCGTCTGACCTTGATACGGCCATTGAGCTCCATCAGGCTGCACTACTCCATCGTCCCTACGGTCATCCTGATCGATCAAAGTCTCAACAATCTTACCCCACTTTGACGACACTGGTTCGTGGGAAACAACAGGTTTCTGGAGATGCATCCGCGCAACATCTTGTTATCATTGGTCAAGGAAACCCGAAAGTGGCGCTTTGAAGATACTCGAATGTGCTCCCGAGTTAGCCGTAGTCGTTCAGCGTCTCAAGCCCGTCGTCTCGGTCACGTCGCTCGCGGACGACACACTACAGTTCAGGGTGCACTTGGTGCACTAAATCACAATCAGTCACTGGCTCCATCTGGCGTGCCACGGAATGCCAAATCGACAACAACCATTTGAATCTTCCTTTGCCATGCGCGACGGGCCTTTAATGATCAAGAATATCATCCGATAACTGGCAGAACCCGGAATTTGCATTAAGAAGATTCCGCTAGAACAGCAAATTGTATTTGTTCGCATAGGTGTGTGTTTGCAGACTCGATTTGCCATATTTCTAGTTGCTTTCATAATGTCTCTCGTTCGCGCGCGAGCTTAGTTATCCTTGTAATGGTGGTTTTGCGCGTCGATTCGAGGATGTTCATGTGCACTTGATATGCCCATATCATGTTTTCATCTTGCTCTGGTATCGTACATATGGGCCCAAAGTTACTCGTACTTGAACAAAATCTAATTACGGCTGCCAACAGTCAACCAGCGGTGCCTCTCCGAGTTATCCCTACTAGCCGATTCCGGTCTGTCACAGAGTTCCACCTATGAGTCTAGACCAGGCAACATTGCGCAGTACTTAGCTCCAACGAACTCCAATGATGACCATTTCGTGACATCATCCAGGCGCCTACGATAGCATAAAACCACACCGCGCCCGAATGTTCAACCATTCTGAACGAACTTGAACATAATACGTACAAGACCATACCGCCGATACCCCTTTATTCTACATACTCTTTGGCTAAGCTGAATTCATCATGGTGCGTGTATCCTGAACCCACAATGTTATGTACCAAGTCGACATCTTCCTGCATAGGGCTCTATCGTTTCCGCAATTGGCCATGGCATTAACGACATCATCTCAGCAATAGCCCACGTGATCATGTCCATCATCGGCGCAATAACCATGGTTCGTGCATTATTTCATTTCATGTCACGGATCGTTGGTTCTCACAGAAAATACTAGGTCATTGTCACAATCGTAGACTTCATCGTCGACATCCTGTGCTGCAGGTGCTGCAGCTCACGACGGCGGATGGGCAGGACATCTGGATATAGTTACAGAAGACGAGCAGTCCTTTGACCGTCTACTCTTATGGCACGACTCGTATTTCACTGAATGTCACCTCGATGCAACGGATATTTGATACCACACTTACAATTATGAACTTGGACCCGAATATATATATGTTGGAGTGCATGCGCTGCTGACATTCTGTTGGAGTGCTAAAGGTGACAGGGCTTGGGCGCAATAGCTGGGTCAGACAGAGCGAATGATTCGCATCAAGCGCCACTTTCCTCCACACATGTGGATATGTTCCCCATAAAGGAACCAGCAGGTCGTGCTTCGGTGAGGGGGACGTTATTGGCGCACATTTGCAACCCTGTTAGCGTCGAATAAGCCTTAAAACCGACATGGATAGCCTGTGCAGACGGGAATGAGGAAGCACAATAAGATATTACAACAAGACTATGGAGCGAAAATACAAGTAGCAATCATTACGACTGCTCGGCATAAACCTGCAAAGGATCAATGAGCGAGGTTATTTGGGTTAATAGTTGCCCAACCAACCTTGATGGTCTTGTCAGCACCACCAGTGATGAGCCGTGTTCCGGTCATATCGAATGTCGAACAAAAGACCCCGGCTTCGGCCTCGAGGGAACCGGGTTGAGGTACATCGTCAAGATTTTGGAATGGAGTTCCCGTATTATAATCCCAGAACGTGAGTGTGCCATTATCACCTAAGGAAATTGATTCAGATTTAGGGAAAACCGATGGGATATGATGACCTACCACCAGAGAAAAATACACCTTCTGCGTTGACAGAAAGCGTATTTATGATAGCGTTATGGCCGGGGAAATTGTGTACAAATGCACCCTCTGGGCATTTCCATTTTTTAATGTTATTACCGCCTGCAGAACCGGATGCAAAGGAATATTCCGTCGGGTGGATTGCCAGGGCCCTTACAGACTTTTTGTGATGGGTGAGGGTGACCATTGTTTTTCCAGCTGCTAGGTCCCACAACCTTATCCAGGGTGATATTAGCCAGCGTGCTACATTGCAGGAAACTCCGACGTACCGAACCGTCGAGTCCATACTTCCAGTGATGACTTGTGGATCAGACTCTTGGCACTTTACATCCGCTACTGTGGCAGAGTGACCCGCGAGAACGTGGATTTGGGCCTTCGTGCGCATATCCCAGACACGAGCCGAGGCATCACGACCGGATGTGACCAAAACATCCAACGTCGGATGCAAGCTCAGCGAGTAAACGCCTGAAAGATGACCGTGATAATGCCGGATAACTTTGTTGGCTTCAAGGTCCCAGCATTTCACCATCTAAAGGCTATGATCAACAACACGAGATTGGTGGGAGATAAAATGACTTGCCTTGTCCTCACCACACGAAAACAAGTACGGGTGTCTCGGTGAAACAGCCAGCCCTCGGACAGTGGAAATATGACCAGTCAGTGAAAGCTTCAACTCCCCTGAAGCCAAGTCCCAAATTTTGATGACTCTGTCTCCGGCACCAGTAGCAAACCATTGATTTCCTGGCTCAACTGCCACGCTGCGGACCCAACCCAGATGACCAGATATTACGCGGACAAGCTTCCATGGTGCATGGTATGTTGGCTTGATGGTGCGGGTCGTTTTGTGTAAGGTTAAAGCCTCAGAGAGTTTATTGGACGTGACGAATGTGGACGGTTGCACTTTAGGTGTGTTGTCTATTGTGGCAATCATTCTTGATGTGTCGCTGGATGCTGAGTTAACTGATAAGACCATCAGTCAGACATAATAGGAACTGGTGACCCACGTCCAGCAGTGATGGCCTTTCTCTGCTCCTTTGGCCGAACAGGACCAACAGGGCCTTGCTGAGAAAGTAATGCAGGAGGGAGCTCTTTGAAATCACGGTATTCATCATTAATCTTCACAGAGAGACGTATTCGCGCGCTTAAAATTTCTTCAGCAAATGTGATCAGCGTCCCAGAACTTGACACGCACCTCTTCTCATCTTCCTTCATCCCGTCATTTGGACATGATGCAAATATGTCTCTCGTGCGCTTTGCACTTCTCTTCAGTAAAGGATCCAGCGGCGGAAGAGCATGTGATGTACTCATTGATAGCACTGGAAAATAGTGTCGAGGAAATGAACCCAGTTCACTACAGGGTGGCTGGGGATGACCGGTTTGATTAACATTGTTTGGTTATTTCCCAGAAAGGCGATCAACACGCGAGTCGCTTATCTGAAGTAGGGAGCTTTCATGCTTTGTTCCCCTCAAGACTCCTTTGTGTTTCGTGATTTTTGTTCAAGTGGTCTACGAGGATTGAATAGTTTTTGAAGTAACTTAGTGGTAGACATTAGACGTCGTTTCGTCAGTCATGTCTGAAGCAGCAGCAGCAGAGCTTAAAAAGCTCGTGAAACAACTCCAAAATACTTCCACGGAGGTGTGTACGAATCCCTTCTAGGTCAATGCTTTCAGTTTGATTTACTGACAACCCTTCGTGTAGGAAAAAGTGGCCATTCTACAAATCTTGAAGAAAGACTATCAAGTAAATGAAGCGATCCTAAGGGTAGGTATTCGTGTTCTAGTTTTTCCCTCTTGACTCACTGGTGAGAATATGTAGGAAAGCAGGGCAGGTCTTGCTGTCGGAAAATTGCGGACTCATGAGGCAAAAGAGGTCTCCGACCTCGCCAGGGAGATCGTAAAGAAGTGGAAAAACGAAGTGGAGCGCGCCAAAGGAGGTTCAGGTTCAAAGGCAGGGACACCTGGGAACGGCAAGGCAGCACCAGGTGAGTCCCATCATGATATCCTGCTAGATCCTTCTGATGACCATGACTATCACATCCATTCCCTCATAAAGCTCGCAAGGGATCTGCATCGGTGACACCGTCTAACGCCACCACTCCTGCTCCGTTGAACGGAAAGTCGGAATCCCGTACTGCGAAAGGAGATGGTGCAAAGGCGTCCGGCACTGGCGACAACACGCGGGACAAGTGCACAGAACTTATCTATGATGGTCTTGCTTGTGACTCTGGTGCTCGTGAGTTGATTTCAGACTTCGGCTTCACTACCCGACTCTCACTGACCCTGAAAATAGCCAGCGATCTGATTATGAGTCGAGCAAAAGCTGTGGAGGCCGCTGTTTTCGCACAGTTTGGCAGCACTAACGCTGGATATAAAGGCAAGATACGTTCTTTGTTCGTCAACCTCAAGGACAAGGGCAATCCAAGTCTACGAGAGAGTATTGTCAGCGGAGATCTTTCGGGGGAGAAGTTCAGCAAAATGACAAGCGAGGTATGGCAGGCATCATAAGATCTATATTTTAAAGCTGATTTGTTCCAGGAAATGTCTTCGGAGGAACGACGAGCGGCAGACCAAAAAATAAAGGAGGAGAACTTCTTTAAGTCCTTGGGAGCTGGGGAACGGGAAGCCGAAACCGAAGGGTTCCAGTGCGGAAGATGCAAGCAAGTAAGATCCTTTCATCGAATTTGGTGGTGCGGTATCTCATCATTCGTAGCGCAAGTGTCGCTATCGTCAGGCGCAGACCCGAAGCGCCGACGAGCCGATGACAGTGAGTAAATGTTTAATTGAAATCAGACTAAAGTTTATGTGTATTTCTTTCTAGACTTTTGTGACGTACGTAACCTTTACCTGTTGTGTCAATGCAATACATACTCACCTTTCGCCTCGTCTACAGATGTGTCAACTGTGGCAACAAGTAAGTAACCTGTCTTTGTGGAAACCTCTGTCTCATTCATCATCTACAGGTGGAAGTTCTCGTAAATCGTTGCATCGTCTGGGAGTGCTTTATTGTCGGTAGTTTTCTTCTTCTACTGTACTCATTTTCTTTGTCCAATCGGTCGGGACATCGTTCTATTCAACCTAGACGGCCCTGTCGTAATGATGTATACCTTCAATCTATCTTGAAAAATACCCCTTTGCTTCTGACAACTCGTATCTTATACAGCGGAACCGGTGAGGTATATAGCTGTGATCGGGACATGTATCATTTATTGAACATCAATATATGAGCTATGGATTCGCTTGCAAGATGGTTCCCGCCGGAAGGCCACGAGAACGACCTCACATGGTTGCTATGACCTGTCCAAATACCTTTCATCATCTTCCCGTCGGTATTCCACTACTGAATGCTTCCGGTTTCTCTCCCGCACGTTCCAGCGCCAGGAGGAGCTATTATAACATACCTGAGGTGACATAGGTGCAGGTACGAGACACAGAGCGCGCAAGTGAATTTTGGCATGCCAGGCAAGTATATTCTGCTTCCACTATATTCATCTGGTCTTCGCCCTGACTCAGAACTTTCAGAAGTGCTCGCAAGCACAGCCGACCTTCCTTAATTGCCTCCACGTAGTACCCCACAGCCTCATGCTCACCCTCGGCCCATCCCTCGTGTCACCCCCGAAACCCTGATTACGCGGCTCTCAGTTCCACGATAGCTTGGAGGACCTTATCGATATGCTTCGTAACGGCTATCTGGGGACATTTCCTCAATCGGCAGAGAAGCATGATGAACGCAGATGTTGATGTCCATTCTAACGAGTCTGATCGGTGCCTTTCACGCAGCGCTATACGCTGCGTGTCAGTTGCAATGCGCCCTTAACCTTGAAAACGGAGGGATTTTTGTGTTACCGGTAATATCGATGAGAACTAGCCCTTTCTCGCCCAGAGTCAAAGTTGCATGCCGATCGAACAGGATTTATTTCGAGTCTAATGTACTGAGTCTGAACATGAATAACGTGGACCATGATAACGAGGACATGAGAGCAATAGTGACCTCTGCCTGGTACTCGAACTTGGCTAATCTTGCTCGCATTCGGTCCATTTCTGCTTGACATTCGGCCATAGCCTGCAAAAATTGATAAGTAAATAGTGTAATGACTCGGAATTCTAAAAAGATCCTCACCCGCTGTGTAACCGCTTCCTCTTTTTGCCTTATCTATTCATTTGCTTTGCTCGTCGCTTCTGTTTCCCTCGCTAGTGCTTGCTCGATCTCTGTTTGACATTGAGCCCTACCTTCCATCCTCAACTGTGAAAATACATGGGTAATCAGTGTAAACGATACCCGGAGGAACCTCACCTGCCGTACTTCATCTTCCTCGGCTTTTCTCCTCTTCTGCTGCATTCTAGATGCGCGCCTACAGGATGCGATATTGCTCACATACCATTTCCACACTATTTGCCTTCTCGATATTCAGCCCACGATAAATGGAACCGCATTGTTTCACGACAATCAGGGAAGAGCTTTTTGAGCGCCTCCCAGACAGTATGGGCATACCAGTAACACTGATATTGGTAGACGGTGTATAGTGGAGAATGCTTGCTGAGAGCGGACAAGAGCACGGATAGTTGAATTGCGGATGGGCGAGCGGAGGCGGAGAATTCAAGTTCACGTAGGTCCTTGTACGGGGTATAAGTGTTGGATAGGTATGATTGAATGGCAGAACCTTCGTTGGGGGTGACTCCCAACGAGGGTTCTGCCATTCTGTAAAGATGGAATCGTGGGGGTTGGAGAAACTGATGGCGAGACTATGGATGGTGATCAATGACTGCCTGAGCTGTCTTGACGAGCCATTGTTGTTCTGTGTATGCATCTATACATGGCGTGCGGCCTAAAACCAAGATCGCGACGACGTGCTGTTATGGGATGACGAAACGACTCATCAGCTGAGCTGACTATATATATGCGCCTGCAGTCACATGATTTTTTCCTGATAGAAGGAGCAAAAATCCATGCTCTTTACCGCCGGTGCATTTACAATAGATCATGCGTTCAAGCTGGCACTGGGAGGAAAGATCGCTGTTCAAGGGGAGCGTCTGCCATTGTCCTATGCCGTTCTTACTATCAGCCGCGGTGAACACGCCGGGGGCGTCGGAAGGAGATTCCATGAACAGACGGAAAATAGCTGCGAGGAAACCGCGAATACTGAAACGATTCGTTCCATACCTGAAGCCTTTGAAGCCCATTGCAAGCTGACAAGGGTTTGACCACGAGGGAAGCAGTGGCTTATCTTGAAGAAAGGAACGTGGTCACCTCGACATCTTCTGCTCCTTGATGGATATAACCCTCTCCACCACGTAGGTGAAATCAGCCGCATTCGGATCAAAATCCGGTTCCTCGGACCTGGGGTGGCAATTTGTCGTTTGTCTACATAGCGTTGTACTTGCTGGTGTGACTTGACTAGCACTTCAGCCATGTTAACGGACGTCCAACGCATCAAAGGAGGTGCGAGTAAGGCTATGACAGAGCGAAAGCCCAACACAGAAGTCTCTGTGCCGAAACAAGACACAATGCAGCCTACCAAAATTAAGTCGCCTCCAGCAGCGAAGCCATCGGATACAGATGTCGACCGAGCAGAAAGCGAGGGTGTGGAAGAGGAAAAAAAACGAAGGTGATGACGAGGGCAACAATGAGGAGTCTGCACGATACCGCCAATGATCGCTGTAAGATTTACGACCACGATGGCTCTATCTTGGGCGTCGAGTATAGATACGCTGCAGAAGATGGTAGACCTGCATGGCTGAGCATTGGGGCGGATATTATATGTGGAATGCTAAGTCACTATTACCATGAGTCGGTCACATTCAGACTTGTGGGGCACAAAAGACGTTGCATGGAAAGAACTCGTGACATGGGTTACCAGCATCTCATGGCACACGAGCACGCTGATACTTGGGTTGAGTATTAATGATATATCACCAGCACGAGGGCTGGGTGACATCCCGCAGGCTTGATGGTTCTTTACAACGTTCATCAGCGTGAAATATATGTTGGACAGCCACCTTGTACAGCCACCTGATCCACGTGAGGGTGGGAAAATCGAGTGGCTTCTGAAATGCACGCGTTTGTACGCGTTGCCGAAGCCATCCCTCTAGTATTGTTTTATACCTGAACACCATTCCTTTTACCACTCCAACCGGCTGTGTGTACGAATATGTCCGAAGATACTGAAGACGTCAAACCAAAATTGAGCCTGGTCATTAACTATGAGGGTACCCGTTAGTCTTCTTTACGTGCTATTCCGACGCGTTGCAGGTATTGACGACCTGTGGCCAGAAATCACCGTAAAGGTGAAGCACAACATGGCGTTCAAGAAGATATTTGATGCAGCAGAGGTAAGATTCATGATCTTCGCCTTAAATCCTGCATTTTCATCAACCTGCGTGGCCTGCACCAGAAACGATTTGGAAAAGAATCAGGTGGGTGGCAAACACTTTCGGAAGGTGAAGAAGTTCTAGATTCACGGTCAACCTTCAGGGACGTTCAAGTTTACTTACGATGGCAAAAGATTGCGGGCTGAAAACACACCTATGGATGTGAGTGTGCTACTGATGCCCAGAGAATGGTTGACGCTCGTACGCTGACGCATCATCAGATGGACATGGAAGAGGGTGATATCATTGACGCTCACTTAGAGCAGGTACGTTGCATGCTTCTCTTCTTTTCTAGGTCCTAATACTGCGACGCTCTCTAGCTAGGAGGTGGCATATGTTAGTTGTTGTACATCCCGAGGCTCCCGTAGGCCATCCAATCGGATATTATTTCTGTACTGTACTACGTCTCACTATCCACCGTTCAGTCCGTTTGCGTTTACTTGTCGCCAAATGGTGTAGCCTCAACTCTAAAGGCACTTCACCTCACTTGAAGAGATCTGAGATCTCTCCTCTACCACGTGCAAGGGTAAACAACCACTACATCTCACTGCTTGTTAATAGGTCCCCTTTCCCATTGTTGTTGTGTTATTCTTCGCCCTCCTTATTCGGGTGCCTCGCCGCTGCATTCTTTAACTCTTGCCAGGTGTTCCGACGACAAGCTCAAGGATCGTTTGTTAGTCATTGAGGGCAGCATCTTTCGAAAGTTGGGTACACTGGCCAGTCGTCAGGATCTCACTGGTAGGTTACATTGACTTTGCCCAGATGGTGACAACTACTAGTGCACCCATCCCAATCTAAACTCGATTTTGTACGTCAAACCACCAATTACTGAGACCATCGTACGGCTGTTCTCTATGACCGTCTTTCGCAGCACTCTTTAGCATACTCAGCGTTTTCCAATGCGTTGATTATGGACAATGATGCTGCGGAAAGACACTAGACCCTAAGACCCGGCACTTCCCGGTAGCAAGTCGTGGACTATAGAATGATCAAGCTTGGATCAAGCACCTCCGATTGACGTGAGATCTGCTCGGAGCGAGCATTTAGCATCGCCTTGGTATTTTCGTGCTCATACCAAACTCATCATGCAATCATTGTTCACGCCAGCTACACCAATTGTTTTTTTCGGTGGTTCTGGTATAACCGTACACCAATTTGAACTTGAATAATATGTTTGACCGCCATTTACACTCAACAAATGTGAGATGTCGGGTGGAATAACCTTTCCGTGCCTACCATTCGACTTGTAGAGTCTCCCAGCGTCTGTGGTTCAATCTGCCAATATGCAACACATCGCACAGGAGCTTCAGGAACAAATGTTCAGCTGCAAAATTCACCCGGAATGATCTACTTAATGTGAGGGTTTGTGCCGACAAAGTCGGCGCTTCCGGAGTAAATTTAGTGGAATTTGATGTCAGTGACCGCAGATCTCTACGATCGCTGAAATAAAATTCTGCTTCTGCTATTCTCTTTGTCTCCGAAAATGAATAAAGCAAATGGCTGGCTCTTGATTTAGCCTTGGAATAACTGTCTTCCGTCTATCGGGTCTGCTTGAGGGAGACTGGACCTGATTGCTGTTGTCGAACTTACGGATGAACATTTTAACGAGCAGCAGCTATAAAGAGCGTGAGCGCAGAGTTGGCGAACGACCAACAAAAACACAGACCTCTGCGCTTAGCTTGAAAAACTCGCACTTTTTGACGGTAAGGTTCACCTCACTGACCTATAGATCCAACTTATGACACTGTTTAGATGAATCTCTTGGCGATCATTCTCCTGGCAGTAACAGCTATCGGTCCTCTTAGTGCACGAGCCATGCCCAGCACCGAGACCAACCCCAACTTATGCATTTGGGAAACATGTGGGATCAAGTGCTTGAAAAGGATTGTTGTGAACACCGGAAAGTGCGAATCAGATGGTGTCACGAAGACTCATTATTGTTGTAGTGTGTAACACAAATGAGGGGTCCAGGTATGTCAGCGATCATGATATTTTTTACCAGAACACGTACTGAGCGCAAAATAGTGGTGAGGACTATTCTGTACATTAAATTGCGATAAAGCATCCTTGGAAGATTATCGCAGATTGTCTATAGTAGCATCTATAGGGTCGATGACAGCGATAGTGGTGCCTAATAGTTGGCTCGCATCGTCATCCTGGACCCCTTGAAACCAGAAGAGACGTGCAGAGAATTTGGATCGTTCTATGTTAGAGTCAAATATATTGGGAGATGTGCCTTCTAGCCTTCGCGGCATAACAACATCTATTACGTTGTCTGGGAGCTCGAGATTCATTCGATTCAGATACGTATGCCTTGCGTCATTGTGTGGTGAGCTGTAGGGTGGATTGACTTCTGCTTGCTTGAAGATTTGACAGGACCTCTCTGCAGGCTGTTGCCAGTCGGTGGTCAATTTTTGCTCTGAAATCATGATTTCCCAGACAGACGCCATAATGGGGGAGCCTCATGGGGTTTCCTGGAAGTCCAGTCCGTGGGTTGAATCTTCTGACGATGATCAAAGCTTTGGAATGGTAAAGTTGGAATCATTAATCATTGATGGCGTTCAGCTGAACCACATAACGTGAATTCTGTGGATTGTATTTGTTGTTCTTTGTCTACTTCAAAACTCGGACTTATTCCTCAATATGAGCCAACATGACAGTGTAATGTCGGCCACGTACAAGCAAAGGCTGAGGGGATGGCTCAGTTATGCATTTGCTAGGTGGGTAGTACTCAAATATTCTCCTCCCAATAAGTTATTCAAGCCATAGCAAGTGAGGCGTTCGTGGTAGTTTCCCTAACACTCTTCCTACCAATTTGTCTGGAGCAGTTTGCCCGTGACAATGGGTTCTTCCAACCAGAGAAGACTCAATCTTGCAATTCACTCTCGGGTGATGCGCCCGCAAACGTAGATGACAGATGTGCAGTGAAGATTGGTTGGCTGTGGATAGATACCGCCAGTTTCAGGTGCGTCTAATGTATCCTTAGCGCTGGTGCGGATGTCCTGACACCCTTAGTCTATATGTTTACTCCATATCAGTCGCTTTGCAAGCACTCACGGTAATATCAATGGGGAGCATAGCTGACCGTCGTACGTTCCACAGTTTTGTTGTAGAACAAGTCTTCATTATTGGTGGCAGCATTATACAGAAAGCCCCTTCTCCTCACTTTCGCTGCCATAGGTGCATTCTCTGCAATATTTTTTCTCTTTCTATCATCATCATCCCCTTTATGGATGATGTCTGCCATATTCGCAATTTTTGCCAACGTTGGCTTTGGTGCCTCCGTCGTGGCTATGAACGCGTACCTGCCATCGTTGGCGAAGGATTCCCCAGAAGTAATTCAAGCTCACTCCGAACTGCGAAGCTCATGTGAAGACCGAGATGAGAATGCTGCTCTGGCTGCAAGCGCCGATGTCGAATTAGAGCTCTCTCTTGAAGAAGTGTCAGATCCTCTTCTCGGGCATCCAATCCATCCCGGTGCTTCTCAATCAACTTACACCACCGCATTATCGAGAGCCACCTCGCGAATATCCTCCTTGGGAATTGCTTCAGGCTATGGTGCAGGAATAATCCTTCTCTTGGTCGCACTCATACCTGTTACTCGCCTGGGTGGATCGACTTTCTCACTGCGTCTCGCCATCGGCCTGAGCGGCGTATGGTGGGCATTGTTCTCGATTCCTGCTGCTATTTGGCTCCCAAACGCCAGTAACATCGACGAGCCAGAATCTGGTTCTATCAAGCCAGATGACGATTGGACCTTCAGTTCGGAGATTGGGGCTGCATGGAAACGATTGGTAGTTATGCTTCGCTGGCGGGAGATACAGCGTCTGCAACATACCTTCAGATATCTCGCTGCTTGGTTCCTTCTCTCCGATGGTGTGTTTGTCGTTCTGCAATTCAATTGCTCCTCTTAACTCGGCTGCTCAACAGGTTTCACTACTATAACATCGACTGCAATCCTGTTCGGGAAAACAACACTGCACATGGAACCCCCGTCTCTCATCCTCATCGGCGCTATCACACCATTCTCAGGAATCATTGGCTCTCTAGTGTCCCCCATCCTCCAACGTAAATTTATGTGGTCAAATCTTCATGTCCTAGTCCTTCTCGTGTTGATGGTCTCGCTGATCCCGGCATACGGGTGCTTGGGATTCCTGCCCATATTCAAGGGGACCGCGCGATTTGGTGGACTGACGACTCAGGGAGAAATGTTTGGCCTTGCAGTGTATTTTGGTCTGTGCCCCTTCGCACCGACCCCGAGCTTTGACCGACTGGTGTCACTGTCATAGGTTTTGCGTACGGCGCATTTCAGAGCTACGCTAGAGCTTTCTATGCGGAATTATTGCCTCCTGGGGAAGAAGCCCGATGGTATGTGTCTTTCACAGGCGTGGTACGCAGAACATTGACATAATGCTCCAGGTATGGTCTTTTCTCGATCACAGACAAGGTCGGCAGATAGTTTCAAGTCAAGTTTGCTTTGCACTGACTATATTTTCGCATACAGTCAAGTTCTTTCGTTGGTCCACTCATCGTTGGCCTGATAGCGGATAGCACGGGGAACATCCGCTACGCATTCTTTTTCCTCGTATTCATGGTGTGGGCAGCAGTGCCTGTGCTCCTCAGCGTAAATATCGATAAGGGAAGGCAGGACGCAAGGGATTATGTTTCGCGGAGAACACTAGTTGGAGAATGATACTATCCGTATCCAATAATATTCGCTGAGCGTGCATAATACCTAGGATGCAATATACAAATGCGTGTACTATACGTACTTAATCCAATGGAAGCGAGTCTGCTAAAGATCTTTCTTCGCTGCACCATCCCTCTTAGCTTGGAATGCCTGGAGGGCCTTCAATCGCTCTGTCAATGTCGGGTGTGAGTGATGATAAGCCGAGTATCTATAATCAAGAACCCCATGAGCATGTTAATTCTAAAATATCATAACTTGACTCACAGCCAATCAACCCATACGGTGCTCAGATTCTTGACATGAAGGGTAATCAACGCCCGTGAAAGCCTTTCGCCCATATCCTTCATCTCTGGAGCCGACAACCGTTCTTGAATCTCGCACGCGAAACGGTCAGCCTCCCATTCAAACTGACGCGAAAGGAAATTGAGCGCGATGCCAATGACAGCTTCTAGGGGGCTAAGAATCATCTATGTCCATAGTCAGTGCCATTTGCAAAAAATAACACAAAAGAATAACGCGCCTGGAATAGCAAGAATGCGACGATAGTTGGCGGGAAGACCGAAACAGCCTCAGGAAAGTCGAATGACCGAAGGAACTGAGGTGCATGCAAGAAGGCGGGAAACATGGCAAGGATAGTGAAAATGTGGACTTGGGACACACAGAGCAATTTCGTTGGGTGCATGTGGTACCAGTGGCCGAGTTCATGCGCTGATTCACGACGTTCAATTGACAGACTAGAACAGAAAACGCGTGCATACCTAAAACTGCCTCGACTTCGTCGGGCTTGCTTTCTTTGATCAGGGTATCGAAGATGACAATGTGTTTGCTCTGAATTACAATGAGTGGAGATGATCACAGAAGGTGAGGCATACTAACCCATGGCAATCCGAAGAAATAAGCATTGCTATGGGAGCTACGCTTGGAACCGTCGATCTCGTACAAATGCTTCAAGGGGAACTTGAGCTTCGTCGCGAGAGATTCAGTCCTCGTGCGTAGCTCACCCTCTTTGAGAGGGGAAAGCTTGTTGAAGAGTGGTTGAATCACAGTTGGATATATGATAACCATAATGATCTGGAAAGCCAGTCTGGAGGGGAGGGCATGGTCAGCACAGCCCCACTTGCCAAAATGAAACAACCGAACAGAAAAGCCATGAGCCATGGAACAAAGCGGTCTCCGGCCCACTTGAAGACGTAGAGGAAAGCAGCGAGGAACGGCATGCCGATGACGAATCCAATCGCCCAGCCTTTCAATAAGTCGGTGACGAATAACGTGGGCGTAGTCTTGTTAAAGCCGTGCTTCTCTTCCAGAACAAACGTTTGGTAAGCAGAGAGAGGTATGGAAGGTATGGACGAGATAACAAAAAGCACGATAGCAAACGCAAGAGATTGCGAGATCTATATTCAGTCAGTTCGAGAAATCGAGTTCATTGTAGGGGGCCATCGCACCTCATACTCGCTACCATATCCGAAGTAGGCGATCGTCCGCCCACCCATGTTCCATGCAAATGCGTATAATCCATAGTGAAGCATGGCAGAATCCAGGGCTTGCTTGAACAGTCCAGTGACCAGGGAGAATTTTGCTTTGTCCTTGCCGTAATTCTGGGACTTTTTGAATGCCTCGTCATCAAAATGGCCTGCTAAAACCTCTGGAGGTGAAGTTTTCGAGTACAGAGGATACTGACGAATTCTTCGAGCAGAAAAAAGGTGAGTGAGGAAAGAGAATTGAACAGATGAAACAACTGACAGAAGGTAAGACTCGAACAGGGTAACACCCCATGAGAAAGCTTGGACATAAAACTTCCAGTCAATTGGATCAGTTGCAACAAAGGACAGTTTTTGCTGGAGTGCCGCGAGTTGAGAGTGCAGCAGATCCATGATGTGCAGCACAGTCCTGGGCGTTAGCAAGGGGTTAGGGAGAATCGTCTACTTACTTACTAGAGAACATTGCTGTTTTATTTGGACACGTGACACTTCCTTAAATGACCACGTGGCGGCGGACGTGTCCATGTTGTACTGGTAGGTAGCCGAGTTCCGGCGTAAGGCAGAAAGTTCCTCCAGAAGGAATTCAGGCGGGTCGTGTTGAGCATTTTTATTCAATGGGCCGCATAAGTATGTCGAATGTTACAAAATCAAATAAAGAAAGATGCGTGAGGGTAAGCCAATACTATCCACGTAATACATGGGCGTGTATATCATAATCAATACTTGTGTTTTACAGCGTTTAAGACAGACTTCTCGAATTCCTCACGGTTGTTCTTGACAGTTTCTAGCCCGCCCTTGACCACCTTCATGCGGTGAGCCTCAGGATCGTAATGATCACAGGGCTCGGTTCCAGTGGGGGGAATCCACCCTGTAGGACTGCGCCTCAAGGCAAAGTCGCTAATAACCTCTTCTGCAGTTGATCTGGCAGAATCAATGGCTCCCGTAATCCACGTATGGTGGCGGCTCAGATGCTCTCCGGCGAAGTAGATATTCCCTTCCTTACGGCGAGCAATTTCAAAGTACTCCGACAATTGCCCTGGAAGGAACATAGCGTCGCCGGTAGGGTTGTGTTCGGACCAGGCTAAATCTTCTGCCGCGATGAATTGGTCGTAGACGTCAACGCTCGGGAATACCTTTGAAAGGTGGCATAGGGAGCTCTTAAGACGTTCATTGAAAGGAATGGAGGACCATACAGAGGCGTCTGTGTTCCAGGAATACAGGAGCAGGACGCCAGGTCCCTCAGAGCCGATACCATTGGATGGATATACAATCCAACGAATCGGTAGATCAGTTGTTGATTGTCCCCCTAGAGAAGGGGGTTGCACATGCTCCCAGAAACGAGTCTTAAAGCGCAGACCAATCTTATACAACGCTTCGTAAAACATGGCGCGGATAGCCTGCTCCTTCCTGTAATCCCAGCGAGGACGCTCTGGTATCATCCTCAACGCACTGGGCGGAATGGCAAGAATAACCTTGTCGAAGGTTTGCTCTATCCGGCCCTTGGGCGTATCTGCGCAGATAGTGACACCGTCACTGGTCTGCACGATCTTCTGTACTCGTGCACTAAAGGTGATATTGTCCATGCCAACCACCCTGGCAAGTGCCTGAGGAAGTCTGTCCATCCCCTCGTCCAGTGTGAACCACTGTTTCGTGTCAAAGTCGAGGTTCTGCATGATGAGCTCGGAGAAGCTAAGCGCGAATTGGTTGGTCTGAGAGCACATAGTCTCGGTGAAATCGATGACTGATTCCGGCCATCCAAGGTCTTCCAGGTAGGAACGGAATGGGACTTTGTCAAGACGCATGAGGAGCTTCCAGCCCTGGTCAAAATCTCTCTCCAACAAATCGATGAAAGCCTGTATAGCGTTCAGCAGCAGGGCGTCTGCAGTCTTGCCATCATATGGAGCAGGGAGATCGAATCCCAACGCCTTGGCAATGTTATCATCGCCCCCGTTCTTCAAAATGCCATTTACAAAGATGCGATTGGCAGGGGTGGTGAGATGATAAGGTATAAGTTTGAGATCGGCGTGATGGGCCTCATTGAGAAGCTTGATTAAATCGAAGGTTGGTTGATGCATCTGGGTACTTGGAATGCGCATGGCACCAGCCTCAAAGTATTGGTTCTTCTCGGCTGTGAAGCGATAGGTTTTAACACGCCCGCCGACCCTCCCATCCAGTTCGTATAAAGAGACTGCGATGCGAGGATCGTTCGACAATTTCAAACGATAGGCAGCATACAAGCCAGCCATACCAGCTCCAACGATGCAAACATGCTTCAATTCCCTACGGGGTAACGACGGTAAGCTCGCATTTTGGCAAAGGAAGAATGTCAGGCATACTCTGGCTTCAGTTGCGCTACAGAAGGGGACTGGGACATGATCGATATTGATGTAATGCTATTGTAATCAGGAGCCGTCGTCAGAAAATAGACACTACTTAGGAAAGATCGGGAAGGCTTACAACAAGGATGGTCGGTAGGGGCTGGTGTAGAACAGACGAGCAGGATACACGTACGTTTTATAGTCATACGGCAGGAACTCACTGCGGCTTGCATATCCAGGGGGTGCTAAGGCAATCAAGGTTTGGCAGCTGCGCTCTAGCGGCGACTTATTTGAATGGGTTGTCGTAAGCTGCCTCATGACCAAAAGTCCACGCGCAGGGGAAATGGAACTGTATATCAGAACATGGGCTAGAAGCTCTTGATCGTCCACCCTTGCGACAGTGGACCGAACGGTTGAATTCGGGGATCAAGAGAAGTACTGGAAGTGGGATCAGATTATAGGATTTTGTTTGAGCGCTTCAAGTTCTAGAGCGCCTCGCCCATCGTCCGGAAACGGCATATTCCTTGCGCTATTTCAAAAAGAGCGTTCAAAATGCTGTGTATTCAAGCGTTTCGTGTTTCAGATCCAGGGAACATTGTATCCGAGAAACAAAACAATAGTCACCCTTACAAATGATTATGAATCTTGGGTGCTCGCCCGGTCTTCATCTATAATCAATGTTTGACCTTGTCGCGCACGGCGTTGTGCAGCCCAATCCCTAGCTCTAGCGCGCCGAGCCTCCTGTTCAGCCTCCAACCGTATATTATGGTTCTCAAGCGAATCCAGGGTCATGGTAGAACTCTCATTGACCTTTAGGGGAGACATTTCCCCACTCTCAGACTCTCCCTCGTTACCTTCATCATCGCTATCTCCATACGCAGCGAGTCCTCCCAGACCTACGTTCCGTGAAGCGAGTAGCGATTGAGCTGATTGGTCGACTTTATCTTGTCTGAGCTTCTCCTTAGTCATGCGCCAGGCTCGTGACCACCGTCCCCTTAAAAATGCAAATCTTGTATCTGCACCGTGGTTTGCAAGAATGCGCATCTCCAGTTGTGCAGGATTAGGAGACGAGAGAAGGTGTAGCGCTGTTCTTTTCATGAGCTCTGAATGAGCATCATCGGGCTAGCACAGAAACTGTCGTTCAATGTGGTTTTCCGACTACAAGAATGGATGGCCTCCTACCTCTTCATCACTGCCTCCCCAAAGATCCAACTGTTCGCTTTCATCGGTCGCGGCAAGAGCCTTCAGGCGATCCTCTCTGTTTCGGTCAATAAGACGCCTACGTTTCTCGCGTCGGTAGTCCTCAATTTCATGCGGTGTAAAGAAAAAAAGATCCTCAGTGTCAGACGGCAAGTCTGACCATCCGGTTGGGGACAGAGACCTTGGCTGAGATGCACTTGAGCTTGCATGCTCTGGGAGGGCATCAAGCAGAAGACGAGCATCATATCTAAGTAGATTTTGGGTCAGACAGGGTGGAAGAGAGCATAACGATGAGAGCATATCTTCCAATCCGAAGTGGTAGAGCGTAGATCCGACGGATCCACTCAGATAGACATTGCATGCGCAGAGTATATAATTACCACTTTATGTGTTGGGATGACTTGCCATGGCTTAGCAATGACCATACTACTAGTGAGACCCACCTGTCCACCCAAGTAGCTTTGTCGTCTGACACTTCGGGAAAAGACGAATCGGAGTTAAGAGGTTGAAAATTTCTTGTGCTAGCACCCCATTGTATGAGAGCATTACCGATTTGAGGGTCACTTGCATCGGCCTCCAAAGTTGAATGATGCGGCGCCTCAAGAGAAAGTGCTGTTGAGAGAGACTGTGAGCCACGGATGATAGTAGCCTCGTATGCTTGGATAGACAAAGATAAAAGATCTGGTGCGATTATCGTCGCCGAAGCCACAATGTCAGCCTTTGGTGCAACCTTGCGGTACTTGCGTTTATGGGACATTTCCAAGCACCTCCCGTATGCTCAGCTGAAGAATGAAATGGAGCTCTTAAGGGTTAGTACCGTTAAGCGGTAACGGTAAGTTGCGCAGAGCGTGAGAAGAAACTGTCCTCGAATACCACCCGCGGGAACACTTCAGTTCGAACGTTAACTTCAATACAATGATTCGTCGTCGACGGTCATGTCAGAGTGCGCTGTACAAATTATTGGATGGAAACTTATCGATCCAGTCTCCTTCCAGCATCATGTTGCGTAAAGGGAGGCATCATGCCTTTTCATCTTTTCACGTGCGCATGCGGATGCAGACTGCAGTACACAGTACTTGCTGCCAGAAGTTGCTGACCCGCCACAGCTTCCCATGCATAGGGGATACCATCCAATTGCAACGAGCTTTCAGTGATCTCTTTACTGCCGCTTAGAGACTCAGATTCCTAAATATGGTGAGTTGCATGCGATGCGTCCTCATTTTTAACTTCTCCCCCCTCCTTCAGATACCTTGCTGATATACATCCGCCGTTCGGATGTCTGGGCTTACCATTTGAGGCAGAACCTGTCCACAGTGTCCAGCAGCGTGAATTCTACTCGCGCTAACCCGAGATATTCGGATGTTGAGAAGTTAGAGCGAGTTCCACATGGAAGGACTCTCTCGGTGCCTCGAACAAAGCCAGCCATGAGCACACTCACCCTTGTCGCTTTTAGGAGATGTCTACCTGGTCGCTATCATGTAAGTAACTTGTTCCATTCTGCGCAATGCCCAAGATTCTGCGCAATGCCCTTGGGTTTCCTCGTGTCCCTTCAGGGGGGGTTCAACAAGCTCTTGAGGTTCTATTCTGACTATCTAGCACTCTAACCTTACAGGAACTACATATGTTATCCTCATCGTCAGAAGCTGATGCCCCACTATTTCCGTCACACTCACGAGATACCTAATCACGCGCACTTGGGGTATCTCGAGGTATTGATTCTGGTTGGGACTTTTACATCCTTATCTGCAGGTATAAATCGCGGCGGAATAAGCTGGATATGTAGCTTCTTCGCTGCGCAAATTGAATCATCCACTCGGAACTACTAGAGATCATGGTGCATCTCTATCTTGCCCTGATGGTAGTGACGACAGCATTCGCGTGCTTCGGAGAGGTCGCCTCTGTGCCTCTCGAGCAGATGCTGAGAGACCTGACTCCGAAAGCAAGGAGTGTTTTGAAACGTGCTACCCCAGTGGCCCCCCATTTTGTTTTATACAGTGACGCGTACGTTTCTACCGAACCGACCCCGTCAAATATTTCGGTAAGCTCGATTCCTCCCTCTACTCGCAGTCGATATCCCAATCATCAACTGGTACAAATGTCAGGGCTTCAATGTGTTTGCATTGTCTTTCCTCGAGGCCTATGGTGCTGCAGATCAAGCTCAGGAATGGGCAGCGCTTACAGCATCTCAACGTTCTTCGATTCTTTCCGAGTACCAGGCCGCAGGCATCTCGCTCATTGTATCTCTTTTTGGTTCCACTGAGACCCCCACTTCATCTGGATACGATCCCATCGGTACTGCCAATACCATGGCAGCTTGGGTTATCCAATATGGCCTCCAGGGTGTAGATGTTGACTACGAGGCGTGTTTGCATGATGTCTGGTAATTTTTGACGAGAACTGATTTTTCCTTAGGATTTTGCTGCATTCAATGGCGGTACCGGCTCTGCTGAGCAGTGGCTCGGCAACTTCACCACCCAGCTCCGCACTCAGCTTCCGCAGGGCCAATATATCTTGACTCACGCTCGTGAGTGACATATCTAGAAAACATCATTATCACGCTAAATTCATTCGCGCAGCTGTTGCACCTTGGTGAATATATTATGGTCAAATCGATGTTTGCTGACTGAAACAAAAGGTTCTCTCCTAATAAATGGGGTGGTGGAGGATATCTTTGGATAGACTCTGTGGTCGGCAATTTGATTGATTGGTATAATGTGCAGGTGCGGTCAATGTCCTTTCATTTTTCATCCCTTATTCTGATTTTCTGTCACTTCAGTATTACAACCGTGGGTCTCTCTTTGCAGCGTTCTCTTTGTCTCGAGTAACAATAAACAGAGGGCACAACGGAGTACACAACTTGCGATGGCCTCCTGTACACCTCCTCGACTACTTGGCCACAATCTGCACTCTTCCAAATTGCTAACAACGGCGTTTCTCTGGACAAGCTTGTGATCGGAAAGCCTGCAACTTCAGCACAAGCCAACAACGGGTATATAGACCCGTCCACCTTGGCATCCTGCGTTTCCACGGCCTATGCTGCTGGATGGAGTAAGTCTGTCCCATTTAGCTATTTTTCTCCCTCTGAACATCACGGGAAATTCTAGATGCCGGCGTTATGGTTTGGGAGGTACGTGAGAATCCAAGTGTTCCACAAGGTTTCTGAGCATGCCGATATCAGTATCCTTACGCTGCTGCCTCATGGATCGCAACTGTACGCGGGAACACCTGGCCAATGTCCTCCACAACTGCGACATCGGCGACACCGACCAGCACTAGCACTAGCACCACAACAACGGCGACACCGACGACCACTAGCACTACGACGACGACAGGCACCAGTACCACAACACCCGCAACCACTTGTACAGGCGTTGCTGCATGGACCACCGGTGTGGCCGTGAGTATATTTTGAATTTTTCCCTCTGCTCGACACTGAACCTTGTACAGTATACGGGAGGTGCTGAAGTAACTTACAGGTGGGTATCTTCTGATTTGCTCTTGTCCGGCCACTGATCAATAATTTAGCGGATACCTGTGGACCGCGAAGTGGTGGACGGAGAACGACACCCCTGGAGGTGATTTGAGCTCATTTTTTTTTTCGGAAACACACTTGACAGTCCCACAACAGGTCCCGCGGGTGTCTGGGTTAATGATGGAGCTTGCACTTCTACAGCTACCGCCACGGCTAAGCGTAGGGCTCTCCCAGTCCCCATCGTCACACCTGCCCCTGCTTTGTAGAGGCGTAGATGGGTGCCACCCTACCTGCCGCAGAAGAGGCTCCGCGATACGTAATCTGATAGATGATGAAACGACATATGACGATAACGATGTATTTGTATTGTATTCTGGTACTGTTTTTACTGGCAAATCATGGTGTAGTTTCTGGCGATAACGCTCGCTATACTTATGGTGATCAACTGTGCTCAGTCAGTCGTGATTTGATCAACTTTCAGACTATTCATACCATTTGATGAAGCCAGCCACACCCAAAACTTCATGCCTTTGGGATATAGGGGTTAAGCAGCGTCAGAATACGAACACCTATCTATCCAGTTTTAATATAATCAATCCAGCCTATCATTGGAGCATCATAATATCATTACCACGAGCTCGTCGCGCGCTGTTCCTTTCTATTAATGATGTATCTCTCAGTGGTATGCTGATCTTGATAAGCTTACTGACAGCATTCACGTCTGAATTACGCGCACCACCGCCATAGCCATTGGAAGAATACATTTCGACCTGCTCGCAAGTATTGACGTGCACACGTTAGTGTGAGCTGCAGTGCGTCGCGACGTACATATACACACGTGCTCGTCCAGAGTTTTGGTACAAGGACCACCATGACGGTACCGAATCAACTGGTCAGCAATGGTCCCGATCAGAAATCTAAAGAGTAACTGGCATCTCACTAAAGATCAGATTCCTTTGTGGGGCACAAGGTCCTTGACGCCGGCCACATGACGATGCTACTGATACGTCCCAATGGGAAGCTATTGGGGCAGCATGCTTAGACAAAGTGTCACGACAGGAAGCAGCGACACAAGGGTTTGGAACCGTTACGGACCCGCGGATGAGGTACAGTAATGGAGCGCAAAGGCCAACAGGCAAGGAACTGATAACAAAGATAGGTCATACCACAAGGCTTCACGGCATGGACCAAAGATCAGAAATAGAAACGCCGAAGGTCTGTTAGCGAGGTATAATAATTAAGGAAGGATTCAATGAGCGCTAATGTGCGTGAGCACAAGCACATCGTCGACAACAGCAAAGAAATAAGTGAAAATACGGGATAATCAGCAGAGAAGGAATGAATATCTTCATTCGTCCACTCTACCTGAGGGAGACTGGGATGGAAAAAATCAGCCGTAGAAACAAAGCACAACATACCTCGATACGAGCCCCCAACGTGCCGCATTCACCTCCGAACGGAAATCGGACAGCGAACAAGGGATCAAAATAACCTTCCGCCACAGCCTAGGCCAGTAAATATTGGATCGACCGTCTTCAAGCTTCTTCTATAGGTCTGGCTAAAGACGAACAGAAATTAAATTTCAAATGAACAAACGACAACATGAAAGAAAAAGACCAAAATGATGATCTGACCCTGGCTCGAACAGGAGACCTTCTGTGTGTTAGACAGATGCGATAACCAACTACGCCATCAGACCGCGATGTCATGCTTTCCCACCATCGGAAATTGTTCTTGGCAACCTATCGGGTAGCGCCGGGAGGACAGTGTAGGATTTACCAACCTGTGTGAAGTCTGTGCACACTGCAGACCTCTGCGCCAAAGTCTGGGAGACACGCCTGGAGGACAGCACCTGGTCGGGAAGACCAATATCAGTGTCCTAAGCCGCAGACACCAAACCTGGTGGCAGCTCCTGGGATGGAGGCCTGGCAGTATTAGAAAATATGCGTTGGCTTCGCCAGAATCAGGGATTTATGTCAAGGTCTTGAGATTAGGTGCGCGCCAGTGTCCGACGCCAAGACTTCTACAGACAGTGTATTGTGTGCACCAGACACAATTCGTTTTTTAACTGATGGCATTGGCGATGGTACCTTGAGTCGTTTCAACTTAACCACCAGTTGGCGGTGCACTGCACACGTAGGTTGAAGTTGGCGTTCATGTTTCATTTATCGAGATTCGAGGTGCCGCCTGGGATGAACCCTGCGGAACGCCAGTTCGCTGCAAAAAGTTTGTCCCAAAGTAAGGAGCTCAAAGGATATGTCGCATACGAAGGAGACAACTTGGGTACAATATTAGGTGAGAACGGGGACAGCACAGCACCGTTAGCGTCCTCACCCATTCGACTATCACCATCCAATGTGGCAGTGAATCGTCTCCTGACGGTACGGCAATTACGTGTCTGAGTCAAGTTGAGCTTGACCTCTCTCTATATCAAGGCTGCTACCAGACCCGCTGGCTGACCAAGTGCCTGCCGTTGGCAAAGATTATCGCACAAGTGTTGGATAGAATATGCCTCGATCGGAAAGTGGAAACTCCGCCACACAAATAGTGGCTGGTTTGAGGCGACAGGGGAAAGAAAGTCGGCCGCATCTAGTGCACACGCAGATCTTGGGGGTCAACGAAACGAAGAGGCTATATTGCAGTTAGGTGTATGCAAAGTGTTCGGGCAAGTTACATGGTAATATGTTGGAGACACTGCTCGACAACAGAAACAACAATTTTGATGCGATCATCTAAGATAGATGGCTTTCAGCCTGATACAAGCGCCGGGAAGCAGCAACTGCACTATGATGCGAGGGCATACATACTAGAAGAAGTGGAGGCAAAAGTCGGACGAATGTATACTGCTGAGGCAGCGGGAGGGTCTACTGTCGAGGAAAGCAAGTGCGACAATAGGGAGCATTTGATGAAGGTGTGGAAGCGAACCACCTCGTGTCTTGGACGTCTATGGAAACGAGGCCGGTTAATGTAGTGAAGTAAGGTAAACACGCACAATACACGCACCTCTGCAGCTGAGACACAGACGCTCACAAACCCTCCAAAGTCCACCTCGACCGTGCTCAACACTACCAACCTCCAGTAAAATGTCGAAGCTCATTCCAAACACCACACCTCTTCGAACATTTAAAGGTCATGAAAGAAACGTAAGCGCAGTCGCAGTCTTCCCCGATAGACGAAGAATGGTTACGGGCTCATACGACAAGACACTTTGTCTTTGGGACTTGAAGACAGGTGTTGTGTTGAAGAAGATGAAGGGGCATCGCAGTGCAGTGTGGGCATTGGCGGTATCACGAGATGGGCAAATAATAGCAAGCGGTGATAGAAATGGAGAGTTCATTGCTTGGAACGGAGAAACAGGAGAATCTCTCACCCAACCCATTGAAGCCCACTCCGATCATATCTACTCGCTGGACTTTTCCGCGGATGGTACAGTGTTGGCCACTGGTTCAGACGACAAGACGGTCAAGCTGTGGTGCACCAAAACATGGCAGCAACAAGGAAATCAAATCAAATTTGCCTCGGAATATTCTTTCCCCGAGGTTCGATATTCGCCGTCTGGTGAACTTCTTGCCATCGCAACATCATCCGATATCAGAATTTATAATTCAGGCACAAGGGAACGCGTCGCAACCTTGGAGAGTTACACCACCAAACTCACGTGGACGCCCGATGGCACACGCCTTCTTTTTACTCCCAATGACGCCATATGCATAGAAGAGTGGGATACATCAACCTGGGAGAAGGTCGGTAATTCCTGGAAGGGCCATATTAAGAGGATCAGCGCCATCGCTGTCAATCCTGCTGGCACACTCGTTGCTTCCGCATCTGATGACAAACATGTCCGTCTCTGGCGGCTCTCAGATCGACAAAGCATCGCCATTTTCCAGCACTCATCCATCCCGAGATGTATCACTTTCTCTGTAGATGGCAATAACATCTTCAGCGGAGGTGAAGACAATCAGATTTCGGAGTGGAAAGTACGTAGGGGTTTTCATTCAAACGTGAGTTTCCGTCCTTGACTCGTGTCACACAATTCGAACATGCCTGTAATATACAGATCTTTGCTATCGCGACGTCAGCCCGCTATTCATCCTTAAGTGGGGAGTTGTCTACCGCTCAACAGCTACTCACGCAAGAGATCGATGCCAACGCCGACGACTATACCTCCTATGCCAATCGATCATTCGTTATGTCGCGAAAACAAAATTGGGACCGTGCCCTTGAGGATTCAATCAAGGTCAGTCATACCAACCAATTGTGGCCCTCTTGCGAAAGGCTAAGTTCCATTCGTGACATAGTCCATCAGCATTCAGCCCTCATTGACAGGCTACATCTCCAAGGGCATTGCTCTCTGCGGAAAAGGCAATGTACGGGACGGGAGGGTGGCATTTGATGTTGCATCCATGTTCACAAACCAAGACTCAGACACTATTCATTTTCTTCTCTTGATCAAGGTAAGTTAGATTCGTCTCGCATGCGCTCTGCTCCATTCTGTATTTCAGGCCATTGCTCTCTTCAATGCAAATCAACATGAAGAGGCAATGCTGCTCATCACAGAGCTAGCTGCCGCTTGTCCGAATGCTGATACCCTCGCGTGTCGCGTCGTGGAAGTAAGCATCATGCGGCTATGCTCGGTTATCGCTACTGATCTTTGCAACTCGCACATTAGGCATATCTACGCGTTCAGCTCGGAATCAAGGCCTTCGATGGCGGACATCATGATGAAGCCGCTGACCACTTCGCCGCCGCCGTCAACTCCAGCGCTTTCCCATCCAAAATCATCCATGAACTATACGAGGACTTGATCGTGGTATGTTGACATGATGCGTCTGCAAATGCTATATTAACTGAGTGCTTTCTCCAGCTCTTCGGCTGGGATCTCGAGTCCTTCTGGCTCACTACGCACCAGAAACGTTGTCAGGCTTTGCTTTCGGCAGGTAAAGTCAAAGAAGCCCTCGAATCACACCAACACATGATGGACACCATCGACGAAGCTGAGAAGGCCAGCTGCCTTGATTGGTCCAACGGCAGGTTTAAAGTGATGATGGCACTCGAGGCTTTCATACTCACCCGCAGTTCACTCAGACTTCAAGGAACAATGTAGCGTGGGAGCGCGGACGGATTTAATACCGAGCTTCCAGAACGCCTTCACATCGATCTCGCCAAACGTGCTTACCGTGCAAGCAACCGCCGCGACTACGTCATTCAGATGACGACGTGGCTACGTCGGCAAGAGTCACTTTGTATTAAGGACGCGTACCTACATTGGTGGGCTTCTCAACATCTTATCGACAAACCTTCGGACTCTGCAGCTGCGCTAGATCTTTCGGATACAGATTCCGACTCGGACGATGATATTCCCGACCACTCGCGCCAGCTTCACATCATGCCTCGCCAGATCCACCGCTTCACAATGTTGTCTGCCACACGTGGCTACTTCGTCCCCAAGATCTGCTCATTCCCCAACATACCAATTCAACGCCTCATCGAAAACCACGGCGCCTCTCAGTTCGTTCCTGCGCTTCAAGCGTTCGTCAACGAGCGCTTTCCAGGTCAGCTGCATAGGCAGCTAAATGCACAGGACCGTGTCGACGTCTTCAAATATTTGTCAGTGCTCTCGCCAGCTCGACCCCACATTACGAACTCCAAGTGTTTTTTCAAGATACGCGCATCACCAGTGGTGGCTTCGAGGGATCCGCGTAAACCGCCAGCACCTGCTCGGTTTGACACCGCGCTTTTCATCGAAAACCGAGAACTGTACACGGCGAAGGGCATATCAGGTCAGCAATCTTGTTTCGCACTGATCTATGTTGCCTCACTCACCTTGTGAGTCAGGGCTACGAGTTGGTGAGGTGAAGGTTGTTTTTAATCTGCCGTCACGTCTTGGCGAATTTTCGCATCCACTTCTGTATGTTCACTGGTTCAGACCTCTACAGACCTTCGACGATAATTTGCAGACCTTCCGACTGGCTCGGTCATCACGACAGCACGGACCTTATGCATCCATAGTGCCTGCCACAGAAGTCATTCGTGCGTGTCACGTTATTCCGCGTTTTAGTCGACAGCACGTTGTTGATGAGGAGCAGTTCTATCTTAACAAGTATATCGACTTAGATTTATTCGAGCGCTTGGTGTTGTAGTAGTATATAGCTGATGTATTCATGTTATTATCTATGGAGTCTACAGAATGAGTCAACAAGTACATTGTAAGAATTTGCAAGGGGGAGTGATATGGACTGGTATAGTGTGCTATGGGTCGTGGCCCGAAGCTCGGTGGTGCTACGGAGGCTACAGGTAGGTATATGATGTTGTAGGTGGCAACTGCCACCCGAGCTTTTTCCTGATGAAGTCTCTTCTGCAACGTGGTATCGTCATTTGGACGAGGCTACTACCCAGGAAGAAAAGCAGAGAATTCGCTCTGCGAGAGCATTGGGTGTTTTAACACTCACCCAGACCCTAAGTAAACCCCCTGACTCAGAGTCCTCTGCTGCTGATACATCCGAGTCCATTTCTTGTGGTGCTCGCCGAGCAGAAACACTCCGAGCCCTTGCCCAACATGCACGAGAGAGCGAAGGCTCAAATCCTACTAGGGCTGGGCGCCGCAAGCGTGCAAAACTTGCATCAACAGATGACGGTAACATGGTATGTATTTTCTCTTGATGCTACAATATGGAAGTGACTCGCGATTATATTTGATAGGACAATATCTCACTAGCCGCTGATGGTGATGCTCTGCTCCCCGAGGACAACGACCCCATTCTCCACGACGATTTCATCCCCCCCGACGATCCTATCCCCCACGACGATTTCATCCCTCAGGACGATCCCATCCCCCAGGACGCACCCATCCTGCAGGACGCACCCATTCCCCAGGACGCACGCATCCCCCACGATGATCCCATCCCCCACGACGATTTCATCCCGCAGGACGCACCCATTCCCCAGGACGATCCCATCCCGCAGGACGATCCCATCCCCATCCCCCACGACCTACCACACCAGTATGCGATTGAGTGCAGAAAACAACCTATCATTGATGTGGAGGAACTCGCACAGACTGCGGTTCTGGACAAAATCAAGGACTCGTTCGAATACATCAAGTTGCTGAAAAATGCTACTCTAGAGGATCGTATCGCCAAACTCAATGAAGATGCCCTGCTGCGACTTCGTAATCCACCAAACGAACCCATCCGCATTGCCAGTCTGGGGACTCGACAGAGTATTGCGATGTATTTAGCGCTCGAGCACTCATCTCAAGATGCGTACAATCGTATACGCAGGGCTACGGCACGCAACTTTGCAGGGGCGGAAGGTGCTGACGAGATTCTGAGCTTCTACAGTGTCGAAAAGCTCATCGCGCAATATACGGGTGTCGATCCCCTTGTGCATGACATGTGCGCGAATTCGTGTCTTGCGTACACTGGTCCATATGCAGATGCAGATCAGTGTCCTATGTGTGGAATCTCTCGCTGGGATCAAGCGAAGATCCATGCAAGCAACGGACGGGACAAGGTGGCTGCACAGACCTTCACCACGATACCCTTGGGACCACAACTTCAAGCGTTGTACCGAGATCGAGACGGTGCGCGCAGTATGCGCTATCTCCACGAGCGGACACAGGAGGTCCTTGCAGAGCTACGACGAACCGGAACCATCCCCATCATTGACGATATCGTCATGGGACACAATTATCTCGGCGCCGTCGTTGACGGCGATATTAAAGAAAACGACATCGTGCTTATGATTTCCCTTGACGGGGCCCAACTCTACGAGAAGAAGGAATCGGACTGCTGGATGTATGTCTGGGTTATCCTCAACCTATCACCTGATAAACGCTATCGCAAACTCCACGTACGTCCGGGAGGATTTATACCGGGACCAAACAAACCGAAAAATCTCGACTCCTTTCTTGTTGTCGGGCTCCATCACCTCACCACACTTCAGAACAAAGGCCTCGTCATCTGGGATGCTTCCCGTGATATCGTCTTCACGTCAGATCTCTACCTCATCTTTACTACTGCCGACGGACCTGGCCTCATCTACTGGGACGGAATGGTAGGACACAGCGGCAAGAATGGCTGCCGTGTCTACTGCGAAGTGAGCGGGAGACGTAAAACTCGTGGCACACATTATTACCCCGCGCTTTTGAAGCCACGAGATCGGTGTGCACCAGGCAGTACACACAACGATATCGACATCTTAACTCTCCCTCTCGGTGGCTCTGCCAACTACGCCGATAACTTATACCGGCTCGTGTCATCTCCCAGTCAGCGACAACTAGACATTAGGAAGACCGAGACGGGTCTCACTAAACCCCCTCTGATTCTGGGTCTCCGTTCGTCTCGTTGCCTTGGTATTCCCTTCTGCATGACCACCGATGTCATGCATCTTGCTGGCAACCTCAGTGACTTGCTGATCTCACTCTGGCGAGGCACATTAGACTGCGGCACCACTGATGATGTTGATACTTGGGATTGGGCGGTACTTGCAGATGGCGATACGTGGATTGCACACGGAAATGCAGTCGAGAAAGCAGGTCCATATTTACCGGGATCGTTCGATCGCAAACCACGCAATATTGCCGAGAAAATCAACACTTGCTATAAGACTTGGGAATTTCAACTCTACACATTTGGTCTCGCACCCGCACTACTTTACGGCATCCTTCCCAACCAATACTGGACTAATTACTGTCAGCTCGTCCGTGGATTTCAACTTATGTGCCAGCATCGAATCACTTCACAAGATATTGCGGATGCATACAAACTCCTATGTATCTGGGAGCGTAATTTCGAGCTACTTTACTATCAGCTCAAAGAAGATCGACTCCAGATGGTACAGCCCTGTGTACATCAAACGTCTCATCTCGTCTCGGAGACTATTCAAAAAGGCCCTCCTATATGTTATGCCCAATGGACTATGGAACGGACTATTGGGAATCTCGGTCTCGAGATACACCAACCATCACGTCCATATGCGAATCTGTCGCAAGAGGGCGTACGGCGCTGCAGAGTTAACACACTTTTGTCCGCAATGCCGGAACTTGACGAACCTCCGAAAGGACTTCCACCAGGCGCTGTCGATCTGGGTGACGGGTACGCACTGTTACGGAAACGAGACAAGTACCCATTATTCCCTGCCGTCGGAGATATTGCAGAAGCTATAATGAATTTTTTGGGGCCCGGTCACGTACTCCCTCGGATCAAACATTGGGCAAGATTACTCTTACCAAACGGACAGATAGCACGTTCTGTCTGGAGGGAGACACTCAAAGCACTAGAGCAAACTCGCATGTCACGAAACGTCAAGGTAAAATTTTCAAACTACAGATCGTTTGGAATATACACTTATCTGACATATTACAGCTAAAGTACGAAGGCCAGGATCGTTTCGGTGAAGTCTTGTACTTCACAAGACTCGCTATTGAAGCAGACGCACAGTTCACCGATGTTGCTGTCGTCCAAATGTACTCTGCACCAGACGACAGTCTGCTCCGTCTGTCCTCGCAGACTGTTGCATCTTGCATGCGCCTCGAAACGATTGCTATTGTCAATGTCAAAAATATCATCAGCGTGATCGCAATGGTTCCACACACGCCAACACTACCTTCCGGAGTCACTGAGGATCATTTTTTTATGGTAGAGAAGCCCGGTCTCGATATCTCGAACCTTGGAGTGGCTTATGGTATGGGCGAAGACAATATTAATGATGATATTGATGTAGGTGATGATGGCGTCGAGTAGAAATATTGTACAATTGGTACAACGGTGCGTTGAATACTACAGTTGCAAAAAAAAATGGATCAAAAGCATTGAATCGATGAGCGAATAAAAAAATGTTGCGTCAAAAACATTGCATCGAAAACGTAGTGGAAAACTCAGAATCTGGGCCGCTTCCTGCCCCACTCCTCGATCTCGTCAAATAATCCCTTCCTTTTTGCTACCTCCGCAACAATATCTACTGCATCGAATGGCCGGACTAAGTATCGCCATGGGGCGAATAAGTTTGTCGGATCTGCGTTCGGATTTCCACAGCATCGCGTGAGCATGTTGCATGGGGAGACCATGCAGCTACTGCAATAATATATGAGTAAGAAGAATATAAAAAGACGAGGAACATTACCTCGCTGAAAGCAATGCGACACTGCTCTTCGTCTCGTCGTTGATGCTCTCTTCCACCTTGACGATGGTGACAACAGCCTCGGGCTCTGTCTTCACCGGTGCGTTGTCCATCTTGGCTGCATTGTCTGCCTCGATGATACTATTGA